ATAACTAAAGTTATGGTGAGCACGTTGGTGATGACTAAATTATGAGAAAGAATAAACAATGAGAATTATCAGAAAGAATAAACAAAAAAGACGGACAAGACGAGACATCTTTCGAAAGACGTTTAGTCTTGTCAGTCTTTTTTGTTTATTCTTTCTGATAATTCCAACTTAAAACTTTCAAATAAGATAGCGGCTAGTCCTGAAACGTTGGCATTTAATTCGGACCGCTAACTCTACATTCTTTTTTTTTTTTTGGGGGGGGGGGGGGGGTGCATTTTGTACATTTTAGGCTTTACATATCCCACGTGACAAAGTACGCAAATACGCTAACTGTTTTCTCGGTAATTTGGTATTAGGGACTTCCAACAAACCTTTACCGTGTTCCGCGTACCGTTCTACCGGAGCCTTTGAAGCATATGCTTATAAGGGGCGGCGAAGAAAAGCTCACCGGAGAAAAGCTCACCGGAGAAAAGCTCACCGAAGATAAGCTCACCGGAGATAAGCTCACCGGAGAGAAGCTCACCGCAAAACCGGCAGATGCGGAGAGAAGCTCATCGGCCTTTGAACGGATGCGGAGAAAAGCTCACCAATCTTTGTTTTTTTTTTGTTTTTTTAACTTCGCGGATTCTGCGTCAAACGTTGCAATTTAACATAATTTACACTCGTCATTTATTCATTACAATATCGCTTATAAGCTCGCGCCCGGGTGATACCGTGACCGCTGGACGCGCGCTTGAAAGCATGCTTCAAAGTTCAAAGGTTCCAGTAGTGCGGTACATGGAACACGACCATGGTTTGCTAAAAGGCCCTTGTATTAGATAGACAAGGTGAACGAAGTTAAGCCTGAGAGGGACAGTGCATTGTAACTGAAACATATATAAAAGTATATTTACCACAATCCTTGAAAGCCACCAGATCCCCAACAACGAATCCAGCGCACACCACCACAGCGAGAGCCAACACCACGGAGCTTGCCATCGCGAAACTACCGGTCTTGAGACTTGAGAGTTCCACACAGAAGCACTGCTCGCCCTGAGAACCAGAAACTCCCTTCCCGCCACCCTTTTTCTTTCATTTTTTCCCCCCTGGGGGAAGGACACGATTACTTTTTTTTTTTTTTTTTTCCCCTCTTCGTTGACACTGTTCGTATTTCTTGGTGCACGTCCCTACCTGAAACCATTGTGGAGAACCCCGCCTCCAAGAACTACAATGGCATATATGAGAGTGAGAGAGAAAGACCGGGACTGTAGAATAGTTTTACAATACACGCTGTTCACAATACGTGAGGTTCCTCTGTTCAAATTTGAACACGTGTGTGAGAGTATTCGAAATTATTATAATTTGACCGACCGGAACGGTGGGCTTTGTAGTCGACTGAGGGGTGGATTTACCTGAACGGGGGAAAGTGGGTTCGATGGCTTCAATGGTACGGCGGCCACATACGGCCTTTGACCTGTTTGACCTTCGTAGCTGTGGTACGCACATAGAAACTATCGGGACACAAGCCTTCGCCCTCTCTCCAAATTGCTCCGCCCGGTTCGGGATAATTCACGAAGAGATAATCTCCTGGTCACAGCTAGGGGATTTAATTAAACGTAAACAGGAAACGTGATGACCTCGAAGGGCAGGTAAAACTGAATACCCCAAAAAAAAAAAAAAAACCTTTCGCCCCCCCCCCCCCCCTTTCCTTTTTTTTTTGGGGGGGGGGGGGGAGGGTGGCATTGGTGGAACGTAATTTACTGAACATGAATAAACTTCAGCTGAGACTGAATGTATGGGCACAAATGAGCTGATGAATATTAAGCATGACCAAAACCTACCTAAAAGTTGATACCATTTAACATAACTGTCGTTTTTACCCGCAATACAGTCTTCTTTTTTTTTTTTTTTTTTTGCCATGTTTCAGTTGCGAGTTAGCGCTGTGTCTTGACGAAATACTTTTCACTTTGCGTCTTCGCTTTTTTTTATTTTTTATTTACCATAATGAGAATAATAATGCTTTTATTTTCCATCCGAGCAATGTGGGAGGTTGGGAAAAAAAAGCTGAATAAATCATTAATTAAATAGTTTAATTCTCATTAAATTATTCATAAACTTTAGAAAGCATTTGTGATGTTGCTCGCATTAGCGGCGTAGACTTCCCATTTTCCCGGGGGGGGGGGGGGGGGGGGGGTGGAGGCTGAGAAGTTCTCCGGAAGTGCTTTGCGCCCCCCCCCCCCCCCCCCTCCCCCCCGGAAGAGCGCTGGGATTCTATTTCCCATGTATTTTGTCAATAAAGGCAACGAGTGCATTATTTTGTTTACATGCAACTACTAGAAACCCGTTACATGGCACGTACACAGCGTCTCGGCAAGGATCATGGCCCGGGGGGGAGGGGGGGGGGGGCACGAGCCCCGATGCCCCCCTGCGTAGTCGACGCCTATGGCTCGCGTGGACTACCTTCTTCGAATAGTAATATTTCGATTGAGTGCGTAAGACGTAGGCTAGTCAAACGATGCAAAGACTTCCTCAATAAATGCTGTCTCGGCTTTCACAAATTTAATCGCAATCCGTAATAAAAAAAAAAAAAAAAAAAAAAAAAAAAAAAAACGCATTCAATTGAAACCGAAACAAATGCTCAAGGAGTAAACATGGCGGACAGCGCCTTAGAAAAAGTGACGCAACCTCATGGACGCCCTTTGAGAGTTGACCGTGCTCTACGAGCGCTCGCGCTTGGAAGCTACCCATCAAAAAGCTCCTGGCGCATGCGCAAAATCACATTAACCCGATTCATCCCTCGCCCCCCGGCCGGGTTCATAGACACGCTCCTTTCCCGGCCTGAACCATGGATCGCGGTGAGTTGCTGCGTTTTGCGTTTGAATACTATACTTTGACAGGACTGTCTTAGCAGGACAAAGAACTCGCACTGAATGTCACCCGCCCTTTCCTTTTTGTTAAACGGCGCGTCGGACTATTTCGGCGACTTATATCTTCTGCTTTTATTCTTTCCAACTACGGCCTGGTCGGCCCTGCTTTGTAATTTGATCGGTTCCTGCGCCGGCCCAACAAGTTTTTGGCTGGAGTCGTGGGACGTGTTTGTTTAACTCTCGACCTGCCTTTCGCATTTTTTCTCCCCGTACACTGCGAGGCATCCGCAAAGTTACGTAAACTTAGCCTGAGCGCAAACATGCCGCGCACCACACACACGCACACACACACGCGCGTACAAAAAAGTATGTTTAATTTACAATTTTGTGTTGCTTCTCTGAAAAAAAAAAAAAAAAAAAAAAGAGGTTGTGCGTTTTGTGGTGAATTTTGGTAGCTTTTCTTAGTTCCCGTTCAATGAGCCTCGGAAGGGGCGTTCACCTTATTCACCATTTCACTCAACCTTCGGGTCCTCTCAGTTCAGTAGGTTCCCGCGAATACGGTATCCTACCTGCTTTTTTTATAATACCGCAGTGCCGCTGCAGAGACTGTGCGTGCGCCGAATCATGGTTTTCTTAACGTGACATGCGTGGCTCTCTGCCAGACACGACGTATTTTTGGTTGGCACCCGGTTTTTAATAGAATGGAAGCTCAGGTACGCATCGCCTATTTGTATGCACGCGGTCACGTGTGCATTGTTCTCGAGACAGGGCCGACGGAGCGTCCGGTGACAAGCGCTTCCGATAGATCTTTCAGGCGCGTTTCTTTTCTCAATTTGTTTGGTGGAAGGTGCGGAGGCTATGAAGAGGGTTCGTCCTGAGACTCCATTTTCACTTGCCCAAGCATGTTGTTAGATTGATTAACACCGCTTGCGTTTTGACGGACACAATGGTGCGACTTAATCTCGGAATATTGGGCGTCTGCTTTACTCTGTTTCAAACTTAACCTGGACCGCAGCGGATCCTCCGAGCCAATCAAGAGTTAAAAGCATGTCACGTGGCCTTCCTGTTGGGCGCAGTTGTGGCAGTTGTGGTGAAGCGACGCCCGGTGCGTGACGTCACTTGACGCTGTCTCGGCGTTGGATTGGCTTCGATAGCTCGTGGGGTCCGCTGCGGTCCAGTCTTAACCGCAATCTCGTAGCAGACGATTTTAACGTGGGGAGGCCAACGACAAAGCGTCGTTATCGAAAATCCACTCAAGGACGAACGGCAACATTTTTTTTTTCGACTGTTTTGCTGTTGTCATTGAAGATTGTAGTGGCTATTTGTATACTGCAAATGAGCGAATATACCATATGCGTTGTCGGGGGTATCGGTACAGTGTAGCATCGGTATGCCTTGCATGCCATTACGATTTTTTTTCTTCTAGCCGTACAATAGTTGTTTGGAAATTTTTATGCTGGCTGTTTAAAGCCGGAAAATGCGTCGCTTTGTCCGTTCTTGTGTTTATACTTTCATCATTGTCTCTCTCCAATTAAATTTACGAGTTCATGAATTGCTTACTGTAGTGCTTAAATCTGGTGTGCGAGCTCGTGTGCATACCAATGCATGATTGTTCATGAACGCTTTACGCTCTTGTAAGGAATCGAAAATGTCTGTAGCTATTCATCTCCCCTCCCGCCTGCTATTTTTAGCTTCTCCTCCCGTCGGTTCTGAATGGGGGACTTGTAATAGAATAAATGCCAGGCCTCCAGGCCTCGCCGTCTCTAGTCGCTGATCCTCTTCTCTGACCTATTTCAAGGTCCCTTAGAAAAGTATTTTGCGAAAATATTTCTCAAATTAGAGGTTTTAACAACTTTTTTTTTTCTTTTTGTGATAACATTTTTGTTGGGCTGTTGCCGCTGTTGCCGTTCGTTGAATCAGCGTTGAATGTATCAAGATGGCCGCGATCAATCTTTTTTGGTGTTTCGATTTTGTCATTCTGGTTATTTTTTATTTTACTTTTTTGTTTTTAGATTCCAAAGTTTAGCTGAAATAAACAATATTTTTTGTTCGCAAATATTTTCCCAACTATATGCAACATAGTCAAAACCAACGTTGGTCGAAACTTTCTGAAACGAATGCCCATTGGTTTTGCAATTTTGATAACTCCGGTCAGTTCCGCCAGGGCGATAGAAAAACTTCATAAATTCCCCCAAAATTCGCCATACATTTACCACCCGTCTTTCGTAGCTTATTTCGCTTGTGTATCTGTGCCTTGGTGGAACTTACTGTATTCACCTACTTTCCCAGCGCGACCGCAAAGCGTACGCCATGTCACGTTATACCGCTCATCGAAGGGACCAACAAATACGACCTTCTCGGCTGTGAACGACCTTGGCGGTCAAATCGCCCCATCCTGCGCTTCCGCTTCACGGCAGTGCAGCTGTTTGACACGCCCACTCCGCGTTATCTGCGGTTGCGTCGAATAGTATACGTCGTATACGTTACCGGTAGCTGAACTTTTTCGAAACGCCCACGACTCAATTTTACATGGAGGCGCTAGACATTAGCGGCGACTTGTCTTCGTGTACCCACTGTCCGCGGATGACGTTCGACAGCGCTTTGTACGGGCGAGACACGGAGTTTGAAGCCGGTAAGCGCTGTTCGGGGTGTGAAGGCCGATTCAGACACTTGAGTTTTAATGCGTTTGACTGCGTTGCGTCGAGAACCGAAAGCGAGTCGCCGGCACATCTGTGCTCTTTATGAAGCGTGGAATCCAATTCAAGAAATCGTTTGGCACGCGATATAAGCAGCAGGGATGTGGTTTCTCGCAGCCGCAACGCAGTCAAACGCGACTTTTTGAACCAGCAGACTGAGCTGACCGCAGTCGACCTGTCAAGCCACGCTAGTGACAGCATGCCGGAGCGCACTTCCCACTTCGCACGCTGTGACAGCTGCTTTACGCTAAGAGAACGTTAGCTAGACACTCCGGAATCGGATTTAAAAAAAAAAAAAAAAAAATAAAAACGTGTTTTTATTTTTGCTTTTAAAGATCACAATAGGCTTGTCGTAACTACTGTACCTTCATTCGGGGTTACTGTCATTCCCACATAGCCGTAGTGTTTTAGCGTAGTGAAACTCTAGAAAGAACATATTAATCTAGCTAATCCGTGGCAGGTGTAAGCTGTATTTTAGAAAATAGACTATAACAAGGGCTAGCAAAATAAGCCAGTGCCATCTTGAATCTTTCTAGAGTTTCACCCAGCTAGAGAAACTATTAATGCTGGTGCCAACTGCTGTATTTTGCCCAATTCTTTCGCAGTTACCGACGAGGCATTTGTTACCTTGGCGACTGATGACACCTATTCCCTGGGAGCCCTTGTGCTTGCGCACTCCCTCAAGAGGGTGCACACGTCCAGGCAACTTGTCATCCTGGTCACAAGCACAGTCACCACACACATGAGGTAGGATGCATTTATGTGACATCTTCCAGTATGCATGTTTGTGCCTGTGTCAGTTTAGTAGCCACTTTAAAGTGCCGGGCTTCACAAAATGTCAAGGTGCACCTCTGTGGGCTCCTTATGCCATTTTTGAAGCAGTTTTATCTGGAGGTAATTATCGGAGAATCAGTGAACCGGATTATACTTCGGTACAATGGACCTTCTGCAGAAACATCGGTTCGAGAGTAACTGGTTCCAGTACCCTCTCTCTCTTCCTTCTGGCCGAGCAGAGAGGGAAGATGGTTTTGTTGTGTCGACTTCAGGGCGGAAGATTATGCACGATGGGGACAAAGGCGAGTTTGGGGGAGCCGTATCTAGGTCACAGCGTCTCAATGGGTGAACAGGATGTAGCTGACGTTTTGGGAGTGCAACGGGTGGGAGAGGCCTCGCGCGCGCGTTGTTTTCTCACCACTTAGCCTCGAACCCAGTCGCGTGTCTAGGTGGCAGCACATATTCGCCAAGAGGTCCATTTCGATGACAGTTACGGGTCAGCGGTTTCTATTGCTGGTTGGCTACTTTGTTGCAATTCCTTGCGCATTGAATTCTCTTTAAAGGAGCTGACATGGGCTGTGTGCTTTTTACTTTTCTGCTCTTCCTTCTCCTTTTCCAACCTCTTTAGGCTCCTCTCTGAAGAGTGTGATAACCCCTCCTCTACCAACAAAGAAAGTGTTGACTATGTTGATTGTGCATCTTCAAAAGATTACTTGCACAAGACGACCAATAAGTGCAAAATTGATTGAAGCAGGCAGGGCTTGCTTTTGAATTATGATTATCTTAAAGGCCGGTTCACACATTCACCAAAATGCTACCACAGTGCTATTAATCTGTTTGAATAAGCGCTGACCTTGCTGATGCAGTGTTAACTTCGTGCCAGTCATGGGTATGTTACAGATAAAATGTAACAGTGTTACAGCTGGTTACTAAGGGACAAAATTAAGGAGACTTTAGTTTTTCAAAATGTTAAGCTAGCAGATTTATCGCTGATGATCCATGAAGATCTCTAAAATTAGCGCGACCACCATAAGGTATGTACAAATTCATTAGCATGCGTTTAGATCTTGGGTATATCAAATCGTGGTGAGAGACGGACGGTCAAATATAATTTTGAATTTTTTCGGTGAGGCGAAATGGGACGGGAGCAGTAAAAATTGTCCAAATTTGAAGTCAATAATAATCAGCGTTGTAGATGTTTTCTGATGAGACTCCGATCCGTGCGTCAGTCGAATCGTTTTCCACTGCAAGCGCACAATCTTTCATAACACGCAAAGCTTCTCTCGAAAACTTGAAAAGCAATGTTGCGGCATCATTCCTTTGTCAAACCTGCTGAACACGGCAGTGGTGCAAAAGCACTGATTGAGGTACAAACGACCACTGCGTGTAGGATTCCAAACGGCTGCTGCGATTTTGTCTCCACCGCTTCCTAAACAGATTAGACATGTTTGCGCACAACCATCTTGCCACCCCCAACTAGAAGAGACCACCCGGAAATTCCACGACATGAATATCTATAAATCGACTGATGCCAAGTGTATCTAGTCCCGGCTAAAGGCGATCTTTCAATTTCAAGCAAACGCACAAACAAGCAGAACCTCGGACATTTCGAGCGCATACTCTTTCTCAAGTGACAGGACCCAAGAAACAGCAATGGGGGTCAAGCAGGACAGTAAATGGGCCTAAAGTCGAAACCCTGCAAGAGTGCATCTGGGAGTTGGGCGATTCAATTTAGAGGGGAAGGAAACTTGTCAGTTGCGGCAAAAAGACGAGCTTCAGAAAATCGTTTGTTCTGTAAGCCTGTGGGCGTTTGGGGCAACAATCACCAAAAACTGTCCTCCGTGAACAGCATTCGCTCCCTCTGCCGGATGAAGGAAAGAGAAACTCTTCAGAGATGTCGTGCTTTGTTATATCCGCATGCGCTGTGGGCGATGTACAATACATGGCGGGCACGGACACAAGTGTCCCCATCCTCCCAGTTGGCGGGACCAGCTTGTCCAAGCAGGATCACCCAAAATTTTTTTTTTTTTCCTTCATGCTCCAGATGGTTTCTGCAGCAGTTTTTGCTGTGCCTTTCCAGTATCAAGACGTGGGACTTTCTCATGAGTTGCGAGACGATTTGGTGGTCATGTTTGCAATATTTTGGCACATAAATCTGAGAAGTAACTGTAATGACATTACTCATTAGTTACTTTCAAAAAATAGTAACCCTGTTACAGTTACAAGCTATTTTCTCTAAGCAGTAATGAGTTACATTTACAAGTTACTGAGATAAAGTAACTCGTTAATGCCCAAGACTGCTTCATGCTGTATTTACAATATTTATTAATTTTTACATACTGCCACCTCATTTTAGGTCATTGCAGAACTGGGGATACAATAAATCTCAGTAAAAAAAAAAGTCCTAGAAAATATGAATTTTAAACGTCCACACGTTAATACAAAGGTTCGCAATGGCTGATATAAGATCATTGTAAGCAAGCATGCACATAGGCCCGTTGATGTGAAAAAAAGCAATTTTTAAATTAATGTGAAAATGTCACAATGTTTAAATGAGGAATTTGTCTAGTGTGTGAGGCAGTAGAGAAGGAAATGTATTTAGTGTGCTCAATGCCGCAGTCCCCACAAACAATTCTATGTAGCATTTTTCGGCCGCTCCATGGAGCACCGGAAAGAAAGGGACTCTAGTCCCAGAGAGGTCATGGCGGTGGCAGAGAAGAAATGTCTGTCGTAGCTGTTAAAACTAAATGTTACTGCCTTATAGTTAAATCGCGTAGATTAACATCCCTTTTCAAAATAAGGGTCCTGAACAACAGATTTAGTGCTGCTTCAGCACTGCATCAGTGCCAAGTTGCAATGAAGTCAGGGCTACGTAAGCGCTGTTCCTAGTGTTCATTTAGCGCTGCGCTGTATGTCCGACCAACCTTTATAATCGAGATTCGTTTTGTTCTCGCAGGACGTTGCTCTCTCAGGTCTTTGACCTGGTTGAGGAGGTCAATCTTCTGGACAGTCGAGACCCCAGCAACCTGGCGCTGCTCAACCGCCCTGAGCTGGGCGTCACCTTTACTAAGCTGCACTGTTGGAGGCTGGTCCAGTTCAAGAAGTGCGTCTTCATGGACTCGGACACCATGGTAACCCCAAAATATTTACTGAGTTTGTTCTCACCTTGAACGTGGAACAGCACATATGCAGATGCTCCGCTTTCTGACTGACCGGTTTTCATGCAGAATTGAATTGAAGCTAACTCGTATTTCGTAAGTGTTCGTTGTTCACCATGGTTTAGCTTAGTGGAAGCTAGAAGAGTTGGCCTAGTCAGCCAGCTGCCAAACTCGTGTGCTACGAACCAACTGTACATGTTTGCACACCTCACATGTTGACAATAGTTGTGCCGTACAATGCACCCTTATTCCAGTTAGTGCATTCTCAGTGTCATTGCAAGAAAGGATGGTTAGGCGGTGCTTCAAAAAGACGTTGTGGCTCTTGCCAGGAAGATGGATATTTAACTTGAGCGTTGGATGTGTTTCTTGTAAAATAAAATTCTGCATATGGTGGTTTGATGGCTAGATTTACAACTGGAACTTTTTGCACGTACATGCTCAGCACCCACCGTTCCTCCTTGCTAGAGAAAAAGTTTGATATTCTTGAGGTATTGCAGATTTCTATTTGATTTCACAAATTTTTATTTAATTCAACAAATTGTTATTTCAATTCACAAATTTCTGTTTGGCTTTGACAAGTTTTCTTGATTTAACAAATATTGCAGCTCCTACGTAGATTTGCACGACAGCCTCTGGGGCATTGTGGTTCCATATCGGCTTTTGGAGCTCAAAATGGAGGGTTGGAATATGGGGTGGTTTCTTCCTCAAGGAATCTTTAGTTTCATAGCCTCAAATGTAAAACCCCAGTATTCTTTTTTTTTGCATGTTACACATTATGTTTGAGCTTGGTGTTGATGACATGTTTAAGTTGCAAATTTTGGGCAGTGTGCATCTTTAGATGAATAGGCTTTCAAAGTGCAATCATGTATGGCTCTAGTAAGGCAGCACTGTAACAGTTTTTTGCTAGTTTTTGATTTTTAAAAGTGAGAAGTCCTATGGTACAAGTGAATAATTTACCATTAAAACAGTGGTTCTCAAATGGGGGTCCGTTTGAGAACCACTAAACAGACCCCACTTCACGGACCCCTAGAACGCGAATGCGTTCTAGGGGTCCGTGAAGCCCTGCCTCATCAGTCAAGCCTGGCAACAAAAGTTGTCTTTTTTCAGGTCGAGATTAAAGGTTTCAGTTTTCGGGAGAGTTCTCTCGTGTGTATGTCAATAAGAAAGGTCTACTTCACACTATCCCTTTGTTAAAGTCGTTTATTAAACCATTCTTACTTTTAACCTATACGTTTCCTCTCCTCTCGGCACGAACGGGGTCCTCCATTATATCCGCCGATCCGCAAGGGGTCCGAGGAACATCAATAGTTGAGAACTACTGCATTAAGATATAGCACAAATCAAAAGATGTATTAGCCCAAGCAAATAGAATGGAAATAAGATGTGCAACACTCTGTCGAGATTGCTATTTAAGATATTCGAACCTGGAAGAGACTGAAGGGTTGCGATGCAACTTTGCAGGTGCTGCAAAACTGCGACGAACTCTTCTCGAGAGATGAGCTCTCGGCCGTTCCGGATGTTGGCTGGCCAGACTGCTTCAACTCTGGGGTCTTCGTCTACGTCCCTTCGGAAGCTACCTTCAATGCTCTCATTGCATTCGCCGATGAACATGGCAGCTTTGACGGTATGTTGCCCTGTTTCTTGTTTTTTCGCTGGAAGCCTGTTTCGCGTCTCCCTTCCCCTCAAGGAATCTCATTATCAGTAGCCTCAGCAATACAGATCATGTTCCAAGATACTTACAACTTCAGAATCTGTGACCAAGGATGACTTGTGCGGACATATTGTTCTGTATTTGGTAATGCAGATACAAAATGCTTTTGACCGCCTTTACTGTGCTGCACATACCAAGCTGCATCACTCGGTGACAGTCTCGTAGTGCATTTCCGGACCTCTTCTAGTGATTGCTTTAGAATGTGCGTTAATCACCTAATTTTGGCAGAGCTTTGGCCAGTTGTAGTCACCTTTTTTCTCGGTTACAGGCGGAGATCAGGGGCTGCTGAACCAGTACTTCAGCGACTGGTCAACAAAGGACATCAACCGCCATCTGTCGTTTATTTATAACATGAATGCAAATGTCGCCTATACATACCTTCCAGCGTACAGACAGTAAGTTGCTTCTTTCATTGGCTGCTCACCCAAGATAACTTTTATTAACTTCACTGCCTTCTACACGAATGAGTGCCTTGCAACCATATTTAAAGGGCAACTCCGCTCGATTTCGAGATAATGAGTGATTTTGCATTAAAACGCCCTAATAAAAGTCACTACGTCATTTGCTTCCCAAAAAATAGGATATATATTTTTAAATCTAATTTTAAACATAAGAGGAAATCGAAACCGAAACTTCGGCTCCGTCCGGCAACATTGGCCTCGGGCCACCAACAACATGGCCATCACGTGGTACGATATGTCACGTAATCCTCTATGCAATGATGGGGGGGATTGGGGTGAGCGTGCGCCGCAAGTGTCGTCTGCACCCTTCGCCACGTTTTGGTGTTTAAGACATTGGACGACGTCTGCACAACTGTGGCATATGTCTGCGCATGTATTGTCCGTAGTGTGTACGAAACTCCGAGACAATAATCACAAACGGTGAGACGACGGTGGTTGTGACGCGAGAGACTGCGGTAACGGCAGAACCACAGCGGGTCGGTCGTACAGCTCCCAAGAGGCGCACTGCGCAGGCGCGTAGTTTGTCGCGAAGTGGGGAGGAATAAAAGAATAACAATAATCCACTCCGATGTTAACAAAAATTGCTTTAAAAGAACAAGAGATTTAGGTTGGACCGGTGACAGGCGATAGGTCCACGCCAATCACGTGGGCACTGCTGAGAGCCGAGAGGAAACATTGCTTACGTTGGTCCGCTACGCTCGCACAGAGGAGTAAAAACAAGCAATAGGGGGCAATGGTGATAACGTTTAGCTCGATGTTGGCTACGTCCACGCTGTAGCCTTGTCTGCGCTTTTGGTTGCACCTGAGTGCCCGCTCGAGTCAGCCGATTTCGGCAACTTGGCGAGTTGCAAAGGTGTGCTGGGTCGTTTAAGAAACATTTAAACAAAACTGCGTCGTAATATTTGTGTGGTCTTCCTAGGCGATACTGAAAAGGACTGCATTGTTTTTTTAAAACAAAATATGAAGTGGAGTTGCCCTTTAACTGGGCGTTCTTATAGGTTCTTTAAAATTTGTTTGCACGAAAACCCCTTCAGTGGATGGCAGAAGAGGCCAATTTTATCCTGCTTAATTGTCGCTTTAATGAATTTCGTCTTTGCGATTTCTTCAGGTTCAGCAAGGATGTGAAGGTAGTGCACTTCCTGGGGAGCCTGAAGCCCTGGCACCATTCGTTCAGCCTGATCACGGGCCAGGTGGAGACTCGTGGGGAAACCCAGCACATGCACGGTCACCTGCAGTTCTGGTGGGAGCTCTTCATGACTAACGTCCAGCCAAACCTCTTCCCCGAATGCGTGAGTGGCACATCAGTCTCATAGTAGTTGGCACCAAATTGCCCTCTAGATGACCGATAGCTTTTCCAGTGTTTGTTTGGGAGAGAAGTTGGCTAATGTTTTCCGGTGTTTATTTCTTCTTCAGATATCTGTATTTCGGCATTTTGTTTGGTTGGATGCTAACCTCTGTAATAATTTGTAAAAAAAAAAGTTAAATCTAAGAGGGTGTTTCGACCAAAACCACTTTATTGGGGCCGATAATTTCCAGAAATGTACTTTTCATTCAATTGGTGTGAAATTTGCAGGTTGTTTTTGTAGCTTATAGAAGGAAAGCGGTGCAAAGTTTGAGCCCTGTGAACCAATTTTATGACTTGCTATATACCCTCAGAACGAAGTAAGGCATGGCGTGGCATGGAATCTGCTCAATGAATCTATCGTTAAGAAGCGGTGTTGCGTTTTTCAACGCTATTTCGCAAATATTGCATTCTACCAGCCTTGGTGGAAGTTGACGATTGCAAAAACATACTAATTAGCATCATGATTAACCAAAATTTACTATTTTTTTTTTAATTCGGGAAAATAAACATATGGTTCTACTAAGAAACCTGCTAAGCATCATCAAAAGCCACCAAGTCAACTCCGTTTAAAGACAGGCAGAAGCAGCATTTTACGGCATTTCATAAAAACTCTAGGTTTCAGTTTCTTATCGGAGTGCATCTCAGTGCCTGCGGTCCTGCTCCCTAGTGGCTGAGGTGCTCCACACATCTGCGCCATAGTTCCCTCCATCCTATGAGAGGGGCAAGGCGGTGGCTTCGCAATCACTTCATTACATGTTCACATATTTTCTTGCCAGAACCTTCGGGACCGGCGATTTCCTAAAATCGTGCATTGTTATTTATGGCCCCAGTAATGGAGTTGATGATGATGCTTGTGGTGCACTTGCGGACCCTGACTTGGTGTTTTGTTTGCCTGTTTGACAGGCGGGGCTTGCTGGGGAGATGTCCAAGCTAACCATCAAGACGGCTGAGGAACTGCGGCAGAGCCCAACGGAGCAGGCGATGTACGGCGGCTCGGAGGCAAGACAGTTTGCCTGGGAACGCGGACAAATTGACTACCTGGGTGCCGATGCCTTTGAGAACATCCAGAAAAAACTGGACACCGCCATTACCCCGCCCTCGGAGCCCGTCACGACGCAAGCGCACCCAGAACAGGCTTCCAAGACAAAAGGCGCTCAACCCAAGCAACAAAAAGGGGTTCAGAAATGAGCTAACCGTAACGAAAGAACTGCCGAAACGAGCCGAAACTGATGACGTAGTATACATTGTTTGCGCCAAGCCGAAGCTTTTTTTTTTTTCTTGAAATCATAGGTTTTTATATTTCCGTTGTGTGCCAAATGATTAACCCTGCGGTGGTTTCTTTCTTCTCTATTGAAGGTGCTGGATTTTTTTTTTTTTCAGGAACCTTTTTTTTTTAGTGTACATATTTTTTTTTCATACACTTACAGTTAGTTTTACTTGTCCCTTGGAAAATTTCTAGACTGCAGTTTTATAGTGCAGTTTATTTTTTCTATAACAGCTTTTTCTGGAGTGGTATATTGCTGTGCTCTTTTTTTTGTGAAACAAAAAAGGAATGCGGCGAAAAGGATGAATATATTATACAACATAAAAAAGTGGCTTCTGTGTTTTCATTTGGTGGGGTTGACATATTTGTTTATTTCGCATAGTCTTCATTTGGGCATTGTCGAGCTGGTTATGGTCAAACCAGGACGACATATCACGATTTCTTGTATGCACAGATTGTATGGTGTATCCTTAAATGGATACACCTTCATACATGGTTGAAGATAAGCAGGTAACTGAGCCATACTGATAGAATGTAATAAAAGTTGCAAAGATACCGAAAGACACTCCTAGCACTGCCAAAGATTCTTTCGGCGGCTTCATAATATTTCATTCGCAATTCATTCATCTGCATATTTCAGATTTCCTCTTTCGAGACCATGCGCAAGTTGCCCCGACATGCGTATGCCGCTCAAGCCTACAAGGACCTGCTTATCTTTTTAAGAAAGGAGGACTTGCAGAACGTTTGTGAACAATGACCAACTGATGACATTATTCCCCCCCCTCATTTTTTTTGAAGCAAACACAATTTATTTTTGCATTTACCCTCTGCCCCTTTAACCTTGTTTGGTTGTCTTTCCCAAAGCCGGGTAGCGACTTGCATCCTTAGAGAAGGCCCACATCTCTCCTGTCATTCCCCTTTCTCTTTACCTGAACACTTAAAGTCAACTCAAAATAAAATCTATTGCACGTCTTATTTTTGTGGCCAACTGGTTCGATGTCCCCAGCTTCAAAGTATGTTCGAAATTGTGGAGACGGTGAAGCAAGAACACATTTTGGTCACATTCACTAGGAAAATTGACTGCTGTTTGCGAGCAGTTATACGTTTGTCATAAACAGAATGATCGGAAGGTTGGGCGAGGGAAAGGAAGCATGAGGAGGGAGAAGCTGATGGAACGCTGAAAAGGAGAGAGGGAACCTCCTCTCTCCAGCATTCAGTCTCCTTCCTCCTCACTGGCCTTCTTTTCCTTTGCCATACCTTCTTCAGTTGCAACGGACTATCTCATTTTCTCTCATTCTCTCTATATGTATATATATATATATTATGGTGTATATACTATTTGAAAGGTGTGATTACTTTGAGTCAAGTAAAAAAAACTGACTGATTATGGATATTAACAGGATATAGGGGTTATTCACTGGATGCCATATTTGAGTGAGGTTCAGAGTGCATGCTTAGAACGAGCTCTTTTGTGGAATTACCCAAGCATCAAGGATAATGCTGGGAATGTAGTTGCACGCGGTGCTCGCGCTCGCCTAATCTGTAAGAGATTCGAAGTAAATTACCAAAATGGGCGTTAATAATTACGTGCGTGTAAGAGACATTTATTTTTAGCTTTTGGTTGAGAACAGTCACTGGTGCAGATCTTGATGGTGTGGAGTGTAGGTTGCAAAGGGACTGAAAGCTTGCCGTCGGTACGCACGTACGTATACATCAGCACGCTGGCCCCGACATCCTCCGATTTTCAAGATGACTTGCTTGGCCTGTCCTGCAGTACCCCTCCGGATGTTCCGGCGTTTTCTTGACTCGGGGTCTGTCCCCACTGCTTGGAAGTTGTCACATGTGACCCCCATCCTAAAGGCAACCCACCTACCCTCTGACAATCCAGACTCCTACCGTCCTGTGGCCTCAACCTCTGTCGCCTGCCGGACACTGGAACGGGTTATCAACAAGCAGCTCCTCTTTCATCTTGATTCCTCAGCACTCCTGAGCCCAGCCCAACATGGTTTCCGGCAAGGCCGCTCCTGTGAAACTGCCCTTGCCTCCCTAGTGCACACTGCGAGTGCCCATCTTGACTCTCGCACACTATACGAGATATAGTTCAAATGGATCTCTTCAAGGCATTTGACCGGATCAACCACCATCTGCTTCTGCAAAAGCTCCATTGGTTGGCATGGACCGGTACCTCTTGAGCTAGCTGTCTAGCTTCGTCACTGGAAGTTTTCAGTCGGTTCGCTTTGCGGAAGCACTATCAGATCCCTGCCTTTTGGCATCTGGTGTACCTCAAGGAAGTGTACTTGGTCCAACCCTTTTCAAAATATTCATAGATGACTTCACGAACCACCTATCCTCCACGCCTTTCCTTTATGCTGATGATCTGGCACTCCTCTACCCCATCAAAACGCCTTTTTCATACACCTCCCTTCAATCCGACTTTGACCATTGTTACCGGTGGTCCTTAGAGAACCTCCTGCCCTTCAATCTATCCAAATGCTGCTTCATGACTGTCACTTCACAAAGACTCTCATCTTCTCAGTCCCACAGTCTCTGCCTTGGTGGTGTCCCTCTTCAGCAGGTTACCAACCTGCACATTTTAGGAATGTGCACGTGGACAGTCAACTCCACTTTGGTGAGCACATTGCACTAACCACTGCTAGAGCTCGTCGCCTACTTGGTTTTGTTGTCTGCGTTACTTGTGGAATGAGCCCTGTGGCTATTTTCAACACCTTTACACTGCCCTCGTCCTCCCCATCCTAGAGTACTGCTCCACAGTTTGGTATCCTCACCAGCCATCCCTGCAATCAAGCCTGGAGGCCGTGCAACGTCGGGCCGCATATATATATATATATATATACGCATATATATATATGTACCAGACCTTGAGATGATGCAGTCTTCTTCACAGGAGACAGCTCGCCTCCATCCGTCTGTTTTGTCTGCTTATGCAGCCCTCCTACTCTGATGTCCCAGACCGCCCTCGTCTCAACCTGCGAACTGGTGCCGTTCAACCCATCCTCGCTCGTACGCTCCGACACCGCGAGTTGTGCCTGCTCGTGCAGCCCACTCCCTGCCATCTAACCGTGAGGACATTAGAGCGCTCCAAAGTGAGGCAACAAGATATGTGTAGCTGCATCAATGACTAAGCGTATCAGTATGCGTGTGTGTTTTGTTATTATTATTATTATTTATTTTTTTTTGCGGGGGGGGGGGGGGGGGGGGGGGTATGAAGGGTCAGTTCTGTGGGCACACATGTTGCGAGGGCTGCGAGTTTTGAGCTCGCACGACATCCACACTCCTCTTCTTTTTAAGTGCAATAAAGTATGAAATATCAAGAATTTTGAAATAACGTTGGTTGGAAATGTAGGCACACGCGCTGCAGGCGCTCGCCTTCTCTGTATAAAAAATTGTAACATAAAAGATTCGTTCTTTATTAACGTGCGTGCTACGCGTGTGGCGTCTGCTCTAGACTGCAGGATTTGGTGCTTGGATAAAGGCCTTTTCAACAGCAAATACCGTGACAACAAAAGTGCGGAGCATCAAAACTTTACTCACTAAGCAAACAAAAGTATTGCCGCCTCTGGGAGGGCTCGAACCTCCAACCTTTCGGTTAACAGCCGAACGCGCTAGCCGATTGCGCCACAAAGGCGACCCTATTGAGGCAATTTGAAAAATAGTGTAGTGACTGAGGTGACTGAGGCCCATATTAGAAAATTGAGGAATACGTTTTATGATTTATTAAACTATGGAATTTATTAACTTCCTCTCACGTTTTTATTAAAACACAAAAGCAAGGAACAGAGTCACGAGACATACGCATAAGACCGCACGAGATCATCTGAGCTCATGAGCTCAATACCATTTTTTTGTTTTCTTTCGAGGCCCCTAGCGGAAGTCACTGGAGTTTCGAGGAATATAATGATGGCCGCGGTTTCGTGGCTTTTCGAGAAGAGGCATCTAAAACGGCCAAGATTAGGACCTCCAGACGTTTATCCCCAAGACCCGAAGCAAAAAGAGGTGATTATGAGCACTTCATCGATCTAACCAAGTCTAACAAGAGTCAATATCTGACACAATGGAACCAGTGTACGATGATACCGCTGGGCCACTTGGCACGGGTGACCGCGGTCGGTAACTGCCTATCGAGTATTCCTCATGAGCCGGTAATAACTGACGTTAACTGCTGGATACAAACGCATTCGTCTCCTGAAGTTGTCGGAACTGGGCAAGTACCGACGTGCGATGTTGAGTTTTTATCGCAGTCCAAGTTAGTGCGTCAGTTGTGCGACGGTCAGATGACAATCTAGCCTTGCGTTACCTAATTTGTTTGTACTCTGTGGTTTCGGACAACTACAGTTTGTGGTTGCTTCGCGTGCTCTGATCTCGAGTGTCGCGTTTGTGCATTTCAGGACGAATTGACTGCTATTAATGTCAAACAAGGCTTCATCACCAATCCTCAGATCAGCGACGAGGTGAGGTCACCGACGAGTTTGCTCGACTTTGGTCTTTTCGCGTTGTTTGTTGTTGGTCCGTGCCTGGTGGAAGTGTCGGCTTGCCTTGGTGCGTTATCAAATTCCAATTCTAAAACAAATTTGTGCGGTGTTTGCAGTATGGATCTGCCAGAAATGCAAACATTACTCCCGCAAAGGTGAGCGATCTAGGAATTGTCGGTCATTTTGGAGTTGGTGTTTATCTGTTAAACTGTATTAATATCTTTCCTATGCATCGTTTCCTGCTTGCTACAGTTTGGGGCCTTCTTTAGTGCCATTTTGGCAAAGAAGCAGGAACTTAACACGATACAGGACTCTGGTCGGAAGAGGCAACAGATCAACACGAAAGAACACTTCTGGCCTGTAAGTAGTAGCTTTTCAACCATTAATGGTTGTATGTGGTCCAATTCCCTTCATTGACTTAAGGGCCTTGTCTCGTTCAGACAAGCATTGAATTAACACATTTTTATGACTGCATGCACAACTTCTGTGTTCTTTCAGGTTACAGCCAGGTCAAAAAATGCAATCGAAGCATGGTTCAAAGACCTTGCAGGATCAAAGCCGCTCACAAGCCTGGCAAAGAAGGCAAGCCATTAATGTCTTTTTCTTCTTTTTACACAAGCGACTTGTTCTGTTTTCTGACACCAGTGCAAGCAAGCAAAGTTTTCATTGCTTTCAGTTTTTTCTTTTTCTTTTTACACTCGGCCATGCAAATTTATCTTATTTGGTCTGATTGTAAGGTCACACTCTTGAACCTACAATTTGTTCAATTTATCCTGTATACTTTGGCTTAGGGGTGATACCAACTGCATGCATAAACCAAACCAGCCTTTATATCTTTTAATACTGGGGAACCTTCCATTTGGTCATCCACTTCTCTGCCTAATCCTATCCTGTATTTGAACTATGAAGCTAAATAGAATGTAGCTACAAAGAACCCCAAGTCTGAGGTAAGAGAAGGACAACACAATTTGAAGTCTCAAACATAGCTGGAATTTATTCAACAAGAGACTGCTTAAATAGTCTCCGAACCCAAAGGACAAGAAAGCAACACAAAAGAAACAGTAAACTACAACTTTTTTTTTTTTTTTTTTGTGTGTGTGTGTTTGTTTTTGAATGCTATTTAAGCGGTCTCTTGTCAAATAAATTTAAGCTGTGTTTGAGAGTTTGTGAATCTGGTGTCCTTTTGCTTCCTCAGTTTTGGGCATCTTTGTGATTATGTTCAATTTTTACCGGCTTGTTTGTGCCCTTACTGTTTTGTTTATTGGACCTAAATAGGGTCGGTGGGAATCGTGTACCTTTCAGTGCATAATGTGCAGTTCGGTGAACAAAACAATGACATGCCTCTACGTCAATCTTAAGACGACTTGTTAACTACCTCTTGACACTGCACTAAACTGTTGTCCTCCCAGGTTCCCATCTTCAACAAGAAGGAGGAGATCTTCCTGACACTCTTTGAGTTCTCGGTGCCCATGCTGAGAGCGGCCTGGTTCATCAAGATGACGTCGGTCTACCAGGTGGCCATATCGGAGGCCAAGATGAAGAAGCGGCAGCTCCCAGACCCATGCCAAGGTAGCCTCTCACTCCTGTCCCATCTCGCCTGCTTGACGGTGCAGGAACTTGAGTCCGAGGAAGGTTGAGAGTTTAATTGCATGCCTATGTCCATTCAGTGTTCTCTCGGATTTTCCATGTTTACAATGGAGACCCCCAACATGTGCATGCACAGCCAGCTTTATGATGTCAGAGGATAGCCAGTGGAATGTTATGGCAGCATCAGTGTTCAGAAGACATGTCTGTTTTAAGCAGTAGATAGCTATATGTAGGATGATTGGGTGGTTGACATATTTGAAAGTAATTAACCGGAAAGTAAGAAAAAGGAAAATCATTTTAACAAATAATTGCTCGCTGGTTGTACAGATGTTCCCAGGGGCACGTAATAGTCTACCATTGCCAAGTTACTCGCTTCGATCAGTGCCACATACCAAATGTATAGGTGGCATCAACATCAATTTATTGTCCACAGTCTTGACACAGTACTGTATCTACCTCTGTGCATTCTGAATGTCTCGGCATTAATTTATTCTTCGAAGTTGGGGGAAAACATGTGAAGTCGGCAAAGTGAACAGTGAGGTGCTGCGTGGTTGTAACAAGGAAGTCTCATTTGGGCTACTTTAAAACAAACAAGTATAGCTAACCTTTACGAGAAGTCGGCTGCTCACAGTATGGCCAGTCGGTGGAACGCACAATTGTGATTGTGGGCAAGCTACTCTATTTACTCGCTCTATTTACTCGAGTAATAGACACACTGTTTATGAAGAAAACCTGAGGGGTTCGCTTTTCCACGGAGCACGCGAATTGCCAATCACTGCAATCGACAGCATGATTCCAGTAGTTTACAGGACAGAGATAACGTCTTTGCTCGAAGATACCATCTGTGAAGATTGCATTTGTACGAAGAATCATGTTCTCGATCTAGTTATTCGCTATGTAATTTATGCGAAATTTGATGGTTAGTTGTATATGTGTTTTGCAGGAAATCAGACGCAAGGGCCTTGTACATTAATAGTATGGCTATTACTAGAGTAAATACAGTATAAGGAGAGCTATGAAAGGCTCTTCAATCTTAATAACGAATGGGAGCTCTGATGCAAAGCGTTACTGAAGCTCGTGCATCATTTGTTGATATGATTGACGAGGCTTTTATAGCTCCTTTCCCGGTTTGCACATGATTCTAACATGCCAAGTGAAATGCAAGCAGCCGATTGGCAAGCTCTGTTTGCAATCTGAGCTGATGCCTTTGACAACAAGACCCTCGGAACTTGCTGTTGCTCTAAGTTGGGGGTCTACAAACTTTTTGGCTCAGGAGCCAAATTTAGGACCTGTTACAGTCTCAAGAGCCGGAAATAAATACAGTAAAACTTCGTTATAACAAAATGGGATATAACAAACTAATGGATATAACAAAGCAATCATAATTCCCCTTGCATGCTAATAGGGAAGAAATGGACATTGGCTATAACAAACTAATGGTTATAACGAAATAATTACGATCGCTCCTTCAACTTTGTTGTAACGAGGTTTTACTGTAGGTAAAAAAAGTCTAATTAAATAAATGTAACAAAGAGTTTAAAAAAAAAAATCAGATTCAAGGTATTTACATAGGGCAGAATGCTGATGAGAGTTTTAGAACTGGTAATGGGGGGGGGGGGGGGGGGACACTATGCAATGGTTCTGACACAGGATGCTAAAACTAAGCATGTATACATCAGAACTCAAAGGAATTTTAACTTAAGTTACACAGACATGAAACAGGTGGCTAAGAATAGTGATGCTGGTAATGACAGCGTGCAATATACAAACTCTCAGTGCAGACTGTTGAGCGAGTTGGTACTGGGCATTCAAAAACATGGTAGCGCTTGAGATAATGACAAAGGAGGAGACTGGACAACACAGAGCGCTGATTGCAACTGTTTCATCATCGTGAATTGGGAAGTGTATACACTGTGATCACTGCACTTTTTTGCCAATCCCAGGTTTTGCCACCGCTTTCAAGAATGCTAACTCTTTATCTGTCAGGTCAATGGAGACCTAAGGGCAAGACCATAAGAGAGATAATTGAAGCAGGTGAAATCAAAAGATTTGGCGCGGGCTGTGTCAGTGTTGCCTCCATTGATCCGATAGATAAGGAGGTAGCGTTGTTGAGAGCGGCGCTGAGACCCGGGATTGGATAAAAGTCCAACGATTGTAGTATATATACTTCCCAATTCAGAATGATTAAACAGTTGAAGCCAAGTGCTGTGTGTTGTCCAGTCTCCTTCTTTGTCTTCGTCTCAAGCGCTACCATGTTTTTGAATATGTACTATGTTATACAACGCAGCACTATCAGATTGGAATCAGAATGGATGCGATGAGTTTGCTGAGCATCGTGACACTGTTACTTTATGCGTGCTTATCCTTGCGCCGGTAGCAGCGGTGGAAACGAGCGACGGGCCGGGCGTCATTGGGAGCACCACGAACAGCCTTGGGTCGGTCAAAAGGCCTCCGCAGGCCAGTTCTGTCGTGCGGGCTGAGGTTGGGAGACCTTTGCTCTGTGTGTCGCCGCACGGTGAAACTAGTTGCCACAGGACCCATGGTTACAGATTTTATCGTGTTATTCCCAGCAAACGGACACTTTGCGCCTCTGGGCAGCTGTAAACGGTGATGCCATTGTGTGACACAATCTCGTTCTGTTTACCCAGAGTGGACCACACCCCTGTGCAAGTTTCTGAGGGAGTTGCTTCACAAGCTCGTGGAGCACAGCCATCCCACCGGACCTCCCCCGGGTTCCGGTGGCAGCCTGGGCTCCCAGGGGGGTGGGACCAGCCCCGCTCCCTCCGCCCCCTCCATCCCCCCGGACACGACCATCGCCAAGCAGTGGCAGTACTGCACCCAGCTGGCCTCCTACCTGTACGAGGTGAGCTGGCGGGGCGACGTAGGCAAGGCGAAAAATCCCACATGACTAAGGGCACCAACATTGCAGTTCGCTAGCGGGTAGTCATGCGGGATTTTTGTAAATCTACCGCGCTTTCTTCAAAGCTTGAAAAAATTAGGCATGCAAGGGCTACCTCTATGGAAATGACGCGATGGGATGTTTCTCGACGTGCTCAGCAACTTTTTGTGTTAAAGGTTTGTGCACAAATGAATATTTAAAGAACTAGCTAATTAATTTGTTTTAAGTGGCCCAGCTGGCCCTGTCGCAAAAATATCTCGACTTGCTCAATAGGACGGTGAGCAATACTACATCAGTATGGCATGTATGGCATGCACCAGCTTTTTTTTAAGTCCTTACACAAGTTAGCTGGAACACCCTGTATGTATATGAATGCACTGCTGGAAAGATGCAGTGTGGTAAGCCTGCATATGATTTATGGTGGCTAACTAAGCAGTTATAATGTATTTGCCATTTTCTGAAAACGTTTCTCCAGGTTATAGTAATTATTACATTAAAAAAAAAAAAAAATTGAGTTGTCCTTTGTTATTTTACAGTATGGTCATAGCAACAGCTGCTACAGGTCATGGCAAAGTTGTTGGGCTGTGTGGTGCGTGGGGCAGTGGGGTGCATGAACAAAAGCGTTCGGAAGAAAATAGACATCTGTTTTGTTCCGAGTGCTTTTGTTTCGTGTCATTTTGTTCCAAATGCTTTCTTTTTTTTTTTTTGTTCCGGAGCTTGTGAAAGCTTGTTTCCCGGCATGAGCTCCTGGCATTGACAGTGCTACAACAACAGTAAAACTTTGGTTGGGGCTAGTTGGTTCATATTGATTAAAAGGTTAAAAGGCGCGAACAAACAGGACGAAAAACGACACATACGACATGGACAGGCCCCGACTTCCAACTGATTTATTGAAACAGGGATCATTGCCAAACTCAATCCCACTTGCCTAAACACATGCAACTGACAAAAGTTCTTACCGCTCATTACACCCATCCTTCCAGATGTCTGTATTGACAAAGAAATTTTGTTTCTTGAAGTATGTGTGTAATGAGTGATAGGAATTTTTATCAGTTGCATCTGTTTAGGCGATTGGGATCGAGTTTGACAATGATTCGTGTTTCAATAAATCAGTTGGAAGTCGGCACCTGTCCGTGTCATATGTGCGTCTTTTTTCGTTCTATTATAGGCTTTTTTTTTCTTTACAGAGGGCAGTGGGCATTGGGTACCACAAGAACCTTAAGTATAGAGAGAGCTGTTAACACTGTGGCATAGCTCGGTGGTAACGCCTCCACTTCGCACACAGCGGACCAGATTCGACTCCGGCTGGCGACGAGCAATTTTTTTCAAGGATTTGGCAACATTGATGACGGATGCCCTACCTCGCCTACTACAACATTGACAACTAGTACAACTACAACATTATTAACTGCTGCGACGTCAACAACGGATGTCATTTCCAGTGGTGGGAGAGCCTGTAACAGCTATCGCTGTAAAATAATAATAATTTAGACAGCAGATAGTGCATGACACTTTTTCCAACACTTCTTGCACCACTCAGCTATGCTTCTCTGCGGTGCATGAAAGCACTGCAAGGAAGTGTGCTCTGCACCTCCTAAATTCTGCATGGTCCGTGACCCTCACAAAAGAAGAATAATGTTGTGACAGTGTATGCTTCTTTTTACAGGAAGGGCTGTTGGACCACCAGGATTTCCTCAGTTGGATCTTGGAGCTTGTGGAGAAGACAAAGACCCCTGATGACCCCATACTGAAACTAGTCATGCCTCTCACTCTGCAGGTGCGCCAAACCTTTCTGATAAGCAAGCTTTGTTGCAGAAGCAAAACTGCTCTTCTTATGTTTTCATGCTGATTTAACTCTATACTGTTTTACCCACCTTTTTACCCCACGTGTGCAAATTGCTAGATATCTTGGAAATTTAATGTTCCACCAATATTTTCAATGATAAAAGCTGAAGCTGTTCTGCAGTGCACTTGTTACAAGCTAAAATATTAGAACCAAACGCGTTACAAGCTAAAATATTGGAACCAAACACGTTTGACCTATCAACATATCGAGCTACTAAGAAGCCAATAAATTGGTAAGTCGGACATTCTTTTTTCTTAAAAAATGACCAGAAAGCACTGAAGTGATGCTTCAAGATCACCATGTACGAAGAAAATTACAAATAATGCTGCTCTGTAAATTGTCGGAACTCGCATTCACCTGATTCGTATGAGCACTGTTGACTGGAATTTTGTTGTTCCGAAGAGCAAAGAGTTATTTTATAAAAGGTTTATGAATAGTCCAAATAAATACTTATTGGCTGTTTTTGTTTTCTTCCCTGTCTGGTGCCTTTCACACTTCCTCTTTTTTCCCTCTAGTATGTGGATGAATTTGCCCGCTCCGAGCTGCTGTCGAGGAGGCTGGCTCACCACTGCTGCAAGAAGCTCAGCCAACTCATCACTGACTACAACATGGCCTCCCCAAGAAGCCAGAGTCCCGTCGTCACTAATGGCAACTCCACCACTCCCGCCACCACTAATGGGTAAGCTCTGAACAGCTTCGAACTGAATTTGTACTACTGTAAATTACTCTATTTTTGCGGGCCCAATATTTCGGATAAGTGTAGTTTTCTGGAATAACTCGGCATGAAATTTCGTGGATGAGGGCGGTACGCAATGTGCTTGACGCCATAGCGAAATATATTCGCGGGATCTATTTTTTTCAGTACTTATGTATTTGAGTCGCAATATTTGCGAAAATTAGGTTCTTGCAAAAATTGCGTTGTTTTGCAGTATTTAGAGTGTCCTCAATAAATCCTTGTGCACTAAAACTTTTACCAAACTTGCGTCTAGGTAATGGATTTTACTTGGTGAAATCTCGACGTGTGGCTCTCCTGCGAAAAACGAAACCAACAAACTCGCTGGGGTCGACTGCGGACGTGTTTGCAGACGACCGAGTTGGCAGCGGTTCCAAAGCATGGTTTCGTCTCCCGACGGGTGCAGCGAGAAGACGACGCACTCTGTCTTCCGCTCGCTGCGCCCATCAAGAGATGGTGCCACAGTTTTTTTTCTTTATTCTGATTCGTCGTTTGTTGGCAACAAAAAAAGAAAGTGTTTTACCGGCATGGGGTGGAAATTTTCTCGCCTCCGTGCTACATCACTTGCTAATTCTTAAGGTGCGGAGTGGTGGACCGGTCCATCTTTAAGGCTGCGAGAAAACGCACTTCGTTCGCCGATGTAACGGCATCTGGAACGCGTCTCCGACTGTCGTGCTTGCTGCGTCCCTAAAAGTGGTCTGTCGATTTCCGCCCGATGACGGGCGGTGGTGGGTGTGGCAAACACCCTTACTGCTGCAGGTCTCTCTCTAGCTTGACGATCCGCAAAAGCTTCGGCAGCCAGGGGTTGGGACGCCGCAACGACGGCGACACTCGCGTTTGGTTGTGCTTGTTGACGGAACTTCTTCGACCGACAGCCGGGATTGGGACGTACGACAGCAGACAGCATGGCACGCCGGCTTTCGTGACGTCGTCTGTTGCCACTTGGGGGTCACTTTTGATACGTGGGTGGAATGGGATGCTAAATGCACCGGTTTACGCGTTCCAGACGCCATAGTAACGAGGAAGAAGTGGCAGACTTCCAGGTTGTTGCCAGACGGAAGGTGATGGGGCAGATTTTTGCTTTCAGATTTTTTCGTAGCTTTTTTTTTTCTTCTGGCGGCAGATTGAGAAACAGTTTTTTTTAACTCTGTTTTGAAAAGCTAGTAAAAAAAAAAAAAAAACGAGTGAAATTGTTTACAGTCGTGAAATAGTATTTATTTCGATGTAGGGTACATATATTTTTTTTTTACTCGTCGTCGTTTTTGTTTTTTGCGTCGCTGCAGGAGCATTATGTTGGAATGACCGTCGGTTCTTATTTTGAGATGTTAATTGTATGTGGCCGTTTCCGTTGACTGCTGTGCGTGGCACCAGTCCAGGTTGTCGTTTCGACTCTGCAAAACTACACGTCTGGAAGCCATACTAGTTGTACGTTACAGTTCTCGGAAAGTGCTTCTCTGCCAAATACAATCTGTATTGAAGGCCACTACGGTACCTTTATTTCAATTATTTTATTTTATTTTTTTGAAGATCAGTGTCGGAAGATTCTGAATGCCGTAAGTCCTTGGGTAAGTTTTGAGGTTCAGTTGATTAACCCGCCCATGCCAGTACATGTAAATAGGCATTGCTTTAATGCTCTCGTAAAATACTAGTAGTGTTGTGCTTACTACCTTTTTATAGGGTGTGACCAATAGAGGAATGGAATAATAATGCTAAGTATTCCTTGTCTACTTTAGGAGCTTACTTGTCCAGCAAAGCATTGTGCTTGGCAGAAAATTGAGAACAAAATTTTTAAACAAAACCTGAATGAGTATTTGTGGGCTTTTATTAGTGAATCGGATTGAAAAAAATGCAATGCGTATTGTCAAGATTTTTGTCATACTTGCTGCCATCGATATTGAACCTCCAGACACTTTCGTTGTGGAGGCACACATAAACAGCGCTTCCTGGTGTCTCCAAATTCAAATGTTATTCTTGGGGATGTCGAACTTTAGGAGCTCTGCACTTGGTGAAAATCTGGGTAAATTGTGAAATTTGGTCGCAACTGTGGCACATATGGCAGTGATATTGGTTTAATTGACTGAAAAAACTGTCTTTCCATGTCTTTTCTTGTTTCCTGATCATTCAGCACCAGCAGCGTGGTGTCTTCAGCTGCTCCCCAGCCTTCGAGCGTTGGTCCCCTGGCCGCAAGCTTTGCAGAGTGCCTCAGCTGTTCCCATCATCGCAGCATCGTGCTTCAGCTCTCAGCTGTGCTTCAGGTGTTTTGACTGCTTCACGCTTTCTGTTTGTTTTCTGTCATTCTGGTTTCATGCTAGTCATACATAGATGTTACTGGATGCAGTGTGGTATACATTTCAAGACCTGTGGTCTTGAAATTCGTGCCACACTTCTAGTGGACGAATTGCATTAATATTTCTCGTCAGATTTATTTATGGTTTCTTAAAGTTCTTATATTATTTCTGAAATATGTCTGCCCTACATAGTGGCTGCACAACGGACCGAGGGAATAGGAGATACACTTTTTGTGCTCTGAATGATTCTAGAGGTTATCTTAAATAAAATAAAATACAATTATTGTTAGGAATTTAACGACTAGAACACATTTTGTGCGGCTCAAAGTGTTGCATAATGCTGCTTGATTTTTTGTTTGTTTTTGGCATAGGTTATCACTACAAAATACGATACCTCGTGGCAGTGGAGTCCTACCTAACCCTTTCCTAAGTCAATCATTGCTGCTTGCTGTTTTAGCTGCAAACAACAGAGCGTTTATGTTGTTTATTGACACAACAGATCTTAACAGTCATGCAAATGAAGCAGGATGGTTGAAGGGGTGGTGCAACAATATCCAGTTGAAATGTTTTCCACATTATACAAGCTAACTGGCACTATTGGGACCCAAGTATACTTGCACGCAAGGCCACTGACGGAGAAACTTCTTTGTTGCTTCATAATTTTAAGTATAAAAGTGTGCTTTTTGTTTCAATTTCTCCTTTGCAAAACTTAGTGACGTAGATTGGAGGTCGTAATGTCGGCACGTTCCCCAAAGTGACGCTATTTTAATGTGGCTCATAGATTTAACCTGAGCATTGCGCAAGCACTCGATTTGCGCTCGCGATAATCAACCGTTTGACAATCATTTGTGTAATGTTTCGTGTCCAATTGCTGCTAGAACGACAATAGCCGTACCCTAATAGTGTCTGGAACTTGGTGCATGTCCTGCACTTTGCGCGAGTTGGTGCGCGTCCCGCGTGCATGGCTTCGACAAATACGGGCGGCGTATAATCGGCTGGAGATCACGTGGCCGCTTGTACCGGCTGCGAGTTGAGGGGGTGAAGGCTACCATTGCGTGCGGAGAAAAAGCTAGTGCATGTTTCGTAGGTTACAAACATGAGAGATCAATTATAGGCAGCATCTGCGCAGAGTACAAGAATTGTAGCACTGCCCCTTTAAAGACGATTCTCGAACGTTGTGCAGGTGATAACTCTAGAGTGCCCCAGTGCCCTGGTGTGGAACAACATTGGGGAGGGGAAGGCCAATCCCATACTTAACGGTAGCCCCTTGGATATCCTGCCCTGCCCGCCCTCCTGTCTACCCATGGCTCCCAGGCCTTACAACGCGCAGGTAAGATAACTGTCGCAAAGGCTCCGCTTGCTTACCTGGAATGCTCAGTAAGCGTGGCACTCACTATACCGTTGTTAAGGTATGTGAAAGAGAAATTCTCAGTGGAGAAAGGGAAACAGGTCCCAGAAATGTGTTTGTTCCGTCGAGTTATTTCTTTTGTATTAGAATGTTAGAGCAATGTGTACCATACCACAAACATGTCTTTTAGCAATTGTTCACCCAACTGTTATTGTGCAATGCGTGCGACAACACCAATCATTCAAAGGTGTTACAGTTATGTAGGTCAGATTTCATGATGTGTTTGTGTTTACCTCTATGCCTAATTATATTGTCATTGATGAATATTTGCTTTAGACATTTGTTCCTTGACTCACTGAATTCATGCAGGTGCGGCTAGAGCTGCGTCGTGCTGAGCAGCAAGTCATCCAGAGAGGGCGTGCCGCTGAGCTGCAGTGGTCCTGTGACAAGTGGCAACAGATGGCGGCTGGTGAGGCCGGGAACAACCCCCTTTAAAGGGGTTGTTTTTTTATCATTGTTATTTCTCGTCTTGTATATTCTTGATGAGCCTGGGCGTCCCACAAACAATGTTCAGGAATAGTAGGCTACATAGAACCTTCAAAGTTTTTACACTAGAACCTTTATGAATTATTTTTGCTACATTTTGACTTTTATTTGAAGCTGATCCAATGTTTGTGTCCAGTTGTTCTCATCAATGTAAGATCAGTCTAGGATAGGCCCTACTGAATGTTTCCTGGCTTTCGGTTTAGAGCACAGGTAAATGACGTTGGACGAACCTAAGCGGTACAACGGGTTGGCCTCGTCTTCCATCCAACTGGGCGCATTGTGGAGGAACGGCACCGGGATATAAGTGTTGTCGGGTGGCATTAGAAAACACTTCCACAATTTTGTCGTTGGACATTTTGGAAGTCTCTCCTGCAGTTCACTGCAACCCTCTCTCATTTGCGTTCTTGTGCAGGAACGACGATCACCCGTGTCCTGGGAGCCTTGGACGCGCTAGATAGGCACAGCTTCGACCGCGTCGAAGCAAACAACTCGTTGGACACGCTGTACGCCAAGATCTTCTCCCGTGCTGACCAGTCGCAGGCCCCGATGGCAGCCGGAGGCGGGGCAGGGCTGGAGGGTGGGGCCCCGCAGCTGGTGGCTCCGCCCCCTCAGGACGAGCCAATTGTGCGGCTCCTCTGCGAGTGGGCGGTGACCACCAAACGCAGCGGGGAGCACAGGGCCCTTGTTGTTGCCCGTCTGCTTGAGAAGAGGCAGAACGAACTCAGCGTGGAGGTATGTCCTCCCCTTTTTGTCTTGTTATTAATGCTGAATGGCATTCTAGCAGAAGCTTAACTCTGCTTTCGTTTTCTGCCCGTGGTCTGTGTAGCACATAACATGACGCCGCAACTAGGCGCCATGACATCACTGACCGCTTCGCGTGACATCGGGTCAAGTGACAGTGTGCCACCCCATGTGAAAATCGGTTAATTTCCAGCTGGATTCTGGAACTCAGCTGAATCCAGCTGGGCTGTGTCATTCCCAGTTGGTTCCAGATGGAACCTGATCGGTAATCCAGGTGTAGACAGACTAATTTTCACCTGGTGGGTTTTCACGTGTGTGACGTGATGTCACGTGATTAATCATAGTGTGCCAATAAAAATATTAGCTGTCTCTGTCATTTTCCAGAAATGCCCTAAGTGCGTAGCATTTAGAATGCCTTTGCTGATGTCCGCCTGAAACCACTGTCTGTTGCACGCTTTTGCAACTAACGAATTACTCGTGAACTTGTGCTTGATCTGCCGGTTGGCTGCTGTGTTGCGGCAGCTGGCTTTCTGTCTTTGTAGGGCCCTTCATTCTCGTTTTGTAGCCGATTCCCTTGCTCCTCACCCTTCACCCTGTTTCGCTGGCCACTTTAAATGACTCGAGCATTCTTCAATCACGCGTATTAGTTTGCATGTGCCATACAAGTCCGAGGTCAGGTCTTCCAAAATGTTGTGCCTTTTTGGAAGGCATGACCTCTCCAACCTCTTTTTAAAAATAATCCGCCACAAATGACATTTGGTTTTTGCAAATAAAGCAAATGAGAATAAAAAATGTTGGTAGAATTCCTGTGAGTAAGCTTGTTTTTGAGGACCAGGTAAACAGTGTGGTTGCATTTTGCTTACCTGTCAAATCATTTGACGAAGCGTGGCGAGAATGGTGCAGATAAAGGCAGACAAGCAACCTGACAGCAGGAAACCCTCCTTCAGTTCCTTTTCCTTTGAGAAGGAGGGATACATATTTCTCCTTTCTAACGGGAGCACTATCTCAGAAACCCGATCTCGTGGGGAGAGAAGAGCTAGAGGGTGGGGAGAGGAGGAAGCTGGGAATCAGTTTTCTTTTTGGCATAAGACGATTCTGTAGGTTAGCCTTTAAGCAAACTTGGGAATCCAGGTATTGTTGCAAGAGCGTGCAAGATGGAATGTCAGTGACAGGTTGATTTGCAGCATCTGGTATTGCCCTATGTGGGCAGTTCCTTGGGTGATGCTGGCAGTAAGTTTTTTCCGTGGCGCAGAAGTACAACGACGCCGACCTGGTGGACGAGAAGGACTCACAGGACTCCGGCGCTCCTCCCATGGGACTGCCCGTGTTCCAGAACCTCCTGGTCAATTTCCTGGACACGGAAGCCCCCGTTCTCGGTGAGTGGGTGACAGTCACTTTTCGTTCAAGGCAGTGTTTTTATCTCAGCATAGATGTATGCAGTGCTGCACAGCACAGCTGTGCAGTGTCACTACTGCCACGACAGTCCAGTATATAAAAAAAAAAAAAAGACTAAAGAGGACGCTTAAAACTACTTACATGTAGGAATGCAAAAGCATTCCTACTTGCAGTGCATTCCTACAAGCTGTGCACCTTGTCTTCCTTTTTTACACTGCGCTCTGGCGGTGACATCACGCTCCCCAACTGCGCGATGCGGTGAACCCCACGGGCTCCACGGCTTCCGTGACGATGCAGCTGCTTTGCTGTGCTTTTCTTTATGTTTCATTTCTGAGGCGCGTCCGCTTTGACCCTGAGCGGCCTCGCCAATTTTCGTGGCGAAACATCTGCATTGTTGTGCTTTCGGCCAATGGGAATTTAGCTGCCATTTCGCAGCTACAGACGATTACAGACAACGCCGGCTTCGCTCCATGTGACAGTGCTTTCACATTAATACCGTAATTGGTTATTGGAGATTACAGTTCAGCCCAGTTATAGTGCATTATGCTTTAGAGAATGAGCACCTAGAGGATGGAAATAAATGTTAGAAAAACCCAAGACCGAGGAACAAGGAGGCATTAATTTTCTTTGTTCCTTGGTCTCGGGTTTCTATAATGTTGCAGGTTCACCAGCTTATTTGTCTCTTGCTTGTTATTTGACTCACAGGTATAAATTCTGACCTAAAAATTTCTCTGTGCAAAGTCTGATTCCCTTGGGCTCATTATTAATTATTCTATATGTACTTTTCATACTTTCTTTTTAAAACTGCAGAAGTTGCACAACTCCTATTTCAGTGGTGTGTTATGGCTGGTTAACTTAAGCCTACAATTTCTACAGCGCATATATTACGGACAAAAACCATGGAAGCTTCAGAACTACCGTTCCACCAATACATATTTTTTGTGACCTTCGTAATATTCTACCACAAAGTTGCTGGGGGATGTGCTTACTCCACCGTCTTTCAAGGCAATTAAAGGGGCTCCGAAGTCGATTCTGAGGTTGTCCTTTTGTGTTTGTGGTGACAACTCAATCTAGACGCTCTAAGCATCCCAACAAACCCAAAATCACAATCGTGCGTAGCTTATTTGCTCGTTAAAAGCGTGTTCAAAGATTGCGACACGCCTTTTTTGCCTTTTCACTCCGCGTGTCGCAAAGATTGCGACACGCCGAGTGAAGTGGTTGACGAAGGGCACTTGTCGGCGAGTTTCAAGCGATGGCTTTGCCCGCGAAGAAAAAGAGGAGTCTTATCCAAATGTGTACCTGTCAGGCTCTCTTCGAAAGGAGTTACGTATAATAAAATCATTTGGCATCTGCACTTTTTCTAGGGTTTTCATTGGCCCACACAATGTAGTCCGCGAGAAAAAAGAGTCCACATGTTTTTTTATTGCCCTGAGATGAATAAGCGATTTTGTAATATAGGAGTTGGTATATGCAGGAACTAACATTTTAAACAATATAAGATCAAAAACTACCTTTTTCAAAAACGACCTCAGTGCCCCTTAAGGCTTTCCAATGAGCTTGAAATGCGCCTTTCCTGAGGGACCAAAGTGCCGCAACGAAAAACCGGTGTCCGTCTTGCAGATGACAAGCCAACGTTCGAGAACCGCGCCGTGTTTGCCAACCTGGTGCTGCTGTTTGCCGAGCTGATCCACTGCGACGTGTTCTCGCACGACGCCTACATGTGCACTCTCATCTCGCGGGGCTACTTCGCCAGCCACCCCCCGGGGGGCGCCACCCTGCCCAGCACGGCCAACCCCCCCGCCACTGGGGGCACCCCGGAGCCCTCGCTCACCGGCTTCCTGGACCCCTCGCTCGGGCCTTCCCCGGGGCCCGTTGGGGTGGCCGGGGGAATGTCCATGGCCCTGGGGCTGGGCGGCCTGGGCATGGGGGGCCTGGGGGACCCCGGCAGGCAGCCGGACTCGCTGCCCATGTTCGAGCCGAGCTCCGTGAAACACGACGTGAGTCTGCCGCCCGCGCACGTCGGTGCGTGGTGCCACTGCACACACCTGAGGCGATGCTAGTGCAATGCCACCTAGAAAACAATGCCTGCTCCTTTCCTCCTTTAATGCTGTCGTTAGCGGATCCATGCAGTACCACACGTCTTCCGTCCGCGTCACCACGAGTGCGTCTCGCAGTGCCTCGTAACGACTGTGACGCCAAGACGTGTGCATCTTTTGTTTTGCTGTAACCTCTCGTAGTTGTCGTGGCCTTGTTTCCAAATCGCCAACTATTTATTTACCGTGTGATCCACTTATAACGATACCGCATATAACGACGTGCTGCTTATGACGATCGGTTTCTAGAGTTTCTAGACCAGAAATGCACAGTTTCTAGTCCAGATATGACATTCGGTTACAACGATTGAATTTTCGGGTTTTGTTAATATTGTTATAAGTGGATTGGACTGTACATTTTTACGGGAGTCGTAATGATGCGGGCCAGTCCGACGAGCGCCGAGACATAGCCCTTGAGCTCGCCGTGCTCCTTCTGTAGCTCGTGTCACGCAACTCGGGGAGTGTGCGCTCATGGATCATGCGTGCTCGCGCTGCAAGGCAGGAACAGCTAGGTGGCCGACGTGCTACAACAATGCCGATTGCTACATAGACTACCCCCCCGGCTCAAAAAGCAGTTGAAGAAGCCGTTGGTGCGCTAGTCTGAACTACACTGGGATACGGTAGAATTGTACAATGCGGGAACGGGTTTCGTGTTTTTGTGGTGTGAGGGAATGCTCGTTGCGGCAGATGATGGTAGGCTTCTTGTTTCGGGTGCCATGCCGACGGAGGGAAGGAGGTACGCTTGCCAGCTTAAGGTGGTCAACAGCGTTTGTTTGTCCATTCGTGCCAGAAGTTTTGTTTATACGGGCCATCGTAAGTGGGTTGTAGCAAATGTCAAACAGTGTCCTGTCACACAAGGACTTGTTGTGGTGGAATGATCTGGGCCGGCAAACCTTTTTTGTCGTTGGGATTGTCATGTGGGTAATGGACAAAGTTTGTCTATATAGGATCAAAGTCTTTAGGCGAAGTTGTGGGCCGTAGACCAACTCCGCCGTGCTGCACCCAAAGTCTAGCTTGCTTACAGCTCCGATTTCCAACATTACGAGGTGAAGGCATTCTGTCCAGGATTGTCGACTGGGATGCAGTAATGCCTGATGCAGTAATGCCTGTTTTGAGTTGCCCATGAAAACATTCAAAGAGTACATTCGCTCTAGGAGGGTATGATGTCGTTGAGATGTGTTGAAATTCGAGTGCCGTATTTACTCGCATAATAAATGCACTCACATAATGAATTCATCCTCCACAATTGATACAAACATTTGAACTTCTTTTTCTCTCGTGTAATGAACGCGCCTGCAATTTTTGGCTCTGCGTCCCAAATTGCGTCCAACTTAACTAGCCACCAAACCCACGAAGCCAATTTTTTTTTTGCCGCCAAGTGGTCTGGCCAAGTCAAGCCAAGCCAAGCCAAGCCGCTCTCGTAATAGCTGCAAGTAGGGTGACCACCCATCCCGCGACTCGCGGGACTGTCCCGCATTGAAGGCTCGTGTCCCGCGTCAAGTTCCCCAATCTTCAAAATGTCCCGCATTTCACGCTGTAGTAAAATTCACTCTGCAACTCATGGTGCTGCCGAACAACGGGGAAGCGCGGAGGTCACTGGTAATCGTGTGAATTACAATGGTACGCCATTTTCTATCCAAGCATTGCGGGAAGCAATTGTCGTTCTGCAGGAGGCCCGACGAGCATGCGTTGTTGTGCCTATCCCTTTAGTGGCAAAATATTGTAAAAGAAAATTGCTCGTTTCTTGCCATTATTTTCATATCGCTGTTTTAACGCAAAAGGGTTGCTGTTGATTTTTTTTTTTTTATAGTGAAGACAGCCCTACAAGGCAAAAAGAGAAAGAACATATTGTTAAAAATTTGCCTAGGACCATTTTCATAAAAGTAAGCGTTGACAATAAACAATAACCCGAAAAAGATTGACTGCTTCGTAAGTTCATTTGATGCATTGAGTGCTGCTGGAGTTGATTTTTATGCTTTCAAATTACACATTTAGTAACATATTTGGCATAAAAAGATATATAACTGGGAGTGAAAACTATTTTAGCTTAATTGCTGCAATACAATTAGCAGGCGTATAAACAGCACAGGATATTAAATGCGGTAACAGGGCCTCGGTTTGTGGTCTGCATGTTCATAAATTTCCTCTCTACCCCCCCCCCCCCCCCCCCTCCCTTGCCCCCCGTGTCCCGCATTTCGCTAGCAGGAAGGTGGTCACCCTAGCTTCAAGTGCGTAGTTGCGGAAGTGATCAACCGTGAAACCGAGCAGCATGCACACGTGACGCAGCTTGGGTCGAGGAATTGCCCAGCTCCAGACATTCTTTGCCTATCAGATGCGCTGATGTCAACAAACACGTCGTCGTCTGTGGTCCGCTTTCGGACAGTGAAATCATGAAAGCTGTTAGGCCTAACAACGGTCGCATTGCTCTTTGTGTTAGTGAGCTTCGTAGAGTGCTTTCCTTTTAGCAAAAGGCGCCAAAAGCATCCTAAAAAGGTTTGCAATTCAAAAAGCATGGTTACTGTGGCGCGCCCCCGTCTAGCCGTGGATGTGCCTCCATCAGTGGAAACGGGCCACAATACCTTGCCATGTGATATTGGCTCCTAATATGACATTTGCACGAAGTTTGTAAATGCAAAAGTTTCACCCCGCATAATCAACGCTCCCTCCAAATATGTGGAAATTTTTTGGGAAAAAAGTGTGTTCATTTTGCGAGTAAATACAGTAGTTGTGAGAGTGTTCTGAACAAGCTGGATTGGAATTGTCGCCTGCAATCGGGGGTGATTGTTGTAGGGACGCCAAATCCAGCAACCATGAGGTAAGGAATGCTGGTATGACAGATTCATAGACAATTTCTGTTAGGGGAACTGCTTCAGGCCATCTGGTGAAACAATCAATGACGTTGAAGAGGTACCGGTAACCTTGAGGGGGGGAAGGGCTCCGACAGTGTCTACCGTAGAATACCGCGCATCCGTCCATTCCACATTAAGCGCCCATATCCAAATTTCTAAGATCTGAGAAAATATGCACAGCACATTTATATGTAAAATTGATGACCGGACAAGCGCCCATCCCCCATTTTTTCGTGATTATCTCTATATTTTGAGTGGGCGCTTGCCCGGTATTTTATGGTATGTGGATGTGAGTGAAGCGTACGTTGGGGAGCTGAAATGTTGCATTCAGGGAGGTAGTGTGGCGATGAACCTTGCTACGCTGACATTTTATGCAGGTACATGCCTACTGCCAGATGGTTCAGCGTGCTTCCCATTTGGGGTGGGTTGGGAATCCACTAGTAATAACAGAAATTAAGCGGGCCTTGTCTTTGAGGGTGTATTGGGTGGAGCTACTAAGTGGTCTCAGAGTAGCGCATTCCATAGCGTCCGCTTGAAAAGGAAAATTGAGGTTTCTGATTGGCATTGGCTTATATCAGCCATTTTGAAGCAGGGAGAAAAAAAATAAAAGGGAAATACACGTAAAATGCTTATGTGGGAGCTTTGTACAGCCGGTGAATCATGGCTGGTTAGGCACAGGTGGGAATGTTGGTGTTTGCTAGGATTTTTTATATTGAGTAGCTCATAACTTAGTCTGTGAAAGAAGAATGCTAGCCCATTTGCCCACTCGTATAGCAGGCTCTTCTAGGTATCTTTGCTTCTTGTGAATTTAATTGTGCAGGTCCACTATTTTGTAGCCATTGATATCAGTGCCACAGTACTCTTCTGAAATGAATGTTGGGGCCTATTGATACTTTTGGAACGATGAGCAACTCTAGGCACCATATTTGATACGGACTTTTAGGACTATATAATAAGTTTAACTTCCTGTATTAAAGGGACTCTGACAGGGTATTTATGCTCACCAAGGTTTTTATTTATACATGGCATACGAGAGCCCAACTACCCAGAAGACAATTTGTGGCTCGAAATTCGTTTCCTTTTCGCTTGAAGACTGACGATCGAGAACTGGCCAGTTTGAGTCGCGCTAACTCTCTTCTCTGTGGTCACGTGCCATTTTCTATGGTTTAGACTTAAAGGGAAGATGGGGCACTTCTACATTTGAGAAAAAACGCTTGAATTGCGTTCATTTGGCCTTTAGAATAACAGATATCAAAATTATATTTCAATGCGACGCGCCGGAGAGCCAGAAGAGCAATTTCAAAATAGTGCTGAAGCCCCGCCCCCCTAGCCTTGGGCAGCCAAAAGATCCGTCGATGACGTCACGGACAGCGACTGTCTTTCGCGTTTTTCTCGCGTTTAACAATACTAACGCAGCAAATGGTTTGGGTATTCGGGTTCATGGGGTAAACATACACTAGAATTCACTTCTAACTCATTTTTTCCAAGAAGCTCCGTAGCTTCCCTTTAACCACCAAGGATAATCAAAGTCGTGGGTCATTGAAAGCACACGCTCAATACTAAAAATAGACAAAAAATATGATACCTATTTTTTTTTGTAGCTTCTAAAAAGCTGCAAGTATATTGAGAGAAAAAACGAGTTGCACAGCCACGTGACTTCTGGTAATTTTCTCCTCTTTATTTCTTCTTCCTCCCAGTCCAGTTTCAGTCTCGGTTTCGAGCAGGTGCATTTTTTTACTTCATTAAAAATATATGTGGTGCCTTAGCAAAATATTGATAGGGTAGTCTCCTAACAGCATAATAAACTGCCTAACAAAATAATTTTGGGTGGTGTGAGTGCCCTTTTAAATACCTACATTTCCTATTCAGGAAATGTAGGTATTCTAATAAATAAAAAAAAAAATAAAAAAAATGCTTTTTGAAAACATGTCTTGGGGTATTTAATGTGCATAGTCTAGTACTGTTCGAGGAGTGCATGCTGGTGCTCCTATCCATGTTGAAATCATAAAAAAAAGCAGGAAGCTCAAGATATCCAAGTCTACGGGTTTTTGCAACACACGTCTCCAAGTTGCTGCGCGTTACTACTTTGGTGCACATGGCCCCCAAGCCCCTCCCCCCCCAAAATGCGGGTGGAGTGAGTCAAACATAAAGCAATCGATGCTGCTGGCACCCTTGCAGGTGGGATGGAATGTGCAGATGGACATGGATGATGCAGGCCTTGATGCAGATCTGGACAAGATCCTCCAGAACATCAAGGAAGGGCAGCAGAACATGAGCGATCAGCCTGGTGAGTGTTTCCCCAGTCGACTTTTGTCGGCTGGCCAGCTGGCAGACGGGCTGCATCTCGGCAGGCGCTCGCCGTACCTCGTCTTCGCCATCGGTCGTGTCAGTGGTTCCGGTATGGTGCCTGGCACGCATTCTCGATTGATGTGTTTGGCGTTCCATCCCACCCAAACTTTGAAAGTGGTCCTGTAGCGGTAACAGTGTCGCGGGAGCGGGCGTTTATCGTGCCGTCGGTTTTCGCGAATTCTCGGCGGTTGTCACAGCGTCCTGACTCCCGGTCCCGCGAACCGTCAAGCTGGGGAACAACCTACGGCAGAACAGGCATCTGCCGTGTCCACTAATGCCGCTTTGCCACTGTCAGGATTGCGACGGGCAGCAACAAAAGGCGAGCGCGAGGACGTCGGGCAGAAATTGAGGGACTGCAAATGAGAGCACAGTGGACAGGTCGGTCGGGGATGCGTTCTGGGCGCTGTAGTTTCAGATCGTTGGCGTCCTCACTGCCTGGCTCCACGTGCATTGCGACAGGTCTCGTCGTGACCTGAGCCACTAATGAGCCACGCTTCGGAGCAATCGCTCTTCATTAATCTTATTACTAAGTTAGAGTCAGTTGCCAGTTAGAAGTTTTATTTGAAACAGCAGGAAACACTTTTCTCTCCTTCAGAAATGTTGAAACCATTTGTGACAGAGCAAAGCAATATTGCCTGAGTTTCCTGTCGCGTTTTCGATTTGTAACTGTCACCAACTGCGTCTGCTCTGCCTTAGGCGACCAAATAGCGGTGCGCATGAAGCAGTCGGGGAGTTGAGTGTCGCCGTTCTAAGTGTGGCCTATTTAGTGTCTCTCACCATGGCCGTTTCTTTGCAGACTCTGTGGGCTCGGACAAGGAGGAAGGGGGCTCTCTCCAGGGCCCCAACACTCCCCTGGTGGACCACCCGGGGGTTGGGGGGGGCGGGAGCGGCCATGGGGGAGGCCTGTCCGGGGGAGACCGAACCGCGTCCGGCGGGGCCCAGGCGGCCACGCGCAGCAAGAACTGGGCCCTCAGACATCTGCAGTACACCACGCACTTCCCACTGCTTCAGGTAAGTCGCTTTTGTACCCTGTACTTGGGAAGTACTTTGAGCAGCTGGATCGTTGGAGCAGAAACTTGTAGTTTTATAGGGACCATAGCTAAAGTCTAACCCTGAGGAGAGCTCCACAGCTTTGTTCTCCTCCACACCATTTCCGAGCTCATTTTCTGCCTGCCTGCCTTCCTAATCTCTGTTGGTCGGGTTCGGTTCAGACTGCCATAGAACTTTGAAGGATTAGAAAGGACTACCGTAGTCTGAAGGTCAATGAGAACTTGTGTGAGAAGGGTGTGGAGAGGAAGTTTTTGCCAAGGCAGCAAATTTCTGAGCTCCTCAAATTCGTGCGATGTATGACGAGAACCCCTCCAGCATATATGAGAAACATGTTCACCGCATGTTTTTTAATTTTTTTGAGTATTGGCAGGAGTGAACTAAAGTCGCAGGCCACCTTTTTTGATGCTTGCTTTCCAAGTGGAGTTTTGATCTCTCTAATGCCGATACTCTTGCTGCACTCCCACAGGAGGAAGGAGGTCTGTGGTCCCACGATTGCAACCAGCGCCACATCCTGCTGTATGGAGTGGGCAAGTTGAGGGACGAGGCCAGGCACGCCCTTAAGAAGGTCACCAAGGAGCTGCTGAAGCTCTTTGCCAAGAAGGCCTCTATGGACATTGCTGACGGCGGCAAGGTCTTTGACATTCTTCCTCTTTTTTTGTTGCACTCACACATTTGCTGTGTCTCTTCTTCATTATTTTGGGTCCATATGTTGCCTTCCTGTTGTTAGTCCCGATTGACCGCATGATGTATCATGTTTCCTCGTCTCTAATTATAAAGCAACCCTTAGGGGCATTTGATATGCTAGAATAGAATGCGAACCCACGCATTGTAACATACTGCCAACAAACCTTTCTGGTCCAGGAGCCTTTTTGAAGATCTCCATAATGGCCGTGTGGTTGGGCGCTGCTTTGAAGTTTTGCTGCGTTTTTGTCATCGTTAGGTTGTAGACTTGTTTGTTGTGGGAGCTTGGGATGCACTTGAAAACGCTAACTATGCCCAAAGTGTGACTTTAGCCATAGCTTCATTGGAATTAAGCAGTGTTCTAAACACTTACTTCATTGCAAAGTACACCACTGTCCATCACTGCACTTGTATGTCTAGCAGGCACACATTTCCTCTCGAATTATGCAAGAAATAGTCTGGTTATCATTGCCTCCACCACTGCTTCAAACTGTCTTGATGGAGTGCAATTTTATTACATCTACCCACTGCGGCACTCTCAGCGTAAACAAGCAATCGCTTGTATTATTTTTTTTCTTTTTAGAAACGAAAGGCTATGATAAAAGAATATTAGAGTGGTAGAAAGTGATCATCGAGGCACCAACCTAAGAGGTCAAATGTGATGCCTGCCAATACCATTCTGAAGTAAAATTCAGAAAAGCATTGACATTGTGGTCGTGCTAACATAGTTGCGTGCTGTACGTTGGTGATGGGTGCAACTATGCAGAGCGGAAGTTCGTCTAGTTCTTTTGCAGGGGTTGTGGTGACGTCAGAATGCCGAGCTGTGATTGGCTCTGATTGAAGGCTAGTGGGCAGACCTCAAGGCAGCTTGCTATGAGGTCTACCTACTACAGTAAAACCTCGTTATAACAAAATGGGATATAACAAACTAATGGATATAACAAAGCAATCATAATTCCCCTTGCTTGCTATAGTGGGAAGAAATGGACATTGGCTATAACAAACTAATGGTTATAACAAAATAATTATGACCGCTCCTTCAACTTTGTTATAACGAGGTTTTACTGTATCCTTCAATCGGAGCCCGGCATTCTAACGTCACCCAACCCTCGCAAAAGAAGCAGACAAACTTTCGCTTCGCATAGGTTGTTTTTTTATAACAAGGAATTCTGGTCAAAGTGTTGCTAAAACAGGGTTTTGTGCAACTCGCTTTCCAAACTGCAGGTGAAGAGGCATGCCCGCGACGCTTTTAACTTTGAGGCGGTCACAGCTCGCTTCCAAGCGCTGTCCTTCTTCGACCAGCACGTGGTTGCTCAAACGTGCGCAGCCTCCGTGCTCGAGATGTTGGGCGGCTTTGCTGCGGGGTCCTCCAACCACCTGCCGCTCGTGGACTACATTGCCTTCCTCTTCGACCTCATGGAGCTCTCCCTCAACATCCACGGACTCATCGAGTTTGGCCTCCAGGTGGGCAGAAATTTCCTCTTGTGCTCTTTTACCGAGGTTTTGTTTACTTCTAAAACCAAACCCACTGCCCAAAGTTGAGCTACTGAGATTCAGCGTTCAAGCTGCTGCAACTTTGGATTCTGGGCAGTATGAAGGTACCTGGAGTTTTAAATTTGGCTCCAAGGTGTGGACCCTCAAGCTTGGTTGCTGCAACTCCCTGTTTCCTGAGGGGGTCTCCCAAACTTTCTAAATTTTCAAGTCTTTTCCTAGTACAAGCACTATTTTAGTGTATCTAACTAATGCATTGGAGCACAGCTGAGTCAAACACATTCCAGTCCAGGGGTTCTTAACCACTGACGTTTGGGGATATTTTAGGGATTGGCGGAAGTGAGGGGAAATCCCACCCATGGGAGGAGGAGGGTGTTGGACGATTACAACAATTGCAGAAGGGTAAATGGGTGAAACTACAGTCTGTTGCAACTCAAGAAGGTAGGGTGAGGGTAAGACAGGCTGGGGAGGAAGCAGCAGACAAAATGCTAAAGAAAAGGAGGTTTCCCCCTCTCTGATTTAGCGTTCAGTCTGTTTCCTCCTCCCCGCCCCTTTTCCCCACCCTGCCTTCTTGAGCTGCAACGGACTACAAATGTGTGCAGACCAACTTTGAAGCTCTGAAATGGAGAATAAGAAAACCTACTCATTTGAGGCAAATGGTTTGGTTTGTTTAGCGTTTTGGAACAGCCAGCATCAATAAAAATTTACAGTTTTATTGCTCGGCTTCGCTGATGGCTGAGGGCTTCGGGAGTCCAAAGGGTCTGTGGGCCCCCATTTGAACAATAGTAATAATATTAATAATAATAAAATTCGTGTACAGTAATATCCTGAGAGATAAGCCGCCCCTATTTTTGGCACGATTTGCTATTTTTTTAAAAATGCAGAAGGATAGCCAATAGCCCATTTAGGAATTGCAGGGCCCTGGCCAATGGTGACCTCGGCAGAAATGGTGTTATACTTGGCCACGACGGGAGGAAAGCAACAATTACTGGCTAGGATGGACAGTCATTTTTAGTTCATTGCCCCTCCAGGCTGCAATCACAAGTTTTGCAGGTCACAAAATTTAAAACTAACATTTTTTTTCAGCGGAGCTGTTAAGGGATTGTGTCCGGTGCCAAACAATTGTCGACACCCGTGGCCGACACAACACTCTGGTTGCCGCCGTCTCTCATAGATGGCAGTAGCGTTCCAGAGTGTTGTGTTTGCCGGTTGTCTGCTTGCCACCATCGCTCATAAAGAGCGGCAACATTTCTTCAGAGGAATAAGAGCGGGAACGGAACGACTGGCGATGTGTGCAGCAGCGCGAATGCTTTCGCAACCGCCACGAGGCCACTATCGCCTGAAGTTCCACTGCGTCGAGTGCTTGATTCCCTTGCCAAAGAAGAGAAGATTGCTCGCCTAGAAAGCCACCGCTGAGAAGAGAAGCTACAGTGCCGCTGCTCTTCCTTCTTCACCAAAGTGGAAAGGCTGAAATTTTTTTTTCTTCAACTTTTGTTGATTGCACATTGAAAGTTAGCTTACTCCTTATTTGCACCCAGTTTGCGTTTGATTTTAGGTGGTCTATTTCTCGGGATATTACGGTAGAAATGTGCTAGCCACGAAAGCAAACATGCATGTATGTGGAACCAGGCAAAGAATGAAACACTTAACATCATTATACAGTGCATTGTAAAAAAAGTTATTAGCAAAACAAATCATAATATAACAGAGTGACTATTATGTAATGACATATGGATTACTGTGTGAACATATGAATCCATTCACATACATTGCTTTTTACTGCTTGAATGTATGATAAACAGTGACTCTGGTAAAGTGTTAAATAATGAGGGTATGTAGTGCCGTCTTTCTCTTTTACTGTAATTCGGTAGAGGAAATTTGGGAGCTCGGGGAAACCGTGAGGGTAATCTCAGAAAACCCCAGTTTCCTAGGAGCCCAGTTTGAGAACTCCCGGGCTAACAAATTGTCGGTCTCTTGTGGCTGGGACGCTTATCGTCGGTGGGCATGTCGATGCAGCTGCTCAAGGAACTTGTGGAAGTGGAGAACCAGCTCGCCCAGAAAGGATCTGCTCTGTCTGGCACTTATGCCACTTCCCTGGGCCTGTACATTGTGGGCCTCTTCTATAGGTACCACTGTTGCCTTCTGGTGTCCCAGGACTACACCCTGCAGGCTTGCGAGAGGTGAGCACCGCTCTGGGGCCTAAAAAGTCATCCGTCAGATAGTAGATTGCTATGGCTACGGCTATGGCATAACCATAACCATAGCAGTATTGTGTCAAAAAGGCTGCATACTTCGTTCATTAAAGGGGTAGCTTTATAGGGTCAACCAACCTTCGGAATTGCGTAAGCACGAAATATGTAGGTCAGTCAGTTTGTAACCGCTAAATAATCTTGAAAAAAAAAAAAAAAAAAAAAAAAAGAACGGCAACTGGTGTTAGTTTCAAATCGGCCACCGGCATGGAAGTTGAGTGCGCTGGTGCCTGAGCTATGGACCCAGCATACAGGAACAGGAGGAGCAGAAGGAGGTGGTGTGAGAAAGTGTGGAGCTGAGAGGGGTGGAAAGGGCAAGAAAGAAAGGAGCAAGATCAGGCAGTGTAGAAAGAGCTCACAAAACGAGGATGGAAGAAACGGGAAAGCGTGCTTCCCCTCTCTTGCTGACCCAAAAAATTCAGCGCAAAGGCTTTGTATCCAAGTGGTGCTGAAGTGCATGCAGCGTCTCAAAGAGATATTAGTGTGACATAATCGGTTTCCATGCAAAACCTTGCCATAGGCACCACATGAACCAACATTAAAATTCACAGGGTCTCTTATGTTATTGATAAGACGACTTGAAGGCGAAAGCCCAAGGGCCGATGTAAATGTGATGGTGAACCTCTGAAGACAGCGCGCTCTCTGACGACGCACTTTTGGCGCCTTTTCGTTGGCTCAATTTCATCGTGGCTTTGGCTGTGGTCCCATGAGAGCGAACCGCCGAAGACAGCGCGCTCTCTGACAATGCACTTTTGGCACCATTTCATTGGTACCTTTTGTGTTGCCGACGTGTTTTCGCTTAAGGACTTTAAAGGTCGACTGAACGATGAGAGATATAAGGCTTTCACCTTAATGAAACACTCAGTTGGGAAACTCACCCTTGAAACCCGGATTGCTTGCGTCCACCGAGACCAAACTAAATACGATAACAGCGCCACCCTTTAGCGACTATTCAAAACATGAAAGTTACTTTATATTGTTACTGTGAAATGGCACTGCGAGATGGCGCCACCGGCCCTTGTGCGACTCAACCTCAATCATGCAGACATGCAGTCCCCAGAGTGTCTGCTGTGGGAGGAATGATGGCGTTGCGATCGCCATTAGTTCGGTTCTCGACTAAGGATTGAAGCCACTTTCTTAAAGGGCAACTCCGGTCCATACTTTCGATTTTGGGATTATGACTGTTTTTAGTGCAGTCAGCGTCCCTGAATTGCAAGGTGTAATTTTTTTCTCGTTATTGTGCATAGTTTTAAAGATACCGACGCCTCAAAGTTTTGTTTGGGGCGCGGCCAACAAAACCGAAACTAGCCGCTCGAGGCCCCGGCAACACTGGAAATCAGCTGCTATGTGAACATGACGTCAGGATCGTTCTCGTTCAACGAGTACGGAGGCCGAGCGCCACCTACCTCTGTTGCGCTAGCCGCCTAAAGATAGGAGGCACACTGATTTTGTTTTAATTCTGTATACGTGGTAGTTACCCGCAGCATATGGAACAAGAGTTAGTGCGTATACCCAAACGCTAGCGACTGGAAAACCCGTGAACTCGTTCGGTGCCGTACTCGGCGGCCGCCGCCGTGCGTGCGCTATGCCGTACTCGTCGCTTGTATGCCCAAAAGCTAGCGACTGGAGAACGAGTGAACTCGTTCGGTGCCGTAATCGGCGGCTGTCGCCGTGCGTGCGGTCTTCCGTACTCGTCACTAGTCCTCTGGGCTCCGTGGATGGAGCGGCGTTGCTCTACGCCGCGCTGCCAGTGACGTACAGTACTGGTGGCACTCTCGCTTTCGCGCTGCGGGTCAGTCCCAGACACGAAACTTTGAGGGTCTCCGGCGTGGATCGCGGCGCCCGAACACACGTGTGCTGGGCTGTACACTTTTTTTTTTTTTTTTTTTCGTTCTTTTATTTTTGGGCGTTTAAAAGCCGAAGTCCGAAGTCCACTCGCCGAACAGCGTTCACCCACACCTTCTCCAATTTCCGATCCGTTGGAAACTTGTGAAAAAGAACCTCCGGGTTGCGCAGCGGGTTGTTTGAGCAGCGCACAGTGTTACAAGTTGTACTCGGCATCTTTCGAGGAACAGCTGGGCAGTCTTGGGCGCACCGAGTTGCTCGCTAAAACGAGTCTTAAAGTCCTCACAAGCAAATAAACAAAAGGCCATACCGAAGCTACACGGGCTACAGATAAAAGCAATGGCTAAACACGTCACTCACAAGCCGAAGTAGCGATGGTAGCGGCTCAAAGAAGGGCGCTCCGCGCAACGCCGGGACCGGAGGAAAGAAAGAGAACGATACGGACGTCACGGCCCAATGTTGCTTTAGCGATCGGCAACCCGCTGGCCGCCCGCTAAGGAGCAGCGGCTCGCGGCGGGTCGCATTTTTGTTATCGGCATTAGTTGAGAATGCGGCGTCCTCCGGACGTAATATTTTGACTGGGGTCGTATTTTGTGTCACTACAGCGATACCAGTAATTTATTTCATTTTGAGTTTTGGCCGGAGTTGCCCTTTAAAGGGGAGGCACAACCCCAGAAAAACAAACTTCTGCAAAAAAAGTTGATTTTGAAAAATGCCATATTTACATCCACCAACATCTAGAGAGTATCCCCAGAAAGTTTAATTAGTTTACGCTGTATAGTTAATTTTTTATAAATTATTTTCTGTCCACCAAAGCTAGAGGAAAGGAAGGGTTTGGAGAACTTTGAACGCATTTTTCTCCGTTCCACTTTTTGGTATAAATTCTATTTTAGTCAATGTATCGTTTGATAATGGCAATGCAGGGAAAGCTCGTTCTTCACTTTTCCTGAGTGCAATTTAATAAGGAATGCGGCTATGGAACTTTTTTGTCACTTTACGAATGTCTTTTATAAAAAAATATTGACATTTTGTCGAGGACACAGAAAACCAAAAAGTTCACCAATTTTGCAGAAGAGAAAATTTATATAAATAAGTGACTTTTTACAAAGAACTTTCCATAGCCACACCCCCTAGGCATTCTGCTACACATCTAACAAATAAAAGTCTTGAACATTGTTATAGTTTTCTGATGATAGATTAACTAAACAATGTAGGGGTCTTGCTGATAGAAGCTGCTCTAACTTCCTTCCCATTTAACCAACAGACCTGAAATTTTGTTATGCACACTCTAGCATGACACCAGCCTACCCTGGAAATTTCATAAATTTGAACCCAAGGGTTTAAAAGTTGACCCTCCCAGGGGGTGTATCCCCTTAAAGCAGGCTCTATGGCAGTTTCCCACCTGAGTTCTAGTAACGTTGACCTGAACTACAAGCCCAGGCACAAAAAGATTAAGTGTTATCTTACCCTAGGCACCACCTGAACTAAGAACACCACCCACCCATGAAGCTAACCTCACTGAAATGCATTTGGCAGAACAACCAAACATGCTGCCAATTTTTGTACTGGAGACTTCTTTGGGGACGGAATTGATCGGAATGGACTGATTGTAAATAGCTTATGGCATGTAGAGATTTCCTACGTAATCTGATGAACTCATCACCTTGCCAATTTTAACTTCCAGTTTATGCAAGATTGTGAAGAATGTCGCCAACCCAGCCGAATGCACCTCAGCGGAACGCTGCATCTTATGCTACCTCCACGATCTCTATTCTTCCTGCTACTACTTCAAGGTTAGTCTACGAGTCCATACTTTCCAAATTTTGTCGGGGGTTGAGACTCATTTCTGGGTCTCCTTTTCAGTCCAAGCATTCCGAGATATTTGGCTCCTTCTACTCGAAGGTGAAGCAGACGCTGTACGCTCCTCAGACTCCGTCTGCCTTGAATCTCCTTTGGAACACGACATACATGATCGAGTGCATCAACAACCCCAGGTCAGTTCTTTTTCATTTCTCGTACTATGTAGTACGTAGTTTACTCAATGACGACCTTCACCCAGTGTTGCCAAATTGTGGGCAGTTTCCCATATTGTGGGAAAAAGCATGACAGCTAGGGAAAAAGGGAAACCAGAATTTAAACACTTGTAAAACATGGGAAATATTTTTAAAACGAAACTAAACCAAAATTTTGTAATTTTCTTATCTACATCGAACAAGAGAAAGGAAGTGGCACTAGCTACCAAAGCAGTTTGCTGTTTTGTAGGGTTGTGCGAATATTCGAAATTTCGAATAGTAGTTCCGAATAATACACTATTCGATATTCGCTTCGAGAAGAACTTCACTATTCGCGTTTTTCGAAGTGTTGATTGCGGTGGGTTAGCCCTGTTGAGTGCGCTTCTTTCCGAGCATTCGTGCACTGCGGAGAAGCAATACCCGCGAAAGCAAGCTCTGCGGGTGTTGCTTCTCCGCATTACATCGGTGCTCGGTAAGAAGCGCACTCAACGGAGTAACCCGCCGCGAAAAACATTTGGAAAGGTATGAATATCGCAGTTGCGTGCTTGGACGAAAACCATACATTCAAAGTGCACATGTGCCGGCTGTATATGAAAATAAATGGAAACTTTGTGAATGTGTGTACTATCTAAATTGTAGTAAAAGTTTTAAAATTAAACTGACTGCTTTGCAAGAGTAAATGTTGGGCAGAGATGCCTTTACAACCTGCATTCATCATGCGCGAGTCATTCTTTTTTAACTCGAAATTAAAGAAAGAATATTTAAGATTCGTAAATTCACTCAATTGGGTATAGTTGGCCATTTCCATTGGATTAATTTTATGTCAAACTTGTTGTTTGCTTACCATCCCAAGACGTCAGACCTTCTGAGGTCACAGTTCATAAATATAGATAGATTAAACTCGGCTTATAAATGAACAGGTGGAACAACCTTCACAAGTTTCGCTGGGGTTTTGTCTAAGCATTATGTTATGGTAGTGAAAGGCGTGGAAAAGCTATTCGATATTCGGTTCGAAAATATTCGGCCAAAATCACTATTCGCTTCGAATTCGCTTCGAACTCAAAATCCGCTATTCGCACAAGACTACTGTTTTGAAGAGCCAACCTAATTCATCACGACTTACATCGTGTGCGTGCTGCAAGCCTGCCGGTACAGTACTGCCGGTTCGCGCACTTTTCTCACCGCTAGCTACGCACACTAGTCCTCTGTCAGTGCGATAGATCATGAATTGCATCGTGGGTGGGGTCCCTTTCACATCACGAAAACGAGCAATTTTAGTTTAGTTTAGTTTATGGCCCGCTTGCCTTTATTCAGTTCCCCTGGTTCATTCAACCAATGTATAGTGCGGAAAAGAAGGAGAGGGGAGACCAGTTTTGCCGAATGCCAACTACATTTTGTAATTTATGCAGTGCAAACTTCTACAAAACAAAAACATTGGGGAGGTGTTGGTGCATTTAAATATACTTGGCATCATGCGTATCTTAAAAACGACTTCTGTCACTAAAATGGTGTTGTGGGAAAAAAAGGGAATTTTCGCCGCTTGGCGAGGGAAAAACCAATGTGGCAGCGTGGCAACACTGCCTTAACCCCTTAACCATATTTTTTTTTTGTTGTTGTTTTTATTCTAAACTGTTCCTCTTCTTATCGTACGTGTAGCCCAGGCCAGACGATTGGTCACCATTCTTAAGAACGTGTAGATAAAAGACATGTGCTGCCACCTCTGAGCAGCGCCGCAAACTAAGCTTTGGATGAGCCTGGGTCGTCTCAAACAGCCAAGGGGTGTTTGGGACGACCCAGTCTCTCGTCCTAAACGGTTTGGGGACGGCTGTAGGTGGACACGCTAGGCTTGTCCAAAATGGGTGAGGGGTTAAAGGCGTCGCAACATGGTAGTTGTTATCCGGTGCTGTTTACCGATACTGTTTTTCTGTTGGTTTCTGAAAGGAGGCTTTTCCATGCTGCGAACCGTGATCTCTCATGAACCTGATGGTTTGTTTTCGGAGAAAAAGTTGTTTGACGAGCGCCGAGTAATTTGTGTAAGCACTTTAAACTTTAATGCCTCGTATGTGTAAGCACATATTGATTCTGCTTCAAAGCGTTATAAGCAGGAAGAGTTGATACTATCAATCGTTTTCTGGCCAGTGATGTCAAATTGTGCCGTGGTACTTTTTGAAAAATTTGGGTTGAACCGTGAAGATTGCCACAGACATCGTTGCAACCACCCCTTATAATGGGGGAAGGTTGATTGGCACAACATATAGGATTGTATAGTAATAATTCATAACTAACAATAGTGATAATTCTCTTAGTGCTGTTGCAAGTTACAGAAGTTTTAAAATCCTTGTTACAGTGAACTGTCATAAAATAAAGGTAGGTATACTGCATATATAAAATCCGAGAACCATTCTTTCACAAAGTTTCTAGAACTACTTTTTTTTTACAGCGAAGCTGTTATACGCTAGGGTCTGGGAAAAAATATGTCCTCACATGTCGACAGAAAACTCCCCATTGGTCATGGCTAGTATGAATAAATAAAAGCAAAAAAGGGGGCAACCAGCCAGAGCCAGCCTTCGTTGGCATTATTGATAGTGAGGTCCTGATTCCTTGTTATCATCTCTAGGCATCGTCCTTGAGGTCGTCAGAGAGGTCATCCTAGGCGGCGTCCTCTAGGCAGCGTCGTCGAAGTCGTCCTAGAGGTTTTCCTAGACGTCGTCCTCGAGGTTGTCCTAAAAGTCGTCCTCGAAGTTGTTCAAGAAGTCATCCTTGAGGTCGTCCTAGGCATCGTCCTCGAGGTGGTCCTCTAGGCGGCGTCCTAGTCAACGTAAAGATAACAGCTTTGCTGGTTCTCCATCTTAATGTGAAGTGGAAGGGCCCTACAATTTTTTCTATTACTGTCCAGACCAGTTATAACAAAGTTGATAGGGATCTGAAATCAATTTGCTATATCTGCTTCTTCGTTACGTCTGGACTCCATAAAAGTAACACGCGAAAAAATAAAAAAAGATGCCGTATTTACTCACATAACGAACACACTTTTCCCCCCGAAAATTGACACATATTTGGGGAATGTGTTCATTATGCGGGGTTAAATTTCTGCATTTACACACTTTGTGCAAATGTCATATTAGGTGCTAATATGACACGGCAAGGTACTGTGGCACGTCTCCACTAATGGAGTCGCACCCACGGTTGGTTGGGGGTGCGTCACGGTAACCATGCTTTATAAATTGCAAACCTTTTTAAAACGCTTTCGGCCTTCCTTTTGACGAAGGAAAAGCACTCAACGAAGTTCACTCAGCACAAAAAGCAATGCGGCCATTCTTAGGCCTAACCGCTTTTACAATTTCACTACCCGAAAGAGGATTACAGATGACGGCGTGTTTGTTGACATCAGTGCATCTGATAGGCGAAGAATGGTTGGGGCTGGGCAATTCCTCGACCCAAGCTTCGTCAAGTGTGCGCGCCGCTCGATTTCACGGTTGGTCACTTCCGCAACTATGCACTTGCAGCCATCACGAGAGCGGCTTGGCCTGGCTCTGCCTGACTGCTTGGCGGCAAAAGAAAATTGGCTTGGTGGGCTTGGTGGCTAGCTAAGTTGGATGCAATTTGAGACTCGTGGAGCCAAAAATTGGAGGTGCGTTCATTATGCAAGGGGAAAAAAAAGTCCAAATATTGGTACCCGTTGTGGGCTGCGCATTTATTATGCGAGCAAGTGCGGTAACACGGGCCTTCAGGGGCACATCCTTGTCGTGACTGCAGAAAGTGGTCGAGGCTTCCCTGCACGTGCTCTCTGCTAGAGTGGAGCCGCATTCGCCATCTGTGAAAAACTCTAATCAAAAGGAAATTTGCGAGTTATTTACGGACTGTGTCCAGAGTCCTATTGACGGCTGCGACGGCCACCGCGGATGACGCTGGCATTGGATGGCATTCCTTACGTTAATGCACATTTCGTTGAGGATGGCGGCACGCTTTTGTTTCAAGGAGATTGCCTTCATCTACCCCATCGACGACCTGGCAATATCAAGTCTGGCCATCGTTAAGTGGTGATGAGTCACCGAATCTGTGCTTGTGCGAAGCCACACTTTTGTGCAGGGTGCTACCACTCTGACTAGCAACGCCGACATGGAACACAAAGCAAACAAAGCGTGCACAGCACCGAGTTCGCGCTTAAGTTCGTGTTTTGTCGGTATAGAGAGCCCAGACTTAAAGAAGGGGGCAACCGCCCGATCTTTGTCACGTGATTCGTGGGCCGCATTTGCAAAACGAGCTGCTGCCTGCAAGGAGTCAAAAGCATTCACTGTCTGCAAATGTGTCCTCCTTTCTGCTGGGATTCCTCACCACGCAGGTCATTAGACGACCAAATGGAGGCGCACTTGAGCCCATCTGGCTAGGAAGCATCCGCCATTCAATTGAAGTTGCTTGCTCTCTCAAACCTAAGTTCTTTCCGTCGTATCCGTCGCTACACCGTGGGTATGTTGCTGGTCCTTTGAATGCCTCTGTCGGCACGCCATGACGCTTTCTCTGCGTGTGATGCGAAAAGGCCTCTTCTCAGATAAGGAGCGACGAGCAGACGGCGATGCAGAGGCTGCCGCTGGGCGGCCCTTGCAGCACGTCTGAGGCTCGTTCTGGGCGGCTGCTCGGCCACGGCGGCAAAGTGCGGCAATCTGCGGCTCAATAAACTTTCAGAATTTTTTTTTTATGGAATCTGAAAATTGCTTTCTGCTATATCTGCGGGAGCCGCTCTATTTCCTTCGCTAAAAACAGGCACAAACATGTTGAAAAACTGCATGTGGTAATGGGAAATCGTGATTGCTTTGCTATAGCCGCTATTTCGTTATAACCGGCTTCGTTATAAGCAGTCGCCACAGCATTTCATGGGTGTCAGATGCTTCATTCTGGGGTGAGACGGTTCATAAATCCTATTTATTAAGTATTGTGGGCGTTTTTAAATGATTACTTTTTGGACTTCTTTTCCAAGTTGTGAATTGTGCAAAAATTAGTTCCACTTTGTGATATAAGTAATTGATATTTTATAGTACAGAAAAATTGTGTAAACTCATACTGTATAGTACTGTTTTGGGCATAGGATGTGCGTTGGTTTAGTAAAGATTATTTTGGAAATAAATTACTTTGCAAAAGTTTTCTTATGGAGTTGTATGCAATGATTTACAACAAACGATTGCTTTAAGACATTAATGTTTTAACAGCAGTGTTTTGTTTTTTTATATCTGATGTTTAACACGCAGTGTGGAACCCTGATGAGTAAACAACATACATACCATACATTATTTATTATGACCACAAAGATCATTGAACATTCTGTTTGCTTATATCTCTGTACATAAAAGTGTTGCTGACAACCCCTTTTTTTTAAAAAGAGTAAATTTTTGCATTTCTCTTTTTATTGTAGAGTTCGGGTGGATGTTCAACAGGTGAAACAGCTCAGCGAAAATGCGTCATTTAGGTACAGTTTCGTCTGCAACGCAGTGCACAGCATTTCAGTCGCACGGGACGCTGACAGGTGGGTACTTCCTGTGCTTATTCTTCCCAAGACCTTGGGGCCAACACTGCTTCTGGAGATTTTTTTTTTATATAACTCGTGATTCAATTCAAATGAAATTTACATAGCTTATTTGCCATTACAATCTGACTACAAATATTTACTTGGTTTTGATGTTACCTAATTTTGTTAATATTGAAAATTTCATTTGCAAAGATTATGGGAAGGATTAAGACAAATTGAAATACTGAAATAATAAAATAAACATATATCAGTGAACTGAAATGGCATGTGGAATCCAATAAGGCATAGGTGAAAGCTGTAGGATGCTTAATAAACCTTTTAGGACACTTTTAAACTTTCCAGTTTCAAAATGATTTACAGTGTAGACCGCATATAACATATGTCGCGGGAGTCGCGAAAATCCGCACTATAAGCGGTACCGCGTTATAACCGAAACATCAATTTTTCAGGCCAAAATACATGCCATGTGACGACTTACCTTTGTAAAAGAATTTATTTTATGTTAGATGAAAAATAAAGCTTAGTTTGAGGAAAGTCTTTATTTCACCAGACTAGTACACTTCTCTCTCAAGTGTGTCACACATTTTGAAAGAAATGAGCGGCTTTTGCGTGGCGCAGCCTCTTAGCGGCGTCGCGGGTTGCGGACGGATGTTGCGAGCGTTTAGGATTGCTAACCCTAATCACTTTTCTCCGGAGATGAAAACGCGTGAAAATTCGGATCCTTCATACGGTACGCGCCAGTAATACCTTGAACTTGAGCACACGCATGAAATGCGCCAAATAAGAAATCCGGGCGATGTTCGAGGACACAAATGCTTAGAAATCACCACTGTAGTCGAAGTAAACAAACACGACGACACGGGCGTTTCTGCCGTCTTCAGAGCGCCGCCACGACATCGCCGCTCGAGTAGGTGGATCTTCCCTTCCAGTACGTGCTGGGTTATCATAGCGACACACAACGAAAATTCACAGTCAAGGGTAGCGCATTTACGCGGAACGAGGAGGAGTTGTGATCAACGTTGTGATCGCCGTCTACGACGACGATCACAACGTTGATCACAACCGACGCCATGTTCGCGGATAGAAGCAGCCGGCACGCGAACACTTCTCCTCGACCTGCTATTGGTCTGTCGTTGCGGTTGTTGGTTTCCAACGCAGCGGAGGGACGCACGCACGTGAACGACACTTGCGTGCGTCCCTCCGTCGCTAGGGCAACTGAAGCCTCTCTCTTCGCTTCTCCCGCTTCTTCGAGCACCCTCCTTGCCCCGCGAGTGCCGCTTGCGCAACGCTTGCGGCTCGCGCCGTCAGCGCCGTTATCTAGTGTCGCACAGGCAAGCGTGCTCGCTGCTCCGGTCGTCGGCGCGGTCGGCGGGCTGTACTAGAAACCGCACTATAACCGGTATTTCCCTTCGCGCGCCTGCGTTTTAAGCGGTATGTAATTACATGGAGTTCTATGGGAGGCGAACCGGTGGTTTAAAAAAACCGCGTTATACCCGGTCCTGCACTATAAGCGGTTACGTTGTAAGTGGTCTATATTGCAGGATGCCTAAAAGGCACCTAAAAAGAAAGCCTGACACCCTATTTAATATATTTGTAACCATTATTACATGTCATAAAAAAGAAATATGAAGATTTAATATGTGCAAGTGGGGATATGGCTTCTATTAAAAAGTAAAGGGTGTACCGTAAAATCCCGTAAGGACGCCCTCGCCTGAGAGATCACCCATCCTGTTTTTTTGGCTCAATATCTGTAACATAAAAACTCCGAAACATCGCCCACCCCCCCGGTTCCCATTGGATGTCAAGCTGTGTCCGGCAGGATCAACGGTGCGACTTGCGGCACTGGAATGCGTAATATCGGCTCCCGTAGCCTGCGAGTTGTTTCCACGTGTACATTACATTGTGAAATGCGATTCCGCTGCGTCCGCGATCTGCGGTATTTGTTTCCGTGACGTGCGAGTTTGTATCAGATTCCCGCGTTTTTGTCCGCGATCTGCAAACGCGATATCGGTTTCCGTGACAGGCAAGATTGTAGCGGGTCCCCGCGCGTTTATTTCACCATAAAACTTGAGTCTGCTGTGTCCGCGATCTGCGGTATCCGTTTCTGGGAGATGCGAGTTCTCGGCTGGTTTCTGCGGGTCTTTTGCTCTGTGAGACGCGAATCTGCCGCGTCCGCAACCTGCGGTATCCTTTCCAGTGACACAGTAGTTTGTAGCAAATTCCCGCGTGTTTATCGCATCGTGAAACACAAATTTGCCCTGTCCGCGATCTTCGGTATCGATTCCTGCATCATGTGGTTTATAACGGGTGCACTGGTGCTTGTCATTAATTTTTGATAAAGTTTTGCTGTGGCATTCCCAAAGATAGCCCACCCCCTGCTTTTCACAATTTATCTTTTCATTTTGGGTGGGCGTTCTTAGGGGACTTTACGGTAAATGGTTCACTCAGAAATAATATAAAGAAAACATCCACATACCCCTTTTACTTTGTTTCCAAGACAATATTTCAAGATAAGAGAGACTTATTTTACGAAAATCCTTCAGGACAAGATGATAAGCACCTGCCGTTCTTCAAAAAGCACAATTAAAAAAATGTGTTTTTTTAGTATATTTTTGCCTCAAAGAACAGTGTGTTCCCTTAAAGGGTAACTGCAAAGAAAGAAAATGTGTTTTTTAAACAGCCTAATTAGGACAAGCATGTCGCAAAACAAATTTTCTGTGAAACAAACTTTCTTTAGCAATATTTACGCTGGAGGACATAATTTAGTCGGAGTCACAAACTCTCCGTATTTAAACCTCCAGCTCTTTCGCCCCCTACGGAAGAGTAGTACGCCCCGCCCCTCGCTCTTGGATTGACTTGGCTGCAGAGTTGAACGACGTACGCAGCATCTTGACTTCTGGTGCGTCTTGTTTGCGTGCCACAACCACTTGTAGCTTCTGTGTTCTGTGCGAACTCTGCGCAAAATGGACCCTGAATTGAAGCGTCAGCTTCTTGGCCGCTGTGAGCAACTGGGTCTTCTGCCGTACAAAGATTCGCTGCAAAGGACGGCTGCTAGCAACGAAGACAGTGTTCCGCCTGAGCCTCCCGAGCCTTCGGCACGCTTAGAGAACACCCGTTAGTGAAAAAACAAAAAGCACGTTAAGAAAGCAAAAAAAAAAAAAGCGCTACGAAAGCAAAGAGAGCACCTCAAGAAAACGAAAGTAACAAACTGCGCTATGAAAGCCAAAGCCCCGTGTCGCTTCCTATCACTAACACCTGTGACAGCTGTTAAACACACACTACTTCACTTGAGGAAGTCTCACTCAAGCGCCTGGGTCAACAGGAAACACTGATCACTTAGGCGAAACGACTAGTCGAGGTAGGCGAGACAGGCGGAAGCAGAGACAGCGGCGACCATGCTTTTGTTTGTTATGGTATGAATCCAAACGGGAGTGCTTGTCTTGTAAACCTTTTGTAAAGATTAATAACAACTCTTATTACTTGGGTTAATCTTTAAACATAAAAATATGCTGCTCAAAAGGAAATTACAACCTATCACAAAGGTTCAACGACCAAGATCTAAGCTGTCAATCAATTTCTTAGCCAATGAGAAGAGTTGCTGTTACACATCGCTTCGGGAAGTATAATAGCCACTCTGTGACGTAAAATACCCACTCTGTGGTGCGTGACTTAAAATGGACGAAATAGTCGCAAACTAAAATCGGTCTCTTGTAATAAATATTGCTGTAACAAAACTTTTTTGCGGAAAATTTGTTTTGTGACATGCTTGTCCCATTTAAGCTGTTTAAAAAAAATGTTTTTTTTAGACGTTTTAAGTACAAACCACGGTGGAAGAAATACATTTAGGTGGTGACTCTGGCCGCTCTTCCCATGGGGAGCAAGTGACCAGACCGTGTTCGGAGCTAGCCTCAAACAAGGAGTATACTTTGTTTCACCTTATGAGGTACCGCAGAAAAGGCTACAAGTGCGAGCTCTTTGCTCTGGGGGCACATCCCGGCGGCGCAAGCTCTCGTGACTTAAGGGCAACTGCCAACGCCATAAGCTCGCGCATCTAGCCTTCGCTGCGGTACAACATAAGGTAAAACAAAGTGTAGTTGTTCCGCACCGCCGCAGAGGGTGCTGAGGTGTTAACACCGTGGGTATGTCTCTCCTCGGCGGCAACGGTGTCGGGGGCGTAGCTTGGTCGCCTTTTTCGCGGTGTGGTGGTGGTGTGCGGTCAGTGGCTGGCCTCATGTTTTGCTTTGGTGCTGTGTCAATCACCGGTGCCACCATCATGCACGAGGATGAGCCTTAACCCGAAGAAGTTATGCTATAAGGACGAGAAAAACATACTTCGTTCCCAACTGCAATTCGGGGTACCAGAACTGCGCAGAGCGAGTGTCCTTGTTTAAAGCTCCATCGAATGACGCTCGCCTGGAGCAGTGGCGTCGTGAAATCCCGAGGGCCGATCGCAAGTTACTACCTAGTCTCCTCATCTCGTCGACCAAGTGAAGATTAAGCTTGACAGTCTAATTTCTGTCGAAGACTGGGAATGCGAAGATGTCTGGACAGAAAAGGCTCAAGAAACCAAGGCTGTGGACTGCATGCTATATTATGTGACTGGGTTTTTGAGCGTGAAAATAAAAAAAGCTACACGCTGCCCTGCATGCCATCTGCTTTCAGCGTTGACAAGAACACTTTTACTGAAGCAGCACTGACAAACGTGAAGAACAGAGGAGGCCTTACACACCCCAACAAGAACATTTTCCAGCTACTGACGAAAGCGGAACAGTTCTTCGTGGAAAATAAAAGCCACCAGACTGTCTACTGGGACGCAATCGACAGTGTTCTTGACACATACACACTAACGTTTCCATGCGCTGAACACAAAGAAGAAACAATTGCCCAGTTGCTCCACTACTACTTCAGCATGCGAATGCGACAACACTGTAAGCATATTACAATGAGTAGGAACAAACAAGCTCAAGAAATAAAGAAATCAGCAAAGCAGCACTCGTCTTAGTTTAAGGGCATGGGCGAGAAACACAGGATGTAGGAGATGGCGTTCTTTGGCAGTATGCAGTGAATTCAGCTTTTATGTACATTTTAAAGCAAAAATATTTGTCAGGTATTTGTTTACCTGTAAGACAGGGTGACACCATATTGTGAGAGTATAGTTGAAATGTGATTTATGTCTTATAACCGCTACTATTGTTTGACTTTCAGTCACTGTGTCATCGTTTCAGTCACTATGTGATCATAAATAGGAATTTTTTTTTTCTGCTCACAAGGTTTGTATGTTCTACAGTACAAGTTGACATTGTGTGTATAAACCATTTGTAATTCTAAAACCTTTATGCGCATGTAAACAATTATCTAGGCCCCACTATGTAACATTATTAGAATTTTTTTTTTTCCATAAGGCAGGAGCAGGGTGAAAAAAATCACCCGACCTCATATAAAGCCACGCAATGTGTGTAAACAACTTACGGAACGGTTACCAAACATGTTGTTAGACAAAACATGCGAGCACGACCCAGGTGTTTACTCTAAATTACTCTAAATTATTGAAGGCCCAGTAGATTATGCCGGGAAGTTTTATGTCTATACGAGTATTTTTGTCACATTGAGTCATCATTGGAATGTTCTCATTAAAAAACAAAAAAAAAACAAAAAAACAGGAACCGTATGGGGGAAAAGGCAATCAGTGCCAGTGCGCCAACATAAATCCATCATTTCACAACACAGTACACAGGGACCGAGTAAAGAATGCATAATTTTCATAACAAGCCCTCTATACAAGCCTTCACGAGCCCCTCTATACGTGGACGCCATCTATCCCCGTGCGAGTGAAGCACACTCGGTGCGCCGAACACAATGTGGTTGCCGTGCGAGACAGAGAGTCATCACCTAAATGCATTTCTTCCACCGTGGTACTAACTCACTTGTATAGGCCTGTGTACATATACACCACCACAGAGCTACCTCCGTGCTATTAGTTCAGTGCTGAAAATGGTGCTAACCTTGCTGATGCTGCACCGACTCCGCACTACATTAGTGATACAGCGCTGCATCAGTGCTAAGTTACGTTCAAGTCAGTACCGCATCAGTGCTGTACTTAATCTTGATTTAATGTTCCGATGTAAACCGGCCTTTTGTCTCTCAGAAATGACTCATAAAATGCTTAATACCCTATCGCAGAATTCGTTGCAATTATCTGGATCTTGCTGTTCTCTCTTTTCCTTGCCATTTATGATATATGTAGTAAGTTGTCGCTTTGATTACCTTGGTTTGCCTTAATTTAAGAGGATCCTGTTAGAGCACGTGAAATCTCTTTCAGGCTCAACGAAATCTCCACACTATGTGCTGAGTTGACCGCCAGTTGCGGCTCGCTCAGCGCCGAGTGGCTCGGAGTCCTGAAGGCCCTGTGCTGCTCCTCGAATCATGCGTGTGGCTTCATCGACGTTCTGACCCAAGTTGACGTGAGTTGGGGTGTCCTCCAGTACTGGGATTGAGGTCTGATAGGACCGTCACGGAAGGTTGGGTTCGGTCATTCCAGGCCAGACTCTTCGGAGTTTATGACAGATATTGCATTGACAAAAGGCCTTTTGCTGAGTTACCCAAGCACCAAGTAGCACATGGTGAGTGTAGCTACATGCGCTGCACGTATTGGCATCAGCGGCAGTAACTATTCGGAAACAAAAGCCTAAAACAGATGGCACTTTGTGGTGCATGCATTTTTCCATGCCTTATACCAGGGGTGGCCATGCTGACCCGGCCTTAGAGCCGCAAACAAAAGCACGAAACTTCCAAGAGCCGTGGAGGGGGGCAAAAAATTTTGCTCAAAGTAATAAATGAAACTCGACGTACTTTCCGTCTATTCGATTCAAAAGCAGTCCAACTGTACATAATGTAGCAGCAGCACAAGACTACTAAATCACATCCTGTCTTTCAAGAGGGAGGTGGGGAGCGGGGAGGGGAGGGGAGGGGAGAAGATGATGATGGGAGGGGAAAGGTAGGGAAGGGAGGGAGCAGCGAGCTGCACTTTAGCACGCGAAGAGCCACATGCGGCTTGCAAGCCGCAGCTTGGCCACCCCTGCCTTATATGCTAGCGTCTGGGAAAAAATGCATCCTCAAATGTCAACAGAAAACTCCCCATTTGTCGTGACAAGTATGAATAAATAAAAACAAAAAGAGGGGGCAACCTACGTGAGTCAGCCTTCTTTGGCATTATTAGATAGCGAGGTCCTGATCCCTTGTTATCATCTGTAGGTATCGTCATTGAGGTTGTCCTAGGCTTCGTCGTCTTTGAGGTCGTCCTCGAGGTTGTGCTTGAGGTCATCCTAACGTCCTCATGGTCATCCTAGAAGTCGTCCTAGAAGTTGTCCTTGAGGTCGTTCTCTAGGCATCGTCCTTGAGGTCGTCCTAGACGTTGTCCTCTAGGCATCGTCCTTGAGGTCATCCTAGAGGTCGTACTTGAGGTCATCCTGAAGTCCTTGAGGTCGTCCTAGAAGTCGTACTTGAGTTCTCCTAGACATCTTCCTCGAGGTCGTCCTAGAAGTTGTCCTCGTTGTCGTTCTAGAAGCCGTTTTCAAGGTCGTGTGAGAGGTTGTCCTAGGCGTCGTCGGAGTCATCATAGAAGTTGACCTTGAGGTCGTCCTCAAAGTCGTCCTAGATGTCGTCCTCAAGGTCGTCCTAGAACTCATCATAGAAGTCGTCCTTGAGGTCATCTTCGAAGTCGTTCTAGGCGTCGTCCTCAAGGTCCTCCTAGAAGTCGTCCTTGAGGTCTTCCTAGGCGTCGTCCTCAAATTGTTTTAAAAGTCGTCCTTGAGGTCGTCCTATACGTTGTTCTCTAGGCATCGTCCTAGACATTGTAAAGATTACAGCTTCCCTGGTCTTCTATCATCAAGTGAAGTGGAAGGACTCCATAATTCTTTTTTAGAGGCAGGGTGTCTAGCGACCGGGAAAACCAGGAATTGTCAGGGAAATTTTAATTACCGGGAAAAATCAGGGAATTCTCAGGGAAATTATCAAAAAGCGAGCCCAGTTAGGGAAAATGAGCCATAAACGCCATTGAACGCCCTGAGCAAGGACTTGAGAACTTGGGGGCAGAAAAATAGGCAATAAATTCTGCTTAGTGCGGGCTCTGCTCACCCGATGTAGAGTGTGCTTTTTGACAATTTCCCTGACAATTCCCTGAAAGACACCCTTTTTTTTTTTAATACCGGAAATCGGAGTCCGGTGTGATGTCGCCTCCTGGATTTGTATCCTCCCTCGGAAAACATGACGGCGCTCGACGCACACAGCAAAGGATGATCGGTGAGTCGGGGAATCGGACGAAGTGGTCTTTTTTAGGTGCCCGATGACCTCTTAGACTTCAAAAAGTAAATCGTCAAATGGTCAAAACAAGTGGGTTTGGTGTCTTGTGTACCGCAGTTTCGGTTGTGACTCTGCCGGGGCAGCCTTTCTGACGTCAAGCATCGTCTGCTCGCAGCGATAGGCAGATGGCACCACACGCACAGAATAAAACTGTTTTTTCCCGGTCCGCCGGCCCCCTTCTCTCCCGCTCCTCACCTCCTCGCTTCGGGTCACGGTGGCAACGGCGGTTGGGAGTGGAGGCGTGAAAGAAAGCCGAGCCGCGGGTCTCCACAATATTTGACGTCACTGCACTGGCGCGGATCGCTCGGGAACTTCAAATCCGGCATTTGGAAATTGTCTTTTTACTTCACAAATACTGAATTCCCAAGTTTTGAATTTTGAGAGTAATGTCCTGGCATCGTTTTCAATCGTTTCGGGTAATAAAAAAAAATTATGATTTTGATGTGTCAGTGCCCCTTTAAGTAATTTGGCAAAAGTTCTATCATGGCTGCTCATAAGCCGGACCATGCGGTATTAGTTGCACATTTAAGCTTCTGTGCATGGATGCTGCTGTTATGCTTCCCTCCTGGGTGTTGTTTTGTTGTATCTATTTTCTTTATAGTTATTGCTTTCGTTGCACAACTTAGCCGTTGGTTATGTTGATAGCTCAATCTCTTGGTAAAGCACGGCCAAGAGTTTTGTGTTATGTTTTACAGCGAAGCTGTTATACGCTAGGATCTGTGGATGTTGACAAAAAACTCCCCATTGGTCGTGGCAAGTATGAATACATGAAAATAAAAGAGGGGGCAACCAGCGTGAGTCTGCCTTCCTTGGCATTATTAGATAGTGAGGCCCTGATCCCTTGTTATCATCTCTAGTCATCGTCCTCAAGGTCGCCCTAGAAGTCGCCCTTGAGGTTGTCCGAGAGGTCGTCCTCTAGGCGGCGTCCCTCAAGGTCGTACTAGAAGTACGACCTCGAGTCATCGTTTTTGAGGTTGTCGTTGACGTCATCCTCGAGGTTGTCCTATAAGTCGTCTTTGAAGTTGTCCTTGACATCATCCTCGAGGTCGTCCAAGAAGTCGTATTCGAGCCCGGCATAGAAGTCGTCCTTGAGGTTCGAGAAATTGTCCTAGGTGTCGTCCTCTAAGCGTCTTCCTAGAAGTGTTCCTTGATGTCGTCCTCTAGGCGTCGTCCTCAAGGTCGTCCTCAAGGTCGTCCTTGAGGTCGTCCTAGACGTCGTCCTCTAGGCATTGTCCTAGACGTCGTAAAAATAACAGGTTCGCTGGTCCTCCATCTTCACGCCAAGTGGAATGGTTCTACAATTTTTCTTGGTGCTGTGCAAATATTGTATCTTTCGCTGTACAATTGGCCATTCCTTCTCAAATTTTTGTTGGTGTGTCTTATACAACGGTACGACCGATATGTTTTTTATAAGCCCCGAATGTGAAAATATGCCACAAAGGCAAGTTTGCACGGTTAGGTCCTTAAGAACTTATTTCACATATAATTCGTTAGCAACAATATGCTTGAGACAATGTCGCGATCATAATACAAATATGCACGTCTATCAATGCACTTTCGTCGACCTTGCAGAAAATTGTGACTAATACAAAGGTTCGACTTATGAACCAGAATATATTCTGTATATTTTTCAACCGAAACACTCTTAGTCTATGACATATGTCTTAGGAGTCAAATTCACGGCAAAGTTTCAGACCTATTGTTCCCATGCAAATAAAAGCAGACATGTTATCCTAAGATATGCAGCATTTTCTGGCCAAGCAAAGAAACAGCTGCCCAAAATTGTTTTTTTTGTTATATTCAAACTATCAACTTTTCAATTTACAATAAAACACTATAGACAACAAAAACACAATGAAGGTGAAAATGTTTTGCAGTAGACTGCATAAAATACTTAGAGTATCTTATGCTAGTGAGCTAACACTCAGCAAGGCATAGGACCTAGAGTTTACATTGAGGATACGAAAAAGGGCATTGTTCTTTTATTGTAAAAAAATGCATTTCAAACCTAAGATGATATTTTTTATATATTTTGAACTTTCAGTTCAACAGATAAAAAAATCACAATGGACACAACAGCATGATGCAGTAGACTGCATTTACGTCAATGGTTAAGACACTTTGTTTGCCAGCTGCTACTCTGTATTTTTTTTTGTCATGCAATTGTTTTCGCTATAATCATGGCTTGTGTTTTTGGCACTTCATCTAGGAGCTTCAACGATGATGGTAATATTGTGTTGAAAACGGAAACATATATGGTTCACTAATAATAAAGTTCCTTCCAAACCAAGTCTACTAAAACACATTGCAACAAATCATGGCAACTTCTGCAAAGTTCGGTTGTCATGTATATCGAGGCAAAAAGTTAAAAACTGCACATAGATTGTGGACAGTTTTTATTTAAGGGGCTATATTTTAACTCCTAAACGTTGCAGAAATCGAACCAATGTTGTACGAGAAGCATATAAATGAGTTATTAAACAGACCCAGTGATTAACAACCTGACAACAGCGCAACTGACAAAACGTACCAAGGTGCTGGACGAGAGATCCTCAGGGTGTAGTAAACTATGTGCATAACTCTACATATAGCAAATACAATATTCACACCATCAAACAGTTTATGTGTGGCTTAACCAGCAATACATGGTTTCGTCCTGTACGAGGACTATGTGGGTTCAGTGTGCTCTTAATGGGAGGAGTGAGGGAGGGACATCTCATAAAAATAATGGTAAAATGTAGGGCTGAGCACTTGATCGTTTAACCTACCGAATAATCGATTAATGCTCTAATCGCGAGTAATTTTTTAAATGCTACTTGTGAATATCTGAAAGTCGGGTCACTGGTTCACACAAGGCCTCAAATTGAGGTTCTGCACCCGTGCCATGTCCCCTTCATGCGTGCTCCCGGTTCAGGCAGGTCTCCATCTCAGTGCCAGTCATATTTTTTTTTTGTGTATGACAAAGATTGTCTGCCTTGCAGGTTGGGGATCTGTCGATCCACGACAACCTCGCCGTCTTCACCTGCATCCTGGTAGCCAGGCGCTGCTTCTCTCTCCAGGACTTTGTCGTGCACGTCGCCATTCCATCGCTGCTCTCTGCCAGTCCTGGTCAGTTGCACGTTGGTGCTGCTTCTAAATGGCAATAGCTGTTATGGGCTCTTCCCATTACTGGAAGTTACGCCCACTGTCGATTTAGTAGTTGTAGTTGCTGTTGTCGTGTTGATGTTGTAGTCGGCATTATAGGGCGTCCATCGTCGTCGTTTCAAATTCTTGGAAAAGATTGCCTGCCACCTGCGGGAATTGAACCTGGGTCTTCTGCGTGCGAAGCGGAAGCGTTATCACAGAGCTGCGCGACAGCGTTAGTAACGCGCTTTATACTTAAAGGGCAACTCCGCTCAATTTCGAAAAATTTAGGCTTCCATGTGATTCACATTCACAAAGTAATACTCAACAACTCTACGTCTTCGGATTCGCGAAATGTGGAATAATATTTGTGTAATCCTAATTTAAACATCAGCAGATACCGAAACCGAAACTTCGGTTGCGTCAGGCAACATTGGTCTCGGGTCGTCACAGTCATGGGCACCTCACGTCGAACCACGTGGTCTTGTGACGTTCGGGAGGGAGCGAGAAACAGGACACGCGACGCGGGCAGGTCCTTTTTTTTTTTTTTTTCTTTTGGACGCGGGCAGGTTGCTTCGCGTGGGGTGGACGGTGATGGCCCGGGGGAGAGGGGGAAGGGGAGAAGACGAAAGAGGAGAAGGGGAGCGGAGAAACAGACCGATAAGCGCGCAGGGCAGCGGTGATCACGTGAACGCCTGGTCAGCCAACACCGGGAGGAGAAACTCATGACGTCATCGTTAAATTTCGCTCTGGAAAGTAAAAACAAGCAAAATGTGAGAATGAACTATACATGCCTCTGACGTAGTGGTTCAACATTGGCCGCTCCAACTCCGTGGCATTGACTGCACTGATGATTGCACCTCGCGCCGCACGCTAGAGTTGGCAGATTTCGCCGACTTGGCTCGCTTGAAGGTTCGCTGGCCAGTTTATTAAATATATAGACGGAATTAGATCGTAATATTTGACATGGGGTCTTCCTGTATGATACTGAAGAGGGCTACATAGTTTTCTAAATATCAAAAATAAAGCGGAGTTGCCCTTTAAAGGGCAACTCTGCTCAATTCCGAAGATTTCGGGATAATGAGTGACTTCGAATTAAAAAGCCCTAGTAAAAGACACTACGTCGTTTGCTTCACGAAAAATGGGATGTATATTTTTTAATGTAATTCGAAACACGAGCGGAAATCGAAACCGAAACTTCGGCTCCGTCCGGCAACAAGGGCCTTGGGCCGCCAAGTACATGGCCATCGCATGGTACGAGATGTCACGTGATCCTCGGCCCATCGACGGGCGGGATTGGGGCGGGCGTGTGGCAGGCGCGAGTGTCGTCTGCACCGCACTCTTCGCCACGTTTTGGTGTCTACGGCATTCGACGACGTCTGCACAACTGCGGCATAAGTCTGTGCACGTGGTTGTAGTGTAGACGAAACTCCGAGAGACAATAATCACAAATGGTGAGACGACGACGGTGGTTGACCCGGGACACGGCCGGAACGGTGGGACCCCGGCGGGCGGCCGGATGGCTCCCAAGAACCGCGCTGCGCAGGCGCGTTACGCCAATCACGTGGACACCGCTGAGCACCGAGAGGCAACGTTGCTGACGTCATGCGCTACGCTCGCCCGGAGAAGTAAAAACAAGTAAATGGGGGCCATGATGATGACGTTTAGCTCAATGTTGGCTCCGCCCATGCCGTAGCCTTGACTGCGCTGTTAGTTGCGCCTGAATTCCCCCGCTCTAGTCAGCCGATTTTGGCAACTTGGCGAGTAGCAAAGTTTGCCGGACCATTTAAGAAACATTTATACAGAACCGCGTCTTAATATTTGACGTGTGGTCTTTTTAGGCGATACTGAAGAGGACTGCATTGTTTTTAGAGCGCAGCTCTTAGGGGCCCGTTCCCGGCTTGAGCGGCGTCGCCGTCGGCGTAACCAAGGTCATCCCAAAGACCCCTCCCAAGGTCATCTCAAGGTCACGTGACCCCACGTCTCCCAAGGTCACGTGACCCCTCGAGGTCACGTGACCCCTCCCAAGGTCATCTCAAGGTCACGTGACCCCACGTGACCCTTTGAAGGTCACGTGACCCCTCTGAGGTCACGTGGTCTCCTCCCCAAGGTCACGTGACCCCCAAGGTCACGTGACCCCTCCCAAGGTCATCTCAAGGTCACGTGACCCCAAGGTGACCCCCACGTGACCCCCAGGTCACGTGACCCCTCTGAGGTCACGTGACCCCCCTCCCCGAAGTCACGTGACACCCCCCCCCCCCCCCCCCCCCCCCCCGAGGTCACGTGACCGCCCCCCCCGGAGCATATTAAAGAATGAGGGGAGGAGGAGGGGTCTACCCTCCCCTCAGTACCCTTCACTCCTCCTCCTCAAGAGCTGCGCTCCAATTCGGCGTTACAGGGATTTGTAAACGGCTTTCACTTTTTTTTCAAAACCAAAAATGAAGCGGAGTTGCTCTTTAAAGGGGCCCTGCAATGACTTTTTGACTGGTTTTTAATTTGCACTGAACATGAGCGTACTGAACGTAGTAACCTAATCCAACTTTTATTTTCTCAAATTTCGCTTTATTTTAAAAGTTATAGGCCAATTAGAATTACAAAAACAAGCAAAAAATAACCTACTTCATGACGTCTTAGGTCCTGCCTTGCGTGGCCTTGAACTAGAGGAGGGGTAGTGAGCACATCGGCGCACACAGCCGCCGCACTCCGTGTCGACGGCTCGAGGGGGCGCCACTAAAGCACGTGTTGGATAGGCTGTATGAAGCGGGCGGCCAGGGCAGCTCGCATTTCATTTGCAGCGCGACTAAACAGTAATTCGGCAAAACATTTCATTGGCCACAAACTACTGCAAACACGGGGTAAAGATCAGTTCAGAACGGGAGCCACTTCGCGCTGACGCACCGCCAAATGGCCAAATCGCCAGCAGGGCCCGCGCCGAAGGCCTTCGGAACGCTCGGAACCGGTCGGATTCTTGAGCCGGTATACGACCACAGCGCCGCCGCGTACATCCGGGACCTTCCTGCGCTCCTCGTTTGTCGTAGCCTCCTCCCACTAGCCTTTTCTAGTATGCGCCGTTTTTTTCCGCCGCTTGGTAGCGGGTCTGTCGACGGGTCATTTCTCGTTTCCGTACTTTCTAAACTGCATTTGTTTCTTTTCTGATCTAAAGTAGTGAACAAAAACTACTTTCATACATAATTGAAACGGTTCGCGACACTTATATTTTGTATCTCGACTAAAAAAAAAGCTCTTAGCGGCTTTGACCAGTGGCAAGCCCAGGACCAAAGACGTCACATTTTGCGCGCTTTCGGTACCGTGGGTCGCCCTCGTCGGTGTAGGAGGTTTCCGCGTCGTCCGGTTAAAATATGACGCACTGATATTTAGTTACTCTCTCCGTGCCCGCTGGCTTGCCCCAACCCCCAGAGACGTGGAAACCGCAAAAAAGGTAGACGCTTAAATATGATTGCAGGGCCCCTTTAAGAGCTTTTGCTAGAAAAAGAAAAAAAAAAAGCTGATAACAAGATGGTGTTGTAGCGCTGTCAATGCCAAGAGCTCGTGCTGGGAGACACAATTTCATGCACCCCGGAGCAACAAAAAAAAAAAAAAAAGAAAGCGTTTTGAACAAAATGGTTAGTTTTTAATTTTGTCCTGAAAGCTTTTGTTCCCTCACCTTATGGTGCACGAATGCGACGCTGATGCCCAACAACTTTGCAATGAAATGTCGCAGCTATCGCTGCGACTACTGTGGATTACCCCAGGACTTCATTTTTTTCTTTTTTGATGGAGGAGGACCTAGAAAGGAAAAGTTATTTTCTGTAGGTGAAGTGATTTAAGAGAATTGGGAATATATTAGAATTTCTTTATCATCTTGCATAAGTGGAACATTTCAAAATGCATATTTGGCTTCCCATGTCTTTTAAGAAGTCCTACTATGTTACAACAAATAGAACTTATAGGTCGAACAATTTTGTCTGGTCCCCTGGAGCTCCAGAAAGATTTTACCTTGTGCTATGGGCTTTGATAACGTTTGTGCTTTGATAACACTCATGCTACTCATGCTCTGGGCAGGCTAGTGATCCATGCTGGCATACACAGCAAGAGAACACCTGACAGAACTAGGGACATATCTCTAATTGTAAAGATAGTTTCAGGTGTCCTTGAACAGTGATAATGTTCTGACTGGTCAGAGTTCTTCCACTTCCACGTGGAGTCTTTTAGCTACTGGAGTGTCGCCAGCTTGATCCGAACGATGAGTCTATTGGATGGTAACACCGCAGAGTCGGGCTTCACCTTGCAGAAGAAACCCCTGCAAAACACTCTTAAAGGGATACTGAACCGAAATTTCGAGCTCACAAAACAAGGCTGGACGGATAGGTGGGGCGCTGCAAAACCCAACAACATCGCTCCTACAGTGATATCTCTAACGGATCGGCGTATTTTTGGAAAAGAAGTGTGCGATTGAACTTGGCAGACGAGACATGGTACGTCACTAGTCTCATTCCCTCTTTTCCTCGTTACGTCCCGTCGAGCTGGTGAACTGAAGCGAGGCCGCTTCCTCTCTATCTCAAATTTTCAAGGGGGACAATGGTGTCATAGCCCTTGCTTGATCACGGCCTTCTTTTACAAAAGTACGGCCATCCGTTTGACATATCGATGTATGAGTGGTGTTTCGGAGTTTGTAGCGTCCCGTTCAACACTTCTGCGGCCTTTTTTTGCGAATTCCAAATTCCGGTGCAGTATTCCTTTAAAGCAGCTGTGCACTATGCACCTGTAGAACTCCACTGCTCATTGAAGCAATGTGTATCAGGATTAGCTAGCTTTAATCCTGACAAGTATAGTAACATATCTTACTTGAGTGTCTTGTCTGTCTGTTGACTTTCCTGCTCCTTCCGTTCCTTTCAGTGAGTGGAGCTGCAGACCAGGACGCGGAGTCGGGGGCTCGGCTCACCTGCCACCTGCTGCTCCGGCTGTTCCGCACAGTCGATCCGTCTCCTCCGCCGTCACTGCCGCGGCCCCTGTTCCTGATCCGGTCCCCCTGTGACCGGCACCTCTTGTCAGCTGCTCACAGCAGCATGCGGGTGGAGCCTGTCCTGGCTGTCCTCAAGGCCATCCTTGTCCTCGGTCAGTTGCTTTTTACAGCGGTGCTGTTAAGGGCTAGTTTCCCCAGGATCATGTCCGTCCTCAAATGACCTGATGACACAGAACTCTGGACAGCTACCGCCATTTATAAGCGCCGGCGGCAACCAACCAACTAGTTGCCACTGTAGCGCATGGATGGCGTCATCCTTTTGAGCCTTTCCACTCTGGCTTGCCGACTTGCGGCTGGCCATTACTTCATTCCCACCATAGTACAGGTTTGCTGGTCTTCCTTCTTCACCAGAGTAAAAAGGCTGAAAGTTTTTGTTGTGCCTTTCCTGGTATTTTTTGTCAGTTTCTTTCCCTTGTGCTTGTCCTGGCTGTGCTCAGGACCATGCTTGTCCTTGGTTAGTTGCTTTCTGTAGTGCCTGTCCTTGCTGTCCTTAAGACTATCCTTGTTCATGGTCAATTGTTTACTTTAGTGCCTGTCCTTACTGTCCGTAAGACTATGCTTGTCCTATGTCAGTTGCTTTCTATAGTGCCTGTCTTTGCTGTCCTTCATACCATCCATGTCCGTAGTTACAGTTGAACCCGGATATATCGAATTCAAAAGGGATCGTAAAATAGTTTGATATATGGATAATTTGTTATACAAAAATATGTTAATTTAAGGCCCGGTTGAAATCGCCCTGCATCTCTGCTAATACCGAGGAAATGGGACCTTACCAAATAGAGCCTCTAAGAGCCGCTAAATACAGTAGAGCTTCCGTTGGTAAAGATCACAAACACTTCTGCGTTTACAGACAGTGTTTGCGATCGTTTACGCCTGGCCACGACCTCCGCACAGCGCACTCAGCACCAACAACACAACACAAAAATAAAAAAAAAACAAAAAAAAAAATACAACGGGAAAAGCGAGTTGCAGAAAAAGAAAACTCGATCAATAGAATAAATTTAAGCCTGCAACAAAAAGGAAACCTCACTAAATTCAGGAAACAAAAAAGAAAGGCAAAAATATAAAATAAAACGGGCAAAGCAAAAACGGGGAAAGAAAAAGGTGAACAAAGATGCTCAACTGTTGTTGTTGTTGTGGATACACTCAACTTGACCAAGACTTTTCTTTTTTTTTTTTTATTTTGGGGCTGTGGAGGGTGCGCAGCAATAGAGGTGTTTGGGGAAAGAGTGCATGCTACCAGCTACTGTTCCAACTGCGGGCACTTCCTGCCCTCCCTATGCGTGGGCGTGCCCTTCCCCTTGCTTTTGCCATCCTCCACTTCTTTTTTTTTTTTTTAAGTTTTTTAAAATTTTTTTACAACTGCTCTTTTGCTGCGTATCCCCGTGCGTGTATGCTGGCTTGGCGGTCTGCCAGCCCCGCAATGCAATTTATGTGCTTGCCGCTGACGATTCGACCGTGGAAGAATCTTCCAATGGCCGCGGTGCTTGTTCCCTGTATCGAGTGTCCCCGTCATGGGAGTTTGCTACAGAAAAGATGACCGCATCTCCATGTGGTGAATGATGTTGATTGGGGCGAAGCTTTTGGTGGTGCTTGTCTGCGTAGACTCTGAGCCGCAGCATGCGGAGCCTTTCGTTCGTTTTCATTTATGTCAGAAAGAGAATGTGTGGTATGGAACGTGGTTATATACGCATTTGAGCATTTGACTGCCGCGCCCTCTCCTATATAGACGTTGAGCGGCTACATGCGACGTTTCATCCATGACATCCCCAGCTCTTGAGTTACTACATCTCAGAGCCCCCTACTCGTCCCGCAGTCGTGGCCGTGTGGTTAAGGTGATAGACTAGAAATCCATTAGGGTCTCCCCGCACAGGTTCGAATCCTGTCGACTGCGCAAACATTTTTCTTTTTTTTTTTAAGAAGACGGATGGGATGGCAATCGATGTGAGCACAGACCCTGGACGGACAAGGCTGGGCCCTAAGGAGCTTCGCCCCTAAAACGATGCTCCTATACTATTACATGTGATTTTCAAGGGGATGTTTGGACTGTTTGATGTGAACAATGATTCGAAATACCCAGGTGTGATATAACCGGGCTCGACCATAGTTTCTTTCGATAGCACCTATCTTCAATGTTCCCGAGGCTTCCTTGTCCTTGTTCAGTTGCTTTCTGTAGCACTGGCTGTTCTCAAGGTCATCCTTCTCCTTGAAGCCATGCATGTCTTTGATCATTCGTTTTCTGTAGTGGTTGTCTTTACTGTCCCCTAGGCTATTCTTGCCCTTAGTAAGTTGGTTTTTGTAGTGATTGACCAGCTGGCTGAGTTACGTTACCTGCTACACTAAGGGCTAACCAGGTACTTTTTTCTTTCACGACTCGCGTCCCGCAGAAATATGCGACTGATTCATTTGGAGGTTGTTGCTCGATTTTCATCATAGCCATTTTATTCCTGACGGCGTAGAACAATGACATGGTGCGTGTGGCACGAGACAGTGCCAGGGACGGAATGCCATCTGGAGAAACAGACACCATATACAATTGTAACATTTTATCTTCCTCAAAACAAAAAGACTAGACTGAGGGCAGAACACAGTAGTAACCAAAAGAGTACCAGAAGTCATTAGGTTCAAACTTACAAGCCTTATCACATGAATGTTATGCGATAGACAGCTGAGTGTAATATTACCAGTTGAAGTCAAAAGAACAAAAAGTAGCTTCTGGCTAACCAAGTATAGTTGCTGCTAATTACTTTTTGACACTGGTCACAATAACACTTGACTTTCTCCCTTTGATAGGGACAAAAATTGGAAAAGAAAACCGACGAAGTCACCAAAATTACCAATGGTCTTTACATGTGGATGCAAAACTGGATATGCTACTTGGGCAGTACTCTGAGAATGATCAGCTTGTGCACGGTATGCATACTTTGTGTCATGTTTGGCTAGAGGTGAATGGTTAGTAATTAGTCATGGTGCCATGTATTGCAAAGCACGACACAGCATGGGGATTTGGTGGTGTTGTGCAAATATTTGTAATTTCGGATAGTAGTTACAAATAATATGCTATTCGATATTCGCTCCAAGATGAAGTGTTGATTGTGGCGGGTTTGCCCCGTTGAGCGCACTTCTTACTGAGCACGCATGCGCTGCGGAGAAGTAACACCTGCAGAAGCCAGAGCCGTATATGTAGAGAGTTTGGCAATTCGTTGGGAAGTATAGAAGACAAATCAGGAGGCGCCATTGGGCGAAAGCGGGCTGGGCGTGTTCCAGGGCGTCTTCAGAAATGTGAATGTGGCCAACCAGAAGCCGGAAATAATTCCCTGGCGGTGGTCGCGAGAAACAAACTTGATAAGTGCATCGGAGTAACTCTCGATGACTGAAAATAGGGTACACGTGATGTTTTAATCACGGTCATCTAAAATCATGGTGGAAGGGTGCGACTAGCGGAACGATCGACATAATCCGTACGCCAATCGCCGCGGGCCGGGAATCTGCCGTTCAAGCGGTCAAACTATTCGAGCAAAAGAGAGTTTAGCGGCACATTTGTTTCTTACATTTTTCTGCATGATCATGATCGAAACGTCACAGGCACCCTATTTTCAACCATAAAGGGTTACTACATTTAACTCTTACGCGCTTATTAAAACGACTAAAACTGTTTCTTGCTACCACTGCTAGAGGGTTCTTTTTGGCTTCTAGTTGGCCAAGACAGCATGCCAAGCCCTCTTTTTTCGTCTGGTGCACGCCCTGGCTTTGCCTGAGCCTCCCATTGTCCAGACTCTCTGTATAGGGGCATTCACTAGATGCCATATTTGAGGGCAATGTTTAGGGCACATGCTCAGAACGAGCTTACATCAATAGGCTGCTAAGACCGGCAGTCTTGATGGTGTGGAATGCACGTTGCAAAAGAACTGTGGAAGCTCGCCGTCAGCACGCACTCAGCAACCACGCACACAGATATAGCCGCCAGTGAATACTCCCTATACACGGCTCTGGGGGAAGCTACCTCCGCGGGTGTTGCTTCTCCGCAGTGCACCTGTGCTCGGTAAGAAGCGCACTCAACGGGGTAACTCACTGCGACCAACACTTGGAAAAGTATGAATATCACAATTGCGTGCTTGGGAGAAAAGCCCACTTTCAAGGCGGGATGGTGCATGCGCGCGTCTGGTGCAATTAAAAAGAAACTTAAACTTTGGGAATGTTGATATCTACATTGCAGTAAAATTTTCAAAATTAAACTTTGACTGTTCTGCAAGAGTATGTTAGGCGGAGATGCCCTGACAACCTGCATTCATCATTCATAATTATTTTTTTTTTTCTTCAGAATTCGAGGTTGAAACAAGAATATTTGCATATAGCTAGATTTGTAAATTCACTCAATTAGGTAAAGCTGGGCATCTCTGTAGGTTCAATTTTATGTCAATTTCGTTGTTTGCTTGCCTTGTCAAGGCACCAGACTTTCTGAGGTCGAAGTCCATAAATATAGATTAAAATTAACTTGCAGATGGATAAGGGGAAGCTTGGGAACAAGTTACATGAGTTAGCTTAGTTTTCGTTTAAAGCACGGTGCAACAGTAGTGAGAGGCTTAGAGAAATTATTCTGTATACGATTAGAAGATATTCGGCCAAAACCACTATTCACTTCGAATTCGCCTTGAACTCGTACAACAAGGCATGGAAAGATAAGCTCAGTAACTGCACTTCACAATTGCATTGTTCACTCTTCTGTATCATTGTACTGTTGAGACGTGTAAACCAGTGTTGACAGGATGTGTGTTTTTAATTTGAACAGATTTTAAAAAAAGGAGGTAACTACTACATTGATGTTGTCTTTACTGTGTGTTTTTTGGGCTTTGCAGACATTAGATGTAGGGACAACCATTACAATCAGTTGGCTAATTAACAAAGATGTGTTAATTAACTTTGTGATTAATTGCCTTATCAGCCATGCTGCAGTGGCACATCTGGCAGAAAGAATAAGACAAAGATTTTATTCTGTCTGCAAGTTGTATACTTTAAACTAACACGTTTGTTACTAACGTAATTGCGGTGGCAGTTCTGAGGGAGTCATATTAGAGGCTAAACCAATTTACACAATTTGCAGAGGACAAATTCATTTTCTTAGTAGTGCTTCCTTGCTAAAAGTGCCAACAGTGCAATGCCAAGGTAGTGATGGTGTGCCTGTCACAAGTGGTGCCTAAACCGGTGGGTGTTCCGCTTAACCAAGTATCGCCGTCCTTTAATTGGGCATTCCTTTAGGTTGACGGCGATGCACCGCCACTTTACAGCAGTAGCTATTAGTGGCCCTTTCCCCCGGTTTCGTGGCAGCATGAACGCAAATGAAACTGACGTTACGTGACCTATGTGCCAATTCAGTTTCCCCGCTAAATTTGATGGCGAAAATGGACGTCACGTGACCTGACGTCACGGGACCTACAGACAAATTCAGGTTTTGCGCTAAATTTAGCAGAAAAATTAACGTCGCATGTCCTATCCACCAAATCAGTTCTCCCACTAAATTTGGCAGGAAAACACATCACAGCCTTGCTGCCGCTGTTTAAACGCATCTTGTCGCGTGATTGTCGGCCAATTTTTTGGCTCATGTCGTGTCGCAATTGCTCCCCCTTGACAGTGCATGTGCCCCGCATTGTCTTCTGTGCTTCATCGCTGGTGACGTGCAGGGCCGTAACCAGGGGGGGGGGGGGGTTAGGGGGTTCTGACCCCCCCCGAAATTTTTTTCTGGGTACGGCCCTGGTTGGTGCACTTGCAGCCAGCCGATTTTAACCTCCACCTCTGCACACGCGCAGTGGCACCGGTCGGCTACCGGGTACCAAACCGGGACCGGTTCTCCGGTTTGCTGTAACTCTCCATTATATGCCACCGATGCACATGATTCATAGGCGAAAAGAAGACGATAAACACTTTCAAAATGGCCGCCGTTGTCCCCGAAAGCCCCCCCCCGAAATTTTTTTCTGGGTACGGCCCTGGTGACGTGTCACCATTTACGGTGATGCTCCTCCATTCTGAATGCATAGAATATATGTAGGGTAAGCTCTTAGTGCTTTCATCTCCGTGAGATGTGGCCTCACTGGGGACGCCGATGAGGTCCTCGACGTTTCAGAAGGTTCGCCGTGACGTAATCGTACGAATACCGTTATGTCCTCGCAAAATCCATGTCACATCGTCAGGGTATCGTCGGTCATAACATGACGCTGACGTCACGTGACACTGTTGTCATATGATATTGTGATACCGTGATATCGGGTGACACTACGTTTGCCTATGCACAAAATCCATTGTGCTGGGAAGTAGAAAAAGAAAAGTGTCTTAGTGTTCTTCTCGCATCGGTCGGCAGTGCCTACGGCATCATACGTTTGTGGGAAGTCGAACGATTAAAAACACAAATGGCGTATTCGGTCATGATGCGGTTTCGTGAACTGAAGTTGGCCAATCTGGACTGACACTCGCTCACCAACTGGTGTCCAGAATGCGCCGCGTGGTGCCTCCGCCGCTAGGGGTGCTTCGATTTTGGATAAGGTCAATTACAACACCTTTCCTTTCCATTTTTTGGTATGGGTCACCACATTATCTGCCATGAGAGAGAATAAAGCATCAGCTGTGTGTGTGGCCTTTCATACACGGCAGTAACTTTACAAGGTAGATATATTTTACCTTACATATATTTTACCATTTCGGGTAATTTAAGACATTGGCATTTTTAATGATTAGAATTAATATTGTTTATAGAGATATGGTAGTACTGTCCAGACCAGTTATAACAAAGTCAACGGGAATCGGAAATCACTTCACTATATCCACTATTTCTATATAACCGACTTCGGTTATAACGAAGTGCAAAAGGGAAAGGGAAATCGTGATCGCTCCGTTATAACCGACTTCAGTGTAACCGGTTTCGGCAGTGCATAATTACACTTTGGCACATTATAAGATAGCTTCCATTGAGCGTCCGTTGACAATGAAGAGGATTAGATTGGCATTGAAGTCTTATGGGAAGGTTATTGTTGCCTTTTGGTTTGCTCATAAACTTTGGAATCACCACTTGTGATACTTGATAAAAACATGGAACTGTAACAAAATGGATTTTTCAGGTTTGTTTGAAAAGGTAAATGCATGGTCAAAGCATGATTGCCCTGAAATTTTGGATTAGGGTAACTGGGAGTCACTACAAAATTATTGATAGTGCCTTTTCCTTGAAGTTTCTACATAGCATTTATTATTAATGCCATAGCACTAGTTAATCAAACAATGTTTGCTTTATCCCCACCTCATCACTTGCAGACTGGGATCACCCCAAGAAGAATGAGTGTTCCACATCTAAACCCGAGTTTTTAGCTGTATGCAGTAATCCCTCGTTATGACGAAATCAACGAGACGGAAAAAAAAAAAGTAATATAAGTGGTTGTTTGATAAAAGTGATAGAGCCAGAAAAACAGTGCCAAGTGCCAACAGCTTTGAAGGTGGATGGGAACACTGCTAAACACTGACCATATATTTAACCAAACAAATTTTGTTTATGAACATCTCTCAACAGCTTTACTGAGTAAAAAAAAAATTAAGTGGAGTTTTTCCGATTTAATACAGGCATCAGTTCTCGAACTGCTCCAGGCTTTGCAAGAACACATCACCGCTGCTGCACTCCACTTTGTTTGGAAGCAGCCGTAGAATGTTTCGTGTCTCCGCAGTCGTCGGCGTTTGCCGAGGTGCCTCTCCAACGTTGCTTCATGTTTACCCTGGCCGCAAGCAAGGTCTACGATTGCATCATCCGTGGCAGGAGCAACAACGCGAATATCCGCATCGACAAGAGCTAACGAACTAAAGTTATCTTTGTTTGCTTTGCCAACATGTTTTCACACACTCCTGTAGAGATCGTTGCAGCTATGGAAATTGTGCGCTGGCTTGGCAAGCAGGCTCGCAATAGAAAATCCGACATGCGTGAAGCAGGTGACAATCTTTTATCTTTGGGTTACGGGTGTGCTTTCTTCTGCATGAGAAACTTCTCAAACCTGTCCAATATGCCTTGCGTGTTCTGGAAAAAGGGGGACAGTGTCGAACAGCCGATGTTGGAATGTAAAACTTTTGACGGTTAACGGACTTGGGCCAGCCACGATGTTGGAATGTAAAACTTTTGACGGTTAACGGACTTGGGCCAGCCACTTTTCTCAACCTCTCAGATCTAAGCGACTTTTGGTAAACAGTCCCCATCTCCCATACAACGCGCGTGTGTGTGTAGTATGTCGCAAGCGTGCCTGCGCAGGCACGCGCGTGGGGGCTTCCAATGGAATTATCTCCTCTGGGCTCCATTGATCCCTTTACCTGAATCCGACTAGAGTTCGGCAGCATCGGCTGCAAGCGCCGTGAGTAGCGTGAACGTTGACGCTGCTCCCGTTGCTCCCTGTCTGCGTCGGTGCATCGGCATTGGAAGCAGTGCTCTGCCAGCTCTGCGCACTCTGCTCTCTGTCACCCATTTACTCCGTTTTCCCAGTTTACCGTTTGCTTCGGTGGAGAAGGGGGAGGGAACGCTAGGGTCTGCATGCACCTCCGTGTAGGCTTGCATGCTATCGGCACCTCGACCTTCGTAATTGGCATGGTCGGCCACCGATACACTTCGAATAATTCGTTTAAAAATGTGCGCATTTTGGTCAGGACAACGTTGAACTTCGATAAAAGCAATAATTTGAAAAACATGAATTTGCTAGAATGGGGGATTACTGTACATAATGTTTTTCGTGCACTATTTGACACTTAAAGGAGTTATGTGAGGATCTTTAAAAAAAATATCAACTCACCGTTCCTTCATGCATTGACAATCTCTTGACATGCAGGATAAATTTATTTTCTCAGAATTCTGGTTTTGTACATAATCATATGTTCACAGTATTTTTCTATTCTGGTTTGGCTTGCTTTGCGCTTTCCAACAAAGGATGCACGCTCAGCTTGTTTCGTGTTGTTCATTTCTTCGTTGCATTTTCCCCACTATAATACCCACCATATGTGCTGTTGGGTTCCCATAATCTGAACAAGAGAAATAAGTTTGTAATCTGTAAAATAAAGTGCTAAAAAAAATGCTGTTTTCCGTCTTTTTTTTTTTTGTGGTAAAATGCAAGCTGCTTAGTCCATTAAGGTATAGTACCTACACATCACTCGGAATGCGTAACGCAGACTTGCCTGACAGTCGAAGTGCAATCCGTAAACTAAACAGGGAAAGTGTCCAGGATCTTCTCTGGAGTTTCAGGTTAATTAGTTTAGCATGTTTCTAATAGCAACTGTTGCTTTTGTTGAGTGAATAGATTGATTCATCAGTTTACATCTTTTTCAGTTGATCATCGGTCAGGAAAAAAATGCTGATCTTGATGTGGGCCTCTACCTGCAGCATTGTTCTAGTTCTAACTTCGGACAGACTTCTATTTATTTGGTCTACTGACTTCAGGTGTGATACTGAAGGGATCTTTATGGGTATTAGATCCAGCATGAGTATTTGGAAGACAAAAATTTGGCAGAGACACTTCAGACTGCATGTAGGAAGGCAAAAGCATTCCTACATGTACATTTCTACAAGCAGCGCACCACATCTTCCTTTTTCACACGGCGCTCTGACGGTGACATCACGCTACCCCACTGCGCAGGCGCGGCAACCCATGCCGGCTTCACGACAGCTTTCGTGACGAAGCATCCGCGTTGCTGTGCTTTTCTTTGTATTTTATTTCTGAGGCATGTCCGCTTTGACCTTGAGTGCCCCCGCAGGCTTCCGTGATGAAGTATCTGCATTGCTGTGCTTTTCTGATGCGCGTGCTTTCGGGCACAACGCTGCCACTTTTTCGCGTAATGAGACAAGCAAGGCTTTCGGCTTAGTATTAAATCTGATTATTATTGTGTGGGAATTGCTTTGTGTACCATGATTTCAGGAGATGCCAGCACTCCGGGCATGGAAGCCAAGTCCAAGATGGACTCCTCTCAGGGAAAAGGGGAACCAAGCATCAACGAACTTCTGGGTTCCATAGATGACACTGACTTTGACCTCGGAGTTCCGTGAGTGGATTTTTCAGGCTGAATGCAACACTCTGACTTTGTGCAGTGGCTTTAGAAAAATAAAGTTGGTGCTCTCATTTTGAAATAGATGAGAGCTTCTTTTGGGTTGTGGAGAAGCTGTGGCCAGCTTCCCTCAATTCCTAATGAAAAGAAATATCCGGTTTTGTTGGAATCTTACACGAAAAATTTGTGATGGAAGATCGGCATTTCTGGCACCTCCGTATACCCAGCACTCACAAAGCATGCTGGTACTCTGTTTTACCATTTTGAGTTGTTAACTAAAACTAGTATTGATGTTTTTGTTATTTTGTGAGGTAGTAGTCAAAAAGACAATTCAGTGCATTTTGGCTCCTGGCCTCATCACAAATCTTTTTGAAGAAGGAATGCCACTATCTCCTGAGCTTTTTTCAACAGGAATTGCTACAAATTTAAACTGACCAAATTTGACATTTTGAGCGGCTCCCGTGGGTCTATAGTGTTGTTAAAAAGGTGTTTAGTCCTGCAAACTAGTTCATTTCATGAGTAACAAGAGGAAGGGGAGGGATTTTCAGGCTGTCTAACCAGTCAATTTTTTTCCAGTTTTGTTTAGGTTTAAGCCGAGTGATAGTAGTACTTCTTTGTCACTCGAACTTGGCTCCAGTTTGTGTGAACGTGAGCCACCAGTTACGGTTTGCCCGATAAAACGCACTAACATCTTTTGTTATATAGAGACTTTTAGAAAGTTGTATAGATAATTTATTATGGCCTAATCATTTGTAGAAAACTATGTTTGCAGTTTGATTCCAGGTTGATCCCAGTTGTATTCCAGTTTCATTCCAGTTCAGAGCCATTTGAGTGGTTTTGCCTCCAGTTTAGTGCCGACCAAATGCAACGAATCCATTCCGGTTTTCGGTAATGGGACTGGGTTGCACACCTCCGATTCTCGACTGACTTTCAAGCCAGCTAGGCGTCTCAAGGCCAGAAAACTGAGGATCTCGGGGCCAAAAATAAAGAGAGAAAGTGCAACGCAAGAATGAGCAACGACGCCCGGTTTGCAGGCCCAGCCTCGGGAGGCATCCGAGCAGCGTCGGAGGCTCTCGGGGAACGGCCACGGAGAGCGCGGGCCTCAACGACTTTGCCAAGTACGCCCTGGGTCAGATCTGCAGCCAGCAGTGGATCCACGAGCGCTGCCTCAGGGACCCCGACGTGCTCTGCTCTTCGGACCTCCTCCTCGACCCCATGCTGTCCCACAAGCAGGTCGGTTCCATTAGCATGGAGCGTGCTGTGTGGCTGTAGTCACTGACAGGGGGAGAACGACGGGGAGGAGCACAGTCATGGCGCAATGGAAGGCGTGGGGCACGTGCTAGAGTCCGGGCATTCGAAAGATGCCCCTTCGTCATTCTCACTCTCTGGCGGCGTCCATGTCCCGGCCACTTTCTTTTAGTTGACGTAGTCACCCGCCACGCTTGTGTGTTTCTCCAACGCCAAAGTTGATGCCAATAACTAATCGTGTGCATGTAAACTAAAGCGGAAAGTGGGTGAAGCTATTCATTAACAAGGTGGAATGTGACCTGGAAGTGAAAAGGCGTTTTGTGAAACCGCCCTGTGTACGGGGTAAACTCGTTCTAAGAGCATCCAAGGTCCGGTGGTAGTGATGAAGATTTTGGTCAGTAGTAAAAGGAATGTGCAGAATACAGACACTGTTACTGCAGGCTTTGAGGCCGTTTATTACTGGTGTTTGTTCTAACCAGTGAGACTGACGGAACAAGAACGGATATGAGAGAAAACGACTGGTTGATTGAATTTGTGAACTTTGAAAGAAGGCAGTGATTTCTTATTGAGCCGTACCGGTGACCGTCATCCCTGCGCGCTTTGGGTCATAGGAAGCGTGATGAGAGCGGTTTGCAAAATGTATGCCACTGCTACCGAACTAAAGCCACGCAATGTCTGAAATAACGACTGCTGTCGAAGAGCCTGCTATGATGGAATGGTGAACTACTTGCAAACTTCCTAACACAGTGATGTGATTGCTGCGCCAATTGCCAATAGCAGAGTTAGCCAAGGGGCTAACTCTGCTACATCCTGCTACATTTTGCCAAAATGCGGGTAATTTGCGCCAAGCCGGTGCCGAAGGACCAATTTTGGTCGCCTTTTGATATCGAAACTAAACTGAGTACCATAATTGAGCATGCGTGAGCTAGGTGGCACAAGTGGCCGCCCGACACAAAGTATACTGCATCAATGGTCCATTCGGTCTTGCATGGTTTTTACGTCTGTCTCTCGTTTCGCGCTCTCGTCGTCTCGTAAGTGTCGTCTCGCATCTCTTTAAAATTTTTTCAACGATAGACGCGGGCGTGTGTGGATGCTCCGACGGTAGTGTACCGGATACCAGGCCAGCCATGCCGTCATATTGTGAAACGAAACTGCATTTTTGCGCAGCGGAATTTACTTTGTTAGCTGAAGCACTCGCTCCTGAAAGCAACGGCCATGGGAAAATCATATTTGGTCTCTGCCTGCCAGTCACCGTGGTCACGCAACATCTGGTGTTGCCGTCCCCACGTCGCTTCGGATGTGGCGCTTTCTAAACTGAAATGTAAGAACTGCCGCAAATTCATCAACATTACTCTTTTTTTTTAAATCATACACTACTACAAGAATCCCTCTTTAACTCAGTTTGCCGTGTCGAAGTGTTGATTACCTAGGTTTCTCTTGGTAGGCTTTCTTTCGAGAGGGACCCCGGTACGGGAAAAATCTCCCGCGGAAGAAATTTGGTGAAGAGAAGTGAGCTAAAACAAAGAAGGCAATGTATGCACGCTGAACCCGCACAGCGCGCTTCTTTGTTTTGAGTTCAGTCGTTGCACAAAGCGCTCCGAGATCTTTTTGACCCTGGCTCACGATGCTTGCATCGATGCGCTCAGGTTCTGTTTTTTGTGTGTGTTTAGTATGTACCCTGTTTGCCTACCTGGCAAGCACGTGCCCCTGGACTTTTTGTGGTATGCTGGACAGTTACATTTTGCATAGTTTTGGGAACCACTTGGCAATGAAGCGGAGTGGCATGGTTTTGGTCAAACAGTCATTTCCGCTCGCTCAACGAAGCACGTGCAACTGCAAGCCTGCTGAAGTTGCCCTCATGTGCATGCGAACATGATTGCATGACACATGCACCAGCCGGGACGCTTGCAATCCATTGTTTTACTGGCACGTCGGAAACCAGTAAAACTGGTTCCCGACGTGCAAGCGGTTTTTCGGAATCGCTCGGCAACGCCTACAGCAGTGATGTGATTGCTGCGCCAATTGCGCCAAACTGCGCCAAGGGGCTAACCCTGCTACATCCTGCTACATTTTGCCAAAATATGGGTAATCTGCGCCAAGCCTGCGCCAAAGGACCAATTTTGGTCGCCTTTGAAAACCGAAACTAAACTGAGTACCGTAATTGAGCACACATGAGCTAGGTGGTACAAGCAGCCATCCGACACAAAGTACCCTGCATCAATCGTTCATCCGGTCTTGCGTGATTTTTCCCGCCGTCTCTCGTCTCGCGTCTTTTTAAAAAAAAAAATTCAATGATAGACGTGGGCGTGTGCGGACGCTCCGACGCTAGCGTGCTGGATACCAGCCATGCCGTCATGCTGTGAAACGAAACCATGCTTTTGCGCGGCGGGGGTTACTTTATGGGCTGAAACACTCGCTCCTGAAAGCAACGGCCGTGGCCAAACTATATTTGGTCCCTGCCTGCCAGTCACCATGTTTGTGCGACGTCATATGTTGCCGTCCCCACGTCACTGCAGTTATGGCACTTTCCAAACTGAAACGTAAGGACTGCTGCATGTTAATCAACAATCCTGTTCTTGTTTAATACGCCACTACAAGCATCCCTTTAGCTCAAAGACTGCTGTGTCGAAGTATTGATTGCCTAGGTTTCTCTCAGTAGGCTTTCTTTCGAGACGTACCCCGGTACGTGAAAAATCAGCCGCGAAAGATCTTGGTGAAGAAAAGTGAGATAAAGCAAAGAAGGCTGAACCCGCACAGCATGCTTATTTGTCTCGACTTCAGTTGTTGCACAAAGCGCTCCAAGAACTTTTTGACCCTGACTCGCGAAGTCTTGCATCAATGCGCTCAGGTTCTTTTTTTTTCTGTGTTTAGCTTGGGAATGGAATTGCCCGGAGCGCTCGTAGCGCCCCCGCCAGCCACTGCCTCGGCCACCCGCTCCCAGTGGGTCTTTCATATCGCCGAGACTGTACCTCGCCTGCCGGACTAACAACCAAGTGCCGCTGGACTGTTTTTTTTTTTTTTTTTTTTTTTTTGTCGTATGTTGAACAGTTATATTTTGCATACAATTTTGGGAATTAATTGGAGACGCAGCGGAGTGGCACGGGTTTCGATCGAACAGCCATCTCCGCTCGCGCGACAATTTCGCAATGCACGGCAGTAGTTAGGTGTTTCATCAGTTAGAGACTGCTTCCATTTATTATATTACTAGTCAACCTAATGATGTGATAAAAGAGAGTTTTGGTAGATCGTGTTTTCGGGTCACGCTATTTGTAGCGGGAGCTCGCGCTACCCTTCGATGCATGCTCTGAAGCGCGCGCCTGTTGCTGTAGCGGGCCTTTGAAAACGATCTACTAAAACTCTCTATTTACTACTAAGCTGGTCATTTTCAAATAAATTTTAATATGTGCAGTTTCGTCCGATATATTCGTATCATTTAACTGAAGCATTGCAAAATGTGTTATCTCATTTGCATTTCAGTTACATGTTGAAAGACTCCCAGGTGGTCTATCTTGACAATAATTGGTTGATTGCGGCGAGCAATGTGTCCTTCCTTTGTCCACCACCTAAAATTAATATCTTTTTTTTTCTTTAAAAAAATACATGTTCCAAGAGCCACTTTCGCTGCTCCGAAGCACTGTTTTAGCTGCTCCAAAAGCCAGTTTTGCTGCTCCAAAACTGTGTTTTGGCTGCTCCAGAAGGTGCTCCGAAACGGCTTAGGCCAATCACATCACTGCTACAGCATGTACACTTATGGGATGTCTCAATGTCTCTTTGGAGACATTAAAAGTTGACATTAAAAGTTGACATGCCCTGTGTTTGTCCAGCATTTAAAACAAATATTTTTATTTTTTAAAGAATATCTGCTCCTAAAGCCACTTTTGCTGCTCCGAAACACTGTTTTGGCTGCTCCAAAAGACACTTTTGCTGTTTCAAAACACTGTTTTGGCTGCTCCAAAAGGTGCTCAAAAACGGCTTAGGCCAATCACATCACTGCTAACATTATCCGTCATGTCCGAATGTACATCATCACAAAATCTGTAATGAGCAAAGTTGGCTCAGTGGCCTAGATGGGAAAACCAACCAAACTTTACAAATTGGTCTGTTATAACCGAACGTCTGCTGCAACCACATCTGTTGTGACAGGGCTGTACCATGTTGGCGCAGGCCGAGACGCTGCTGCAGATGATATGCCACCCTAAGGGCAACGGGCGTCCCTCCCTGAGCGTGTGTGGGGACGGCTTCTCAGGCAGCTCGGAAGAGTCGTGCAACCAGAAGCAGGTGGTGACCCAGATCCTGCTGGGCTTGGACCAGTGGAGCCTGCGGGTGTCCTGGCTGGAGCTGCAGCTCATGTACAAGCAGTGCGCCTCCCCGCCCGAGGTCAGCGCCTGGCTGGAGAACGTAGCCAAGGCCACCATTGATGCCTTCCAACTCACCAGCGAGGACTCTCGCTCGCCCGGGGGGGCGGGGGACCCTTCTGCGGCGCTCTTCGGCAGGTCCGGTGGCAACGGCTCTGGGAGGTGAGGTCCTGGTCGGAGATCAGTTTGCGTCGCTTTGCTTACTAGTACGCAGGAACATTTTTCTTTTCCGATGTGACGGCACTTCGGAGCGAACCGTAGGCACTTCTGCGTCGAAGGTTTGGTTTGTAACCAACAAAGCAGGTGGCATGCCTTTGTTATATACCTACTTTGATTATGCTTACGTGGCATAATGTATCCAACGATTGTGATATGGTACATTAGATGCTGAATGGCAAATGCAGTTACCGAGTGTCTAAATATGTTTATGTCCCTATAGAAAGAGGGACATTTCGATTGCAGTTAACGCTACAACAAAAGCTGTTCGTTGGTTGTGGGAGGCCCGTCCATGGGAAGTAGGTAGTGGAGTTATGTAAATTGTGAGGAAATTATGTAAGTTACTTTTTAATGTGATAGCTAACTTCAATGGGTTGTCACCGAAAATATTTTGAGAATATCTGCGGGAGTTCCAAAAAAACGTTTATCCAGTACGAGACAGTGCGAGATGCCATCGCATTTCAGCAGCAATCTGCACAGCAATATCGGTAACAATTTTTACAGCGGAACTGTTAAGGGCTAGTTTCCCCAGCTTCATGTCCGGTACCAAACAAATGTCGACACAAAACTGCACGAAACTCTGGACAGCGACCAGACAAGCAATCTGGTCGCTGCTGTTGCTCATAGATGGCGCCAACCTTTCCAACCTTTCCGTCAAGGTGCGCAATGGTCCGGTGGTGGCCGTCGTCTATGTCCCCCTTGCGACACCCAAGGGAGACATTGAAGCATTCGTGATGGACGTCTTCGGCTAGGTCATGCTTGGCGACGACACGTCTGCCGTAGTGACGGGTGACTTTAATGTTGACATTGCATGCCAGGAGGGAAAGTGGTTCACTTCATTTATTCTCAAGCGCTTCGGGCTTGCGTGTGTGAACAAACCTACGGTGCCCACGACCTTGCATCGGACGTGTATAGACCTCGTCTTCACGAAGAACGTGCCTGCTGTAGGGATACACCCTATGGTGGTGTACCACAGCGATCAGAAGGCCATGGTCACTATGGTTACGAAATAAATTACAACCCCGGATCGTTATATAGTATATGTCTGATTCTTTAATTGTTCAAATAAGCAATTACCCAATCACACTTCAATCCTTGCACTTATAAATACTTAATCCCCACCATAGTACAGCTTCGCTGGTCTTCACCAGAGTGGAAAGGCTGACAGTTTTCTTTTGTCCTATTTTGGTCTATATTAGGATTATTATGTTGGACTTATTACAGTGAAGCTGTTATGCGCTAGGATCTGGGAAAATGCATCCGCGGATGTTGACAGAAGACTCTCCATTGGTCGTGACAAGTGTGAATAAATAAAAATTAAAAGGGGGGCAACCAGCATGAGTTAGCCTTCCTTGGCATTATTAGATAGGTCCTGATCCTTTTTTATCATCTCTAGGCATCGTCCTTGAGGTCGTCCTAGAAGTCTTCCTTGAGGTCGTCCTAGGTGTCGTCTTCGAGGTTGTCCCAGAAGTCGTCCTTGAGCTCGTCTTAGATGTCGTCCTCGAGGTCATCCTAGAAGTCGTCTTTGAGGTCGTCTTGGAGGTTGTCAGAGAGGTCATCCTAGAAGTCATCCTTGAGGTCGTCCTAGAAGTCATCCTCGAGGCCATCCTAGAAGTTGTTTTCAAGGTTGTCCTAGAAGTCGTCCTTGAGGTCATCCGAGAGGTCGTCTTAGGTGTCGTCCCCTAGGTCGCCCTAGAAGTCGTCTTTAAGGTCATCCTAGATGTCGTCCTCTAAGCATGGTCTTTGAGGTCTTCCCAGAAGTCTCCCTTGAGGTAGTCTTAGACGTCGTCCCCTAGGCGTCGTCTTCGAGGTCGTTTTAGAAGTCATCCTTGAGGTCGTCCGAGAGGTTGTCTTCGAGGTCGTCCGAGAAGTCATCCTTAAGATTGTCCTCGAGGTCGTCCTAGAAGTTGTCCTTGAGGTCGTCCTACACATTGTCTTCGAGGTTGTCCCAGAAGTCGTCTTTGAGGTCGTCCTAGATGTCGTCCTCTAGGCATCGTACAAGAAGTCGTCCTAGACATTGTCCTTGAGGCATCATCCTAGACGTCGTAAAGATAACAGATTCGCTGGTCCTCCATCTTCACGTGAACTGGAAGGGCTCTACATTTTTTTCACTCAGTGAAGCGGTCCGCAGGGTTGCAGTATCGCACAGTGTGTCAGTATTTCAAGACGAGAAGTGCATTTAAGAAATTAAAAGTTAACTTTTAAAGCGTTTGCGACCATCCTGCCAAAAATATGAAGCTTGGAATGAGTACACTTTGTTTATGAAGATTTCGTATCGGGAACAGTTGAAGTGTTAAGTTATCACGTTGAGATTCTTTTAAATGTTTCATTCGAAGCACTGTCACTTTGTTACGTATTTATAAACATTTTTGCGGCAACACCCACAAACATAATATTCTACATTTACTTAAGGATCTTATGTTCTGTGGTATACTTTCTGTGTGTATCGGAATGTTTCTTTGACAAGTCCTAGCTACACTTCAAGGCCCGTTCACACTCTTGCGACTGCTTGCGACCTCTTAAACCTGGGTTCCTTAAAATTTCTTAAACCAGAGAACACACTGGCGCCATCTATTGGGAAGCAGTGTAAACTCGGCGGTCCGGCATATTTTTTTTTATTTCTCGCGCAATATCCTTTCTTTTTTGGCTCGAAAAACTTTTGTCAATGTTATAAACGAGCCTTGCTATGGGTACTACGCACATTTGACCTCGGAAATCCCGCAAAACCTTCGCTTTTGTGAAATGCAGTTCTAGGGTCACCGCATAGATGGCGCCACAATGTCAGTGTGTTCCCTCATTCTAGAAACATTTAAGAAGTTGTAAGAAATCTCGTCTCTCTCAGTCGTACTCGGTCGCAAGAGTGTGAACGGGCCTTCAGAATAATGTCGTGCCACTGCTTGCCTGCATGACTTAAAATGCAGCTATATACTTTTTGGTGTCTAAAAAAATATGAGACAACTCATTGTTTAGTATTTGCTAGGAATCTTGCGGTTCCTCAACTGAAAACAGTTCTAAAAAGGTCAACTGGGGTAGCTATTGAAACATTGAAATGTTAACTCAAACAGCTATTGAAACGTATCAACCAACCAGTTGTTTCTCTGTCTGCTCGTAAAAATGAACAAAACTTAGAGGTTCTATAACAGTGATTTCAATTAATTTTATTGCAGATTAGTGTTCGAACATTGGACGACCATGCCTAACCAACATGGAGCAAGCACTTGTACAACAGATAACCAGTATGTCACCATAAGTTAACAAACCTGAAAATGAAAGTATTAGAATTAAATGCTAAGTCAAGTTTTTTTCCGATTTTTCAAGTTCGCTCACTAAGCTTGCCTTCCTTCCTATGGGTGTATAAATAATTTTGTCTGATATGATTTGTAATGCATTTTGCATATATTAAATATTTATATTTTTTTTATTTCCTGAGCATTCCTCTTTCGGTTTCAAATACATTTCTGCTGAATATGGAACTAGCCATAATGCTACTAGTGGAACCAGCTTGCTGTTGCTGCTTCCAGTACCATAACTTCCAAATTTGCTTTGGTAGTAACTGCTCAAGCACCACTCTGAATTAAAGATTTGTCAGTCTTTGAGGGCAATGCTGGTGATGGCATTTGGGTGATGTCAATATCTCATGTATTTCTAGCTATTCACATCGCCAAATGGGAGCTCTATTTTCAACTTGGTGTTGGTCTGTTCTCTAAAACAAAAATCTGCCTCAGTTGGTGTCCTTTGTGGCTTGTACTTTTCTAAACATGGTGCCTCAGAAAATGCAGCATTCGTTTCAAACCCATTTCGTGATTATATAGTGCTAAATGTCATTTTGAAGAGGAGTTTTAGAGCGCAGCTCTAAAACTCCTCTTTAGTGGTGTCGCCGTCGGTGTAACCGCGCGTTGCATTATGGGACGTTTCCCATATAGACGTCACATGTGACATCACAAAGGTCACTCGTGAAGGTCACGACCTTCACAAGGCCTTCATGAGTGACGTCACGAGGGAGGAAAAGGAGGGGAGGGGAGGAGGAGGAGAGGACGAGGGGCCTACCCTACCCTCCTCCCCGTCAAGAGCTGCTCTCTAATTCGGCATTACAGGGAATTGTAAGTCTAATTTTTTAGTGCATTTTTAAAGCATTATGCAGAGGGGGTCTCTAAATACTTGACACTTAATTTGTGCAAAGACCTGATTTTCACAAGGACATAATTTTTGCAACATCTGCATATTAAAAAAATATTGTAAAAGATTGATCATGCGAATGTGTCACTCCTTGGTAACAAATACACAGCGTATTTATTGCTCAAAATCACTAAATATTGCGCCCGCAAAATATTTAGATATTTTGCGGGCAGTGGAACTTCGCAAAATTTGTGCAATATTGAGCCCGCATGAATATGTTTTCCACCGTCTTTTTGTTGGCCGTTTTCTACTGCGCAAGATCTATTTAAAGTCATACCAGCACAAAGATAGAAAAATAGTAGACACTTAAATTGTGCTTTTGTAAGAGCTCCAAAAGGACTAACGGTATGTATAAGTAATGATAAATTTGTCTTCTGGTGCTCACCTTGTGCATTGCAGGCAGGAGACTGACCGCATCTGGTTTGTGGCGCCGCTGATTGCCAAGCTCCCGGCTGCAGTCCAGGGCAAAGTCCTTCGTGCCGCGGGGCAGGTGCTTGAGAGCGGCAGCTGGGCGTCCATCACGTCCTCCTCCTCGTCCAAGAGCAAGGACAAGGACAAGCACGTGCACAAGAGGCAAGACCCTGTTCAGTTCTCTATTCGTCTCGGGTTCTCAAGTTTTTCCTCTCTATAAAGCGTCATGTTTCGAGAGGTGCAACGTTTCAGTAGGTTGCTGCAATTGCTTTTGCTGCAGAGCGAGCCGTAATATCAATGAAAGTAGGATGTTTCTGGCATTCTGGTATATTGTGTTCAGATTGAGCACCAACCACTAAGCAGGGATGACCTGTGAATAAAGGTGTGTGTGGGATTCTTTGGTATTTGGCCTTGTAAGGCAAACACTCTGACGGTCGTTGCTCTACATGTACGGTGGCAATGATACATTTGAGAGCTCTCACCTAAACACAAGACAGCGCTCTCCGTGGGATTTGCTGCTATTTTTTAATTTTTTTGGCACACTATGAACTCTGTATTACCCGCAGGGGTCAGCTGTGAAAGCAGGTGTTTGTTGAGTGGTATCACCACGGACCCTGAGCCATGTGGGTTCGCCCATCCACATCTGGCTGTGCGTGGCTTTCCCGCGTTAGGGGTACAGGCAATCTTGGTGGTTGAGCCGAACTCGAGGTCCCCTGGGTGGGGCAACACAGTCGAACCCGAAGATATTGCATTCAAAGGGGATCGTAAAATGGTTTGATATATCAATAATTTGATATACAAAAATACAGTCTAAGCTCGTTATAACTGACCTTGATTTTGACCAAGATTTTGGTCTGTTGTAGGAGGAGTATGTTGTATGCAGCTGTGAAGTTGAGTCAATGGTGCATAGAGAAAAACCAACCGAACCTCACATATCTGTATGTTATATTCAAATGTCTGTTGTAACCAGGTCTGTTATAATGAGCTTAGACTGTAAGTTAAATTAAGCTCCAGTTGAAATTTCCTGGCATCTCTGCTAAAATTGAAGGTCATGACAAACGGGAGCTTACCAAATGGGGCATCCAAAAGCAGCTAAATACAGTAGAGCGTAGTTGGCGGAGACTGCAAACACCGCCGTGCTGACACGCATGCCTGGCCGGGACCTCCACAGGACATAAACGACAAAACAGGACAATAATAATAAAAAAAAAAAATGAAAGAAAAATGGAAAAGCGAGACGCAGAAAAAAAATCTCTTGATCCGTAGAATGCTCACTAAATGAAAAAAAAAAAAAAAGTGAAAAGCAATAACAGCAAAAGAAAAAGGTAAACAGAGATAAAAGAAAGCTAATTAAATTCAGGCAACAAAAAAGAAAGGAAAAAGAAAAAGCAAATTGGCGTTTCTTTATACTACTTCGTTTCAGCATAAGTCCAGACAACGGGACCAATCTTGCAGCGTTAAAAACGCAAGTCACTTTGCTTTTTCTGTTTATGATTGGTTGAGCGCTGATAAAACATTTACAGAAACATGATGAACACCATGATGGCGTGCTTTTGATGCTGTCTGATGGGTCCCATCATCATATATTACAATAATAAAGTGGGAAGAACATTGCTTATCAGATGCAAATAAAAGTTGAGCCATTTCGAGTATTGATTGTTGGTGTCTATTCGCAATTCTTTTCGGACAATAAAAGCCGTTTTATGTGTCTGCATGAGACAATTCATTGACATCCATCCATATTTTGGAAATAGATAAACACAGGAAAACATCTGTCAATTTGTGACATAAATAAACACCAGAAAGTAAATGGCCAAGTTATAATGCAAGATTGAATATAGATCAAATAATATATATTGAAAACAATATCAATATACTGTAAACAGCTTAATCTTTGCTAGGTCCTAAATTTCGCAACTTTTATAATATTGGGAAAAATGACTTTGCGAATGCCTTTCCCTGGGATGACAAATACCTCCCAGGGCATACCACCTTCAATTGCGGAATTTTGTGCCTGCAAAATGCTCTCGAAAACCACACTTTGCCGGATTTGCGAAATATCGAGCCCAGGAAAATAAAGTTGTTTACAGTAAATATATTATGCATAACATAAGATACAAAAAAAAAACTGTGCATTGATTTTTTTTTTCTACTAGTACGTTGAAAACAAAACCCAACAACTAAAACATATTAAAAGAATAAAGTACTGCAGAGGGGTTAAGAGTTGAGAAAAGACACTCATCTCTCTTTTTGTTGTCGGGGGGGTAACCTGGCTGAACATCAAATGCCCGATTCAAAGTGAATGGAACCTGGAAATTAATTCTCAAAGGCGCAATAAGGAATAAGGTAACAATACCAAAGAAATTTATACATGGAGCTTCTAACAAGGCAGGCACTAGGGCTGAGGTTGAGTGCACCAGATCCAAGCTGAGGATGTTTTCTTTCTTTTTGCATTAGTAATTGTTAGTTGCTGTTGTTTGCTTGTGTGTTTTTGTTTCTTCTCTGCAGAGGGGATGCTTGCAAGATAGAAATAAATTAGTGAAAAGTAGCTATGTGGAGCCCCGGGAAGAATCCAGCAGCCTTATTGAAGCAGGCATAGCTGCTCTTGTCTGTTTCTAGTCTCATTTTTGTAGTGACTCGGTTGTGGTGACTGTGTTCAATATGGATAACTCGAATGTTGTAATGCACTTTTTTTTATGAACTTTGTATTCTGGTGCCTTGGGGCTTTTCAGTGCTTCGTTGCTGAGCCACCAGCCATTCCTGTCATTGGTGCTCATGTGCCTCAAAGGCCAAGATGAGCAGAGGGAAGGCCTGCTGAACTCTCTGTATTCTCAGCTCAACCAGTGTCTGCACTTGGCTAAGGATGTAAGCCTTAATCGTTTATACACCTTTTTCATCAAAGTGCAATTTTAAAACTAGTCACACTTGTTATGTTTTGCTATGTACAACATTTGCCTTGCATCACCTGAAAAACAATTAGAACTAGGCAGTTTTATCTGTAAATTGCTCCAATGGCTATACAGCCAACTATTGTCAAAAGAGTCTTTGAACTGTTTGTTCCGAAAGAGTACATACAAGCATAATGTACCTGGATATTTCCATGCCAGATCGTACAATGATGGTCTGGGTCCTATTTATTTATATTTATGTAAAACATATACTGTCGCCGACCGTTTTTTCGAATTTCGGACCTGAAGGAGGAGCCGTGACTTACCCCATAGAAATGGTGCATATTCACAACCAATGTTTCGGACAACTTGAGGTCCGAAAGTTTGATTATTCGGACAAAATCGTCGGGAGTGATCAGCAAGAAACACCACCGAGAAGCGGGCATTTTGAATTCTACGTTGGCTGCAAATGGATTGGCTCGGTTTGGCAGCGCTACTTGAGTATTGCTAAGTCCTACCGGTAGGTGATGCTATGCTAGCCCTTTTTTTTTTTCATTTAGCTGCACGTCATCATCATCATCATTATTATCATTTTGCTTTGTTTCCTTCCATCCCTTCGCGCCTCTGCCCCACTTTCGCGCCGCCAGTCGCCATTTTGCGCTCATGGATTTGCGCCTCTCATCTCGTTCGGACAACACTGGCTTGGACGTCATGGCCCCATCTGTTCTTCTGTCGCCGCGATGTGTCGTTAAGAAGCGCAGAAAGTACTCGACCATAATGCTAGAAAAGAAGGCAGCGATTCTCCAGCTACCAAAAAGTTGCCACACGCAAACGGAGGCGTAACCTAAAACAAGGCACGCAGGAGTAACCTGAAGCAAGACACTATTTACGCTTTTTTTAAGCCCACTTGGAAGTAGTAAAGGCAGGTTTTTTAATCTGCTGATTTTTCGGACTGCTCTATTATTCGGACGTTTTTTTGGTCCCTGCGAAGTCCGAATAATTGGTCAGTGACTGTATGCAAATGTCGCAGCTAATTTTCTTCCAAAGATATATAATTTTGAACTTTGAGGCATGGAGATTGATTGCCAAAGTTGCACTATGCTACTTTACACAGCCATCAATTTCACACCATCAATTTCACACTGAACATTTATTCGATGAAATCTTTACAACATGTACACTGAACATTAAAAATTACAAGAAAGGGTTTCTATGCAAAAGAAAGTTATAAAACATGTCAAATAAACACATTTTGGAGACATATTTATAAATTATTTATTGACAAGCTACTTTATATGAAACGACGCAAAACATATAAAAATTATAATTTTAAATGCATTTTGTGAATATATAAGAAAACTGCTTAGACATTATTTTAGTTTCATTGTTATTGCAGAAATGAAGCCAATTTCTCGAAAGGTGGCAAAATTGCACGTCAATATCTAAAGAGACACTGACACTCCCTAAAATTTTTTAAAACTTTTTGCTAGGTGATTTAGTGGGGTGTCAGAAGATACCCAGTTAGTATTTGTACTACAGAGCCACGTATATTTTTAATAAAGCCAAGAAACGCAACTGCTCAAAACCGAATTTGAAACCTGCGCACGAAGGTCGGAGAAACATGAGGAGGAGAGAATGGTGGAAACCACGTAGGTACACCTGACGTTTTTTTTTTCCTTTTCCCCTCTTTTTCTTTTTTTTTTGTCGCATGCAGCAGACTACATTGCAGCTTTGCGGGTATTGTTTGCCGTGCGATTGCTTTGCAGTTAAGTTTGTTCCACTTGCTGTTCTGCACTTCAAGATGAGTTGTTTTGTACATTGAAGAGTTGGAAATGAGTAGTGAGTGCCTGTAGTAAATGCCCGTGATTGGCTCTGAAAAGAATGCCCCCAGGATGTTGCATGAAGAGCTGCTTCACAGATTTTGCATCCAAAAGTGGCATTGTGCAGCAGAGTCTGCACAAGTTTCTAAAATGTCAACGGGATTGGGACCAATGGCTGGCTGCGATTCCGGCAGAACAGTTATGGGCACGTCGGAAAGCGGACGCGGCACTATTTATATGCACCTTGCATTTTGTGGAAAGTGACTACATTGAGTTTGCAGGTGTCAAAAAGGGAGTCCTGTACCATTTACAGGGTGATTCAAGGAGACGCCAGGCTCTTTAAAGCGACCGCAAAATTCAGTTTCTTAACCTATCACGCTACGACTTTGTGCAGCGTTGCCCACAGATGGTGCATTTTTTGTTGTAAAATTTGCAAAGAGCGAACTTACCTGAGGAAAAAGTAAAGAAAGAAAAAGGCTTAGCTCCTATGGAAATGCATCGAAGCCACCGATCTGCAAACAACACGGCGCCGTTTCGCTCGGGAGACGAGATGGCGCAAGTCTTTGTAAACAATTAAGGGGAGTTTAAAGAAAATAAAAGATAGGGTAGTTCAAATATTGACAAGCAATTTTGCCACATTTAAAGAAATTAGTTGCATTTCTGCATTAATAACAAATCTGTAATAGTGGCTAAATATGTTCAAAAATAAATTTTTGAATATATTTTTGAAAAATTCTTTTAAAGATGATCATTTTGATGCATTTTGCATTGTTTCATACAAAGTAGTTTATTGGTAAATAATTTGTGAATGTATTTCTAGAACGTGCTTATTTGACATGTTTCGTAAACTTTTTTTCATCAAAATATTTTATTGTAAGTGTTAATGTTCTATATACATGTTGTAAACACCTAATAAAATAAATTTTAAAATATTATTACTACGTGCATGCTTCACTGTGAAATTGACGGCTGTGCTATGTACCATAGTGAAACCTTGGCAATCTCCATGCCTCGAGCTTCAATATTTTATATCTCCGGAAGAAATTTAGCTACGTTGTTCGCATATAGCTAAATCCTCCTCCCAAGAACATGATTTTCACTTATATTCTTTTATATAAACATGGGAAATATGACCTCGACCATCATTGTTCGATCTGACGTGGAAACGCTCACGTGTGATGTGGGTGGGAGGACCCTTATAGGAGGAAGGGCTGAAAGAAAGAGCAGGATGGTCAAACGTAATAAAACTAGAAACTAGCAAGGGTCTAGAAAGGACAGAGTCAACAAGTGCAAACATACCTTAAAAGGGAGAGGATTGCGGTAGACCCTGTCCTGGTCATTCTGCGCTTTCCCGTTGCTTCCCTCGTATCGAGTTTGCTGCATGTGCAAAGGCACTCGTGGAATGCATTCCCGACATTCCAGCGAGTGGTGCTTCATAACAGTTTTGGATGCGCCGAAAATCTTATGACCTTGCCCACTCTCAATAAATTCCGCTCCAAGGAAAAGCCCGTGGCAGAAGACCTGAAGGGGCGTCAGCTGCTGCACGAGGCCCTGCTGCTGAGGCTAAGCCTCGTCGGCGGAATGTTCGACATGATTCAGCGGAGCAACACCCTGACCACCGACTGGGCGCTGGTGCTGGTGCAGCTCATCAGCTACGGGGTCGTTGACCTACACTCCAACTTGTGAGCCCCGCCCTTTCTCTTTTCAGTTGTCCTTGCCTCGACTGTCATTGTCATTGCAGTCACGTCGGGGCCTCCGAGGCAAAGCGCTAGCCTACAAATCTCTGTTCGGCGGGCTTGAATTTCTGCTGAAGTGCCTGCAACCTGACGGAGCCTCATTGTGGCAAGGCGCAATGGAACAGATTTTGGTTACACGTCAAAAGATTTCCCTGCGGCCGAGGTTACGCCTCAGTTTTTTGGTGGGTCGTGCCAGAAGCCCTTCATTGGTTTGTCGTGTAAAACCCCTAAATTTTATCGTGGTCAGTGGGCAGTTATAGTCACACTTAAAGATTACGGTGATGTCAGCTTCAAGTTAACGAGAGATTACCGCAGGTAAAAAGCACTGTCCTTAAGAATGGTCCTTTTATTGTTGCATCTGCAATCACAGAAGTGGAAAACTTTTGCATATTTTTGAAGGATGATGGCAACCATGCTTTATCGGGTATTTTGTAGGTCAATAAACGCTGAAATTTTGTTTGCCAAGGGCAGTTCTTGTCAGTTTGTGGTAAAAAAGCTTTTCCAAAGGAACCACAACACTTCACTGTTGCAGTGAGCTGTTCTCCACTGTCCTGGACATGCTGGCAGTGCTCATCCACACCACTCAGAACTTGGACAGTCTGTCCGGAGAGGAGACCCGCAAGCAGTACCTTAACCTCGTGAAGAAGCTCAAGGTGTGCACCTTTTTTTTTTCCTGGCTGCTATGTGCTCCTCTGCAGCATGTAATGATAAGGCCAATGATTTACTTATGGACCAATCAGGATTTTCTCGTCGCACCGACACCAGCTTTTTTGCAACACGAGCTCCTTAAAGCTATTGCTTTAAAATTCATGGTTTCCTAGTTTTTGAACGAATGACAGTCTGCTGGACGTAGTGATGCACTCTCGCCTGCACTTTTGGTGGCATTGTGCACAATGTGAGAGGTACAGCATGAAAGTTGCACTTGCTGGATTCATACAATTTATGTGGTGGGACGGGTGATCTGAATTTTAGCGGCGGTAGCAACGTTTCCTGTCATCACTTACAGGAAAATTAAAACTGTAAAGGACATCAATTAAAGTATTGTGATGTCTGTGGTGGGGTTATTTTGCGTCTTTTATGCACCTGGCAACAGGTAACTGTCTAAAGTGTAATCACGTTACCATGCACAAGGACTGAGGATTCCAATCAAGCAGTTTTCTTAAGTTTTGGACTGTGCAGTGAAGTTTATCTTACACCCTTTTCGTGTGCTTTGCTTTTAGGGGCGAAGCTCCTTAGGGTCTAGCCTTGTCCGTCCGGCGTCCGTGCTCACATCGATTTTCATCCCATCTGTCTTCTTAAAAAAAGAAAAAACGTTTGCGCAGTCAACAGGATTCGAACCTCTGCAGGGAGACCCCAATGGATTTCTAGTCCATCGCCTTAACCCCTCGGCCACGACTGCGGGACGAGTAGGGGGCTCTGAGATGTGCTAGTAACTCAGGAGCTGGGGATGTCATGGATGAAACGTTGGATGTAGCCGCTCAACGTCTATTCATGAGAGAGCGCTGCGGTCAAATGCGTATATAGTCGCGTTAAACTTTGCATGCATTGGCTCAACGTTTAGAGACGAGAGGGCGCTGCGGTCAAATGCTCAACTGCGTATATAACCACGTTCCATACCACACCTTCTATTTTTGACATGCATGAAAACAAACGAAAAGCTCGGCATGGTGTGGCTCAGCGTATCAGCACCACCAGAGCTTCGCCCCAATCAACGTCATTTACCTTGTGGAGATGCAATCTTTTTTTTTGGGGGGGGGGGGGGGGGGGGGGGGGGGGGGGAATGTATTATCTCTTGGAATATTACTGTGGTACAGTGGTTGAATGAATCGTTGCACTGTGGCGATAAGTTGGACCGAAGTGTCCAAGTAAGCTTGGCTCTCTGTCGTTTCTGTGTGCCGCAGAAAGAAGTGTCAGACCTGGACACGGACGCCATCAAGATGGTGCACCAGCTTCTGCCTTTGGTGAAGCAGCAGTGTGAAGTGATCACCTGCGAACCCATGGGCAGCCTGATTGACACCAAGGGCAACAAGATTGCAGGCTTTGATTCCATTGACAAGAAACAGGTGAGAGGTGTTCTTGTTTTGTCTGTATTGGGAGGGATGGCTCTTCTTGTATCCATAAACTGTAATGGTTTTACTGAGAACAAAGAGTATCATATGCTCATACTTCATTCATTACACTTTTAACAATTTAATTACAAAAAGCTACTGTCTTAACAGAGAAACCACAATATTTTTGGTAAGACCTAATGGTAATAAGTGCTAGTTCACTCATCAAAAACTACTCATATACTAATGGACACACTATGCAGAAACCTGAAGCTTGTTATAGCTGGGTTTGGCCAAAACACATGCAGGTTGGTGTTCTGTCTGCCTACGAGTGGAAGTTAGAAGATTTTTGAATTAAAGCGAAGGCCACCAGGATTGATTGATTGCACTCTTGTCCCCTGGACCCTTACTTTACTTCCCTGCCCCTCTTTAACGCAGAATATGTTACAGGGCTGGATTTCTCCAAAAAAGTGGCGCATTCCACTCGACCAACACACAGGCTAAGGTCATGTAAGCAATATAGTGCCATAGGGTCTAGAATAATTTTATGACTTCAATGTCAGGGCGTCCCGCAATGTCAGTGTGTCACGAAATGCCAATGGGTCACGTGACATCCTGATGTCACGAGATGCCACACATACATGCAGGATCTGTTCAGCTCGTTGGCAATGCGTTGCGTGCCTCTCGTAGCTTGTTGGGTACGATCGAGACGTGCCTGACTCTCCGCAGGGCCTGCAAGTGTCGGAGAAGCAGTGCGTGAGCCCTTGGGACCTGCTGGAGGGCCACCGCAACCCCGCGCCCCTCTCCTGGGTCTGGTTCGGGGCGGTGCGCATGGAGCGCAAGCCCCGGCCCGAGGAGTCCCACCGGGCCCTGCTGTGGCACACTCACGGCTCCCTGGCCAAGCCCCTGGGCTACTTCGCGGAGCCGCCCCCGCTGCCGCCCGAGGAGCTGCTGCTGGAACCCCCCCCGGCCCCCCACCTGCCCCCCCACCTGCCCCCGCACCACCCGCACCTGCCGCCGCCTCCCGACAAGCACCACCTGCAGGCAAGTGGCACCAGTCCAGAGCTCGCAGAACTGTAGCCCCGTGTCGGGCACCAAGGGTGGACTTCTCGGTCCCCATCGCTAGCCCGACGGGAAACCGCGAGAACCAATATCACAGGCAAAGGTTTCACCGCCTCTCCATGCTCGTCGTTTGAGTGAGAACGTCTCATTCGCCCTGGTGCTGCTGCCTCTCTTTCATTTTCGTTCGCGCCCCATAAGCTGGAGCCACTGCATTTGAGCAGATTGGTGCTGTGCTTCTAAATGCGCAGAATTTATAGGCCAACCTAAGCACTTTCGCATTTGCGGACATAGCCTCAATAGAGCGCAAAGTGCGGAGCGTGCAGTCAGCAACCGCTTTTGGACCGGTGACTTTCCTCGGTGTGCACTCGGCAGCAATGTAGCGGCCTACGTATACTCTAGTTACTGGCAAGGTGAGAAGGGCAGAACCAAAAGACATAAAGCATGTGCTAGAGGCCGGACATTCGAAAGATGCGCTTTGCCGTTCTCTGTCAGCGACTGCAAAAAGGTTCTTGCTCGTGGGCTTTGTGTACCGCCAGAGAGGCGCAAGGGGCAACAACGGTCGGCGCAGCGAGGCGAGAGAATGGAGCAACGGACACCACCGCAACACGCGAGTTGCGGGCCCGGTCGCGACAGGGAAGCCGGTTGTCATTACGCAGCTTCCGACCATTTGTGCGCCCGTTCGTGCGCCTGTTCGTGGAGAATTTGTTTGGTGTGGTGCATGATGCATCCGACAGATTGTGGTTTCGGCCGACATAAGTGAAGGAGCTCGAATGGTGCGCGTTTAGAACACCTTTGGGATACTTCAAAGAAACGGCCAGTTAATTCTGCCGCGCCGCCTTGCTGAGGTCGGTGTGGCTTTCGTGTGCCACGGGCTGGACTGGTGGTACTGACTCCCTCCCTTTTTCCTCCTTCCAGATGCAGCTGTTGGAGGACTCCAAGCGCGTGGTGCTGCACGAGATCCACAGTGCCCCATCGCCTCGTGGGGGTGCCAAGAAACCCAAGACGCAGAGGCGCCCTCGCAAGGCCAAGGCACTTGGAGGGCAGGTGGGTCGGGGGAAATGGGGAGGGAACGTTTTTGTTCTGTTCCATTCTGTTCTGAACGTCCGTACACACACACACTCGCTAATTTCAATGTCTTTATTTTTTGTGTCCGGCTCGTACTATGGCGCAGCTTCGAGCCTGGTGACGACTAAAAGGGCGTCCAAAGTGTAGGCAACAAAGAGGTACACTAATGCGAGAAGACATAAACTAGTGCGTGAAACAATAAAAATGCGAAGGTAATGGAGGTTGATGGAAAAAGCTTGAAAAAAAACTTTTCGAATGCCTCGAAGCTGCAGATTAGCTTAGCCCCGAAGAAGCTATAAGTTCTTTATCGAAATGTTGGCTCCTACCTTGAACCATCCAAGGGGTTTCTTGTCCTGTGAAACAGCATTACAATTCACACTAATTGAGCTTATAGAAAAGAAAAAAAAAAAAAAGAAAAAAAAGAGCAGTCCTGTGTTAATTTACAGTACAGTCACAGCAATATCTGCGACACGTCACGGCGAAGTCGTTTGGGCATCGGCGCCGCATTCACGCACTGTGGTGGGCATGAACAAAATCGTTCGGAACAAAATGGGCATCTGTTTTGTTCCAAACGCTTTTTTTTATTTTTTGGTCTGGAGCGCGTGAGAGCGCATCTCCCGGCACGAGCCTTTGGCATTGACAGTGCTACGACGGCATTTTGTTATAGACTATTTTTGTTTACAGAGAGCGTGTGCAGTGAGCAGTGGGTACTACAAAACATTTGGTGGATGCTTAAGGGGGGACGTGGGCTTTGAAAGCAGAAAAATAGCAAAAAAGTAGATTTTCAGAAAACCATATTTTTGTGTTGTATATCTCATAAACTACCTTCTCTGTAATTATCAGCTCCTAACACAACGAGGAAATATTTGAAAGAACTATTTACGAGGCCTGAGCAGCATCCAAGTGACGGTCAAATGTCAAAATCAACCCCAACTTTGCACTCTCGCCATTCCCGACGCATTTGGCCGACAGCCACCATCTTTGTTTTGAAGGTGAATCTTTTCTCTTCTATTTTCCGGCTCCCAAAATGGTATCGGCTGCCCGGTTACGGCGTGGTTACGGCGTGGTTGCATTTCTTCCATGTCGCAATTGCAAGAACGTGATTGGACAGGGCGCATGCTCGAGGAGCACGCGGGGGAGCGCGCAACTTCTATCAGTGGGGCTCGCGTTGCGTTCAGCCAATAGCTCGCGTTGCACTCTCCTCTTCCCCGTTCCTCCTGCTGTTCCCGCTCGCCTCGTCCGCTTTCGGCAGTGCCGAAAGCAGCAAAAACTTCCAAACTGCAGTCCCTCCGTACAGCCAACACAATCAGTTGATAACCAACTTCAAAAGTGCACGAAAACAGATGCAAGCGATCGAGCGGCGACCGGCCGTCTGCCAGCCAAGCGCATCGTTCCTAGTGCACGCTGCTTCTCGAGCTCTTGCAGCTTTTCTTGCACAGTTGTGCTGTAAGTTTGATGCAACATAAGATCAGCAGCATGAGCTCTGCTTCAGCACTTGCTCGTTGCCCTCTGTATTGCATTAGTACATGCGCCCGCTCATCTTTTCAAACAAAAGCTTGTTGGAGACGGCGCTTTTACTGCTGATCTCACGTTGCAAAAGATGTAGTTCAATCAGATTGCTCCACCGGTCGGACGGTATAGTCTGTTTCTCTTCGTAAAATTCTCATGACATGCTCCGACGCATGCCACGGTTGCTTCATTGAGCGGCCGTGCCTTAGCAGAACAACCTGGAGGGCGCGAAAAACAAGTCCCGCTTACTCGATGCGCTGGGTGGCTATTGGCGTTCCCTCCTCAGGACTTCATACGGTTTCGATAGGAATCTGTAGAAGTTTACTCCAGGGTTAAGCTCTTCCTGGTCTTGAGAGTCGACGACGCAACTGTGATGGCGACGTTTCGATTGCATCAAGGCCGTGCTGTTGCTCCCAGTTTCGACATACTTGGACGAAGGAAAAATTTCTAGCTTGCACGAGCTCGGGTCTCTGGGGTAACAATGTGTGGTGACGACTGAGGGCGACACTAATTTGACTTGTGACTACGGGTTTGCAAATATAACAGCTGCGGAAAGAGGTAAACAGCTGCCTGAACAGGTTTGTTATCGTGCGGGGCCGCGAAACTTGCACTACTCAGACACTCTATCGCCCTCCACTGGAGGACACCACGATACGTTCAAAGCTTCAGCGCAGGAGGCCTATAACAGCTATTGCTGTAAAAAGTAGCAGATATAGTGTACAGCTTTCCTCCTATGAATGCCATGGTCACTAACAGGAAGAGAACAGCTGGGAGTAGTTTCAGTTTTGCCTCAAGTGCGAGCCTTCTGCCTTGAACAACGCTTGGGAATCTCATGTGCCTCAAGCGTGCACGTGCAGCCAAGGCAAAACGCAAGGCTATTAGCACGTGCTGGAGGCTGGGCGTTCGAGGAATACGCTTTGCCGTTCTCATCTCGTCGCTGACTGCAGCGCCTCATAGCTAGGATTCCATGTTTTCAGAGTATATTTTTTGTGATATTCGAAGGGTATATTCGGGAGCCTATTTTTCGTCAGGAATTCGGGGTTTGTCGGAGTTTATTGTTGTTAGATTCCAAATTCTGAGAAATTTGGAGTTTAATGTTACTCTCTCTGTATTTCTTTCAAGATGACAACGAATAATGCCTGAACAAAAACATACACGAAATTCACAAAGGAATCACTGGTATCGGAAGATATTTCGTGCAGCTGCATTTGGCATTGGCGCCTTTGCGATTGCAAGTGCTAACTGTCCCACGACAAATCTTGAAAACGACCGTTACTTCAATAAACGCCGGTGCTTCAGAATAGCTAAGCTCCCAGATGCATAAAACCTTCGACTGTCTTTCCCGTCCTCTGAAATCTACAGGTTCACATCTTTCTCTGTTAGAAAAACGCAACAGTGCCTCCCTCTAAAAAGCACAAATACAGTGTAAACCGCATATAACTTATGTCGCGGGAGTCGCGAAAATCCGCACTGTAAGCGGTACCGTGCTATAACCAAAACATCAATTTTTCAGGCCAAAATGCATGCCATCAGACAACTTACATTTGGAAAAGAATTTATTTTATGTTAGATGAAAAATAAAGCTTAGTTTGAGGAAAGTCTATTTCACCAGACTAGTACACTTCTCTCTCAAGTGTGTCACACATTTTGAAAGAAATTGGAGACTTTTGCCTGGCGCAGCCTTTTAACAGCGTCGCGGGTTGCGGACGGACGTTGCGAGCGTTCAGGATTGCTAACCCTAATCACTTTTCTCTGGCGATGAAAACGCGTGAAAATTCCCATCCTTTATACGGTACGCGCCAGTAATACCTTCAACTTTAGCACAGGCGTGAAATGTTCCAAATAAGAAATCCAATTGATGTTCGAAAACACAAATGCTTAGAAAGCACCACTGCAGTCGAAGTAAACAAACACGACGACACGAGCGTTTCTGCAGTCTTGAGAATGCCGCCACAACATTGCCGCACAAGTAGGTGGATCTTCCCTTCTAGTACACACAACGAAAATTCACAGTCAAGGATAGCGCTTTTACGCGGAATGATGAGCTTCTACCACGCCGTCTACATTGACTATCAAAACCGACGCCATGTTTGCGGATAGAAGCAGCCGGCCGGCCGCCCCGCGACCGGCATGCAAGGCGCGCGAACACTTCACCTCGACCTGCGATTGGTCTGTCGTTGCGGTTGTTTCCAACGTTTCCAACGCAGCGAAGGGACGCACGCACGTGGACGACACGTGCGTGCATCCCTTCGTCGTTATGGCAACTGAAGCCTCTCTTCGCTTCTCCCCGCTTCTTCAAGCAACCTCCTTGCCCCACGAGTGCCGCTTGCGGCTCGCACCGTTATCTAGTGTCGCACAGGGAAGCGTGCTCTCTGCGTCAGTCATTCGGCGCGGTCGCCGGGTTGTTCCGAAAACCGCACTATAACCGGTATTTCCCTTCGCGCGCCTGCATTTTAAGCGGTATGTAATTACATGGAGTTCTATGGAAGGCGAACCGGTGGTTTAAAAAAGCCGCGTTATACCTGGTCCTGCACTATAAGCGGTTACGTTGTAAGTGGTCTATACTGTAGTATGGTCCAAACCAAAGAACAGAGCAGTTTCTTTTCCAGGAGTATATTGGCCCATTGTACCCAACAAACCTCGACTAGATAAACGTGAAAACTTACTTTTTGTCAATAATCTAAGATTAAAAAAATAAATAAATAAATAATCAGGATTACTAGTTTTAGTTGTGTTCTGACAAGCTTTATTCGTAAGATACTGTCTTTTTGGCTTTTGATTTTGCCATCCTGACCTTCAAATTCAGAGTTTTTTTTGGATAATTCTGAGTACACAAAGCCCTATCTATAGAACACTTCTGATATTTATTTATTGATTTAAAAAATTTCATGTTGCTTTTCTTTCCTTTTTTTGTCTCCCCGATGCCAGACCCCTCCGGTCCGGGGTTCCCTGGCGTATCCCCCGGAGCAAACCATGTACCCCCAGGGTCCCCCCCAGCAGTGGTATGGGCAACAGCCGCCCATGCAGCAGCCCTACTACTCCCCGCAGCAGCCCCTGCCCCCAGGTGAGCCCCCCCACCTTCTCTCGTGCAACGGGTTTTATTCTGCCGTTGTTTTTGTACCAAGTGACAGACGCCCGAAAGAGTGCTGTCCTCTGCCCCTCGTTCCATTGGCTCAGTCTGGCAACTGTTCTGAATTTGAACCCCACTGTAAATAACTGCTTGTCTACTAAGTTAGTTATGGTTGGCTTTCAGCAAAAACCAAAGCACTCGGGCTTTGGGAGATGGCTATGCTGGTTCTTGCTATAGACGGAAGTTTAGCTAGTGCAGTATGATTTGCAGTCAAATGCCTGTATGACTATATCCTCAGGACCGGCGAAATTTTCCGTAGTACAGGCAACTTCATTGTACCGTATTTACACTAATGTAGGTCTACCCTTTCTTAAATTTTTGAAAATCTGAAGTAAGGGGGTCGACTTATAATCAAACCAAAGCATTCTATTGTCGACAAAAACTAAACATTCGCGATATCCAGAACACCTCGGCTTGTTACAAGTTCAGCCGGCTGTACCTGCAGCATTGCGCCATTTTGTGCACTCATTTTGCAAGATCTCAAATTATTTATTTTTTTTATATGCATGAGCGAGTATTTTTGATTTACAAATCAGCTGGAATGTACGGCAGAAAATGGCACACACGACTCCCGGGGTCCCACGGGGTGGCAGCACCTAATGTAAGAGCCACTTCGAAATGGCCGCTGTAACAGTCTCTCTCCCCACTGCTTCTTTTCGCTTGATTCATGGTAGCACATCGTTTGATCGAGTGTCGAGATCATGCTGGAGTGCCAACTATGTTTCTCTGTATTGTGGCATTGACGAATGGGCTAGTTTGTTGTTCAGTTGTAAGTCAGCGCTGTGTTTATTTTCCGTCTTCTACTCTGTCCGTATCCCTGCGCTGTTTGTTACCTGTCTGTATTGACATGCATGGTCTGAGCAGTTTAGGTTTTTGGTGTTTGTTTATGGCCATTCTTCATCCAAAAGCAATTAACAGCTGCGCTGCTGGACGCAAGTTCGACCCGTCGGAGTTGGCGGTGCTCCAGTGGCGTCTGCAACAGTGCAGGATCCTAACTGTGACAGCAAACTAAGAGGCTTCCACGGGCCAAAGTCTGGATAGGTCTTGACGCCTTCCGGAGTTAGAGGCTGCAGGCTTGCAACGAATGTGGGAGAACTGCGTGATCGATCCCTACTCGTGACGTGCGACGCAATCACTGAGCAATCGCAGAAGATGCGGTTGATGCAATCATTTGGGAAATACAAAATTTTGTGGGACGACGCCGGCGACATGCTTTGAGAGTGTAGCAGCGATGACGACGGGAGCAACAGCACCGTTGCACACGAATCGTAATGCCTAGTCACAGCAGAGTGAAAACGGCAGGGAGCAGCCTCAGTCGTCCCGCCTCCAGTGCGAGCTTCCTAGCTTCGATAACAGTCGGGCATCTCGTCTGCCTCGCGTGTGCATGTGCAGCCAAAGCATACCAGAAGACATCGAGCATGCGCTGGAGGCCGGGCTTTCGAGAGACGCCCTGCTGTTCTCACATATTCACATAAAAGGTCTATAACACAAAACCGAATTTATGCTGTCGCACATTGACATATTTCCGCGGCATTCGAGGTGTATTGGGAAACAGTATAGCGCCAAGTATAGTATGAGCGACATCAGAAATGAGGATTTGTACGTTGACGATTGACTTATCAAAAAGAAGGGAACAATGGCGGAGTCTGCTGGCACGTCGCAGCTTGGAGCATGTGGGGCGAAAGCTCGTGCTGCAGAAATCAGAAACCACTTCTTTTTCTAAATGAAAAATGTATTGGCACATGTTTGTGTACTCACTACTACATGACGCCATTTAAAGACACCAGGCTAGTAATCGTACCGCCAGCATCGCGGCTGGCAAAGTTCGTCACCTACAGCCGCTCTCTGCTGCCGACGAATTTCCCACTGTCCAAACTTTCACACGACAAATTTAACTGACTTATCAAAATAGAGTCGCAACAATCACTAAGCCAATGATGTCGACCCCTGATCACGCAGCGGAGGAGTTGGCCGACTCTGCAAAATTGGCCTTTTCTAAATCAAGAACCAGGCAGCGGCTCTCATTGCCACGTGTCATTCGGAGAAAGCCCCCGAAGCAATTGTCGCTGGAGTAGGAGCGGGCGCAAAAGCACGGGTTCAATAGGGTCACTATGGCAGCATACAGCAGCACGGCAGAATCGGCTACGCACGCGGCTGCTGTGGGGCATGGCGCAGCGAGGATATGGGCAGAGGCTACACCGCGGCAGAGGCGCACAACCGAGCCGACTGAGCTGTCTTCTCCATCTGTTCACCACAAAAAAGGGGACGTGTTTCTTTGTGCGCGGCTCTACCGATTTCGCTTGGATCTTGGCGTCACGGGTAGAGCCGCAGGTCATTTCCTTGGCTGCTCCAAGGCGGTATGACTTGGGACTCCGATCGAGCAAGATTGGTAACCTTGGATCCTGATGGAGATTGGCGCTTAGGTCAAACAGATACCAAGACAGCGTAAAAAAGTTAAGACTGCCGATAAAAATACTTCTTTCTTTTAATCAGGGTGTCGAACCGGAACCGAACCGAACCGAAAACCGGAATTGAACCGGTATTTTTTCCGGAACTGAACCCGAACCCGAACCGTTATATTGTTATTGCGATGAACCCGAACCGGTACTGAACCGGAAAAAAAAATAACGGTTGCCGGCTCATGTCAAAACGGTTCGGCCACGCGCTGTTGACAATGAATGTGCTATCAATGCCATTCATTTTTTAAGTGCCGTCAACTGACACACACCTCACTTACATATTTTTCTTCGCCACTCAGTCTTAGGAATATAAACGCTGCATCCATGAATCTTGACAAACGCTGCATCCATGAATCTTGACATAGGAACCAGTATTGCGCTGGTCGCGGCTTGCACGGAAAAAAGAGAATTGGAAACCTGTGCAAAAAAAAAAATTGCGTCACGGGATTTCATTTTCCTACAATCTCGTAAATCCTAAATGCTGCTGTGTGCTCATTTCGTAACACGTTTCTAGAACGCGCGAGTTCTGGAAGCTTGCTTCCATCGGAATGAGAAAAGAAAAGGCTGTGGAGTTTGATAATAATGCATCCGGGTTCGTATAGGCACTTAGAAACTAACATATTTGTGAGACAGCGAACTCTTCTATTTTAATATTTATCCTATTACGTCCTTCTGGCGTTGTGTTCGGTGAAGTGTTTTTCATATTCCGTATCTTGTTTAATGAAAACTTCTTTAAGGGTCTAATTTGAGTTACCGAAGGCTAGTTCAAATAAAGAAAGCTGTATTTTCTCCCCACTGTTCCTTCAATTGCTTACACGCCGAGGTGGCGGGATAGTTAACGAGTTCTACTTGTAAGGGTTTGTAAGGAGGTTTCGGATTTTACAGCTACTGCGTCGGACCCAATTAGATGAAGTCCGAATGCGTAAATGTCGGTGAGGTAACCTTTGAGCGCACAGAAAAAAACCATTCCTGGTAGAAATCCCTGAGCCTTACACTACGATGTATCCCGTTTCGTATGTGCTGATTTCAGATGTTTTATTTGTAATTTATTTTGATGTTGCAATTTGTCATTTATAATTTCCGAACCGGTTTGTGAACCAGTTCAGCGCCCCGAACCGGTTCACAAACCGGTTCGCGGATCGAATTAATCGAACCGGAACTGAACCGGAACAAAATAAATTTACCTAAACCTGAACCGTAACCGAACCCGTAATTTTTTCGGTTCGACACACTGCTTTTAATATACTCATTCGCGCAGGACCTTCCAAATGCTCTGACGTACACGTAATATAAGAAAACGAGCGCGCGCATTGTCCGGACTGAGTGTTGAAGAAAAAGAACTCGTCTTGGAGCAGACTGACGCATTCTCGGTTTTAAGACGAAAGCGCAGCGGAGGAACGGCGCTGCCTCCATCACACTGCTTCCGCCGCCTCCATCACGCTGCTTCCGTTTCCATCGGCTGTGCGTTCTCGGTTTTGGGTCGAAATAATTTGTTGGTGTCCGACCTTCTGTCTAGAGGGCTAAACGTGACTGTTGCTGCGTACAGGCTTTCTATGCAACAATGTAGTCCTGTAGCATCCAGACAGTTGGTTACATATAGGGTTCGGAGTTTTCGGTTTAAACCAATAAAAACCGATAAAAGTATGCCGAATCCATTTTCGAAAATTCGGTTTTAACCGAAAAAGGTCAGTTTTTAGGTTCGGCATTTTTTTTTTTCCGATAAAAGTATGTCACGCCCATTTTCTAAAATTCAGTTTTAACTGGAAAAGGTCACTTTGACCTTCCAGTCGTATCGCAGAGCCGTGGCAAAAAAGTGGAACAGCAGTGTTTATCGAAATGTGTCCGAATGTATGGGATACACGGGTGCCATCACGGGGTTTTGGTTTAATGTGCGCATCATCGATCGGAACGTGAAGTCCCAAAATGCCCCATAACTTCGCCATGTACGAGCGTGTTTTCAAACTCGTTCTAAGGAGGACTGACTTGATGCAAGCTCTGAATGCTGTGATGAGCTTCACAAAGTCGCACAGTCTCTCTTTTGGCCGTCACGATGGGTTGATTGGCCGATTTTGGCTCAGGCAGCGCTTCATCTCCTCAGCCTGCCAGTGTCCAGTATTAGTGTTGAGAGGGCATTCTCGAACCTTAGGGTCATATTAACAGGAAAGAAAGAGTGCGGATCAACGAGGAGAACCTGGGAACGTACATGTGGGTGTGCTATAATAAGATAACGTAATCCTGTTGTACATAAGGTGAAGTCGCATGTTTTTTGGGCATAGGCTTCATATCTGACTTGTTTGTGCTTCTTGGGTTTTTTCTTGTTCCTTTTACCGTTGCACACATTTGCCGAATGAAGTGTCCATTTCTTTTTCAATGTACCTGTGCCGTTATTCTTTGAGTGATCACAAATGTCAGAGCTACAAGGATCATCTGATCCGGTGTCCACTGGTGTTTATTTTATATTCACCGAAAAAAGTATGCCGAATTTGGATAAAATAGAAACCGAAAACGCAGATCCCTAGTTACACACTAACAATTTATTTAGACCCAAAACCGAAAATGCACAGCGCAGCGGCGTGAGAGTCTGAGGCGGCGCGGTGATGATTTCAAACCTCGCTGTTGCCACAGTATTTCTCTTCTCTACACGCATCACTTGAGCCACAATTTATGTGAAATTGATTACTTCTCACCTAGAAAATTCGTAATACTGGTCATGTTTGCTTCGTGGGGCCGCAAAAAAGAGGAATTCATTGTAGTGGTCTGAGAAACGTATTAAACATATAGGAGATTGGCCGGGACTTATATTTTACTTCGTTAAATAAGCATTTTTGTAGTAGAGGCGTTTGCTCGAAAGGCGTTTGACTGCATTAGCCTGGGATCTTTGATGTGCATCACACAGTAGTGATTGTATAAGCGCATGCCAATGCATGATGCTTTTCCTGATAGAGACAGGCAGGAATGGGGATCGAACCTTGAAGCCCTGAAATCTGCAGCATCAGCTTTTGCTCCACGTGCTTTAAGCTCTGGCGCTCTAACTCACTTGACTGCCAATCCCTCTAACTAAATCACTACGTCAGTAAAAACCCTCTTTTTAGAAAAGAAGAAAGAAAAAAAGTTTACTCTGTTAGTACGTATTTGCGTGTTCTGTATTCAGTCTTGGGTAGTAACGTGTTACTGTAACTTCGTTACTTTTTTGGTAACTTGTAACTGTAACGAGTTACTTTTTAAAAATGTAACTTGTAACTGTAGTTCTATTACTTTTTCTAAGGTAAAGATGAAAGTAACAACGTTACTTTTGTTGTTACTTTCCAGTTTTTTATGAATAATATATCACTGAACGAGTACAATTTAGCCATCCTTTGCGCTTTCCAAATTGTTTGTTCCGACATTTCGAGTGTCAAGTTATTTTTTTGCACAAACTTGTGAACACGTTCTTTCTCGGCAGTCACGGCCCAAATATAGTCACGTGTAGATTTGGTGAAAAAAAAAAAAAAAAGTAGTTATCTTTAGCACGCGCTTGTACTTTGTGACTAAACACTTGCATCTTACTATCTTGAAGAACTATCTCTTTTGCGGTTCTTCTTTTTTTTGCGCAAACACTTTTTAATCGGGTGGGTAAACGTGAAGCAGCAATACACGCAGAGTGCACTGCGAATGTTTCGTAATTTGATTTGCGCTACCACCCCGCTGTAGTGTCAGCAGTCGAGGCAAAATTTACTGCTGTTTGCACGGGGTTTGTTTCTGGCTTGCCGGGTACGAACTGAAATATGTCCAGGGACTCTATGAACCCAGTGCAACCGTCAACGAGTCAGCAATGTGCTAGTGCTACTAAGGATATGAATGTTGATAAGAACAACAAAGAACTACCATGGCCGGCGTACAGAGAGTATTTTGCTATGGTGGAGGTGGTTACTAACAACTTGACCGCAGAAAACGGCACTCTGTTGCCTCAACGCCTACCTGTTAATCAAAAACCTGTTCCTGCGAAACAACACAGCAATCCCATCCAGCGCGTTAGACGAGCACCTGTTCAGCAAGGGCAGGGACGTGTTCGTTATCAAACAAGGGAAACTTTTAGACACTAATTTCGAGAGGCAACTGCTGCTAAGTTATAATATAAAGTAAAAAGCATGCTTTTTAATTTTATGCAAATAAACTTGGGGGGAAAAGCATTTTCTAGTTTTTCCTAATTTTTTTTCTGTGTTATAGAAAAGTAACTGAAAAGTAACGTCGTTACTTTTTAAAAGTAACTGTAACGAGTTACTTTTTTGTTTTGGTAACTGTAACGGTAACTTCACTACTTTTTTCTGAAAGGTAACTGTAACTGTAACGAATTACTTTTTAAAAGTAACTTACCCAAGACTGCCTGTATTCTAGTAAGTATTCCAAATATATCTACCAATTTCATAAGCTTACCATAACTAACATAACATGATGGTGGTATAGGCACTTGAGGCACTCATTATAGACCGGCACGTGGTGCCGATGTCACGCCCTTGCAGTGGAGCTGCTATTGGCAGGGCTCATGCGCAGATGCTCCATTTCACGCGAATCTGATTCTTGCGCATGCGCAATGCCCACTCCTCGTACAGAAACTGCATGTTTGCCCACACCTCATGAGGGTTTGTTTTTAAATAGTGCATTGGGGGGGGGGGGGGGGGGGGTCTATAGCAGTTCTAATTCAGCAGGGACTATAAAGATGTTATGCTGTACAGGAAAAAAAATCTTAAGTATGACTATACTAGTAAATAAGTGTGTGTGTGCAGTCCTTGTACTTGAGCTATTAATTTTTTTTTGTAAATTTGTTGATTGACTTTACTTTCATGCCATCACCTAGTCCACTATAGTCTTTTAATGTGCTGTGGCATTCATGTGCTTCCAGATAGTTCCATCTTATACCACCAGTTGTTTCGTGCCTAGAAGACAATAAGTTGCATCGCCCCAAAATTACATATGTGACGTGTCTTCCTCCTAGGTAAATTTATCCCTTACTTGAACCCTGTGCCGCAGGGGCAGGGCTCTGAATACTGTGTGCGGTTGGCAGTGCTTCCCAGTTTATTTTGCTTCTGCAGTGTACCTGTTGCTCGCATTGAATTAAGAAAGGCCCCGCGTCCTGCGCTTGCACCGCCCTTCCTCTTCCCTCTGCCTTCCACCCTCTTTCACTTCATTTCTTCTTTTTTTAATCCTTCATTTTCTTTCTCCTTTGCACGTCCTCTACTTGGTTCATGCATGGGTTCTTACTCCTCGTTTGTTCCTTGTCATTCTCTCCTATCTTCTACGACTTTTGTTTCTTAATCTTCCTTTCTTTCTTCATTTTAATATTTTTTCCTCCTTCATTCTCTCCTTCCCCCATGCCTTCCCTCTCTTGTGTTTCCTTTCTCTTTCTTTTCTTTCTTCCCTCCCCGTCTCTCTCCCCTCCCTCTCCTTCTCGGTGCCTCCTCAGGAGGGCCCCGGTTCGAACGCCAGCCGCTGTCCCAGTCCAAGGCGGCACTGTCCTCGATGCTGCGTGCCCGCCACCCGTCTGCCCAGTTCCTGGGGCCCCAGGGTGGAGTGGGGCCCTCCCCTCAGGGTCCCCCCCAGGGCCCCCCCCAAACACAGGGGCAGGGGGGGCCCCCTCCCATGGGTGCCCCCCAGGGGGCCCCCCCCACCGGGGCTCCCCCCTATGCCTCCAGCATGGACATGCTACAGAAGCAGAGGCACCAAATGATGATGCGCCAGCAACAGATGCGGCCGCAGGGCATGCCACCCGTGAGTGACTCTTGCTGCCTCGTAGCAGGATTGGTCTTGAAAATTTTAGTGTTTAGGAATCAAACCATTTTTAAGGGATGCAGGGACCCTTTAAATTTTTGCCACAAAACTGTTAAAGAGACACTGACAGAGTACCTATGCATGCCATTGTTTTTATTTGAACACGACCTATGAGAGCCCAACTACCCAGAACAGAACTTGCGGCTCGAAATTTGCATTCTTTTAGCCCAAAAACCTTTCGTCGAGCATTGGACAGTTTTAGGCGTGCTCACTCTCTTTTCCACGGTCGCGTGCTATTCAAACTGACGTGTGCCATACATATTCAAAGTTGTGGGTCATCTGAGGCCCACATTCAATATTAAAAATAGAAAAAGATTTGAACCCCATTCTTTGTGGCTTTCAAGAAGCTGCAAATATGTTGTTCTAAAAAAATTGTTGCACAGATCGCAGGAAGTAGATGTACACGTCATTCTCCCTATGGTGATGTACCGCGGGCTAGACCACGCGATGGCGGCGCACGATGGACCAACGTTGCGACGAACGGGGGACCGCTACTTCGGAACTGTTGTTTGTGGTACCGGCCAATCTACCTTCAAGCACAGAACAGCAGCAGGGAGGGATATAAGTGTGAAACACTCTCACGACAAACGGTTCAAGCAACGTCCTCATTGTCGTTATTGCTTCACACACTTGAGAAGTGGAGGAATGGTAAAGAATTGGGTAGGCAGCGATAGCCGCATGACTTCCGGCAGCTCTTTCCTTTGAGTTTTCTTGCAGATGTTTTGGTTCTGAGCAGTTGAGTTTTTTTACTCTATTGAAAATATACGTGATTCTGTAGGAAAATATTGATTGGGTAGTCTTCTGACACCAAACTAAATTTCCTGGCAAGAAATTAAAAAAAAAATTATGGGGTGTGTCCAGTGTCTCTGAATGCAACATAGTATTGTTTGTTTATGTTGTAGGTGCTTACATCGGGGTAGCACCACTGAGAGTTACCATAATAATCAAGTGATTGAGTGCTTGGTTCCCACGGTGGCTTGCAGTGATGCTGTCTCGACATAAGCACAGACAAAATAAACTAATGTCACTGCGTGAATGGGCCTTTAGAAGCTTGAGAATGTTGTTTATATATACTAATTTGAGGTACTGTGCCATGTGTGTTAACGAGGAAGTAGAACTGCGTGGCTTGAGACAACGTATCGGCGTCTGGGTTGGTTAAACTTGAAACTGCACCCAGGCTGGTGAAGTGCTTTACTTTGCGACGATAGAATCAATGCAGTTTTGGCGCTGGACGCAAACCCATGTTCTCCTGGGTGCTTATTTAGAAATCCTTGTTCGAGGATGTTGGGCAATATCGGGGACAGGAAAGGAGATGTAATTATTAGGGAATTTTGAAGTGCTTTGAGAGAGTTCAGTATGGTTGAGGGATTGGTTTGAAGCATGGACAAGGTTGGGAAGATACAAGGAAATGTGCTGTGTTTCTCAGTGACTTACCTAAATATATATGGCTAAAAAAGAAAAACAACCTTGTTTAGAGTTTTGAAATTTACTCTCCTTGTAAATTACCGAGCATCAATTTTAAGCTGGACAGTTGTCAAAAACTTATGTTGAAGAGCTGAAAGAAGCTGTTTGACATGGCACTCTTCTGAGAATTGCTGGGTATAGTAAGGCTCCATGCGTGAGAAGTTGGCAATGTTGCCCCAACTAGTGTTCACCTTGAGAACTGCTGTAAAAAATGTCTGGCTCCTCATAGAACCTCCCCCTCAATGTGTTTAAGTAAGATATGTGTATGTGCATCTTCGATTAGCCTCTTGCTATTTTATCGAGATATACTTGTTCCAATCCGCAAATGCACCGTTCCTCCCTCCGACAACCTAATCTTGTAAGAACTACCTTGTGAAGTGCATGAATAATTCTTGATGCTAGGAGTATAGGTGTGCTGAGTTTGCTCGGAAACGATCACAGTGTCTCCTTTGTGCTCATGTGAACGCAGCAGCAAGTGAGTCAGCAAGGGATGTTTCACCCTGGCATGCAGCAAGCCACTCAATCTCAGGGACCAACCATGCATCACCTCCCTCCACCAGGTATGACCTGTCTTGTCGCACATCGTACAGAGCTCTTTTTTTATCTGGTGCGAACACGTTACGCTTTTTACTTTTGAATTTATTGCAGAATTTACAGGATCATATACATGAGCCTGTTTCAAGGTGTTTGGTGATGTTTGAGGGCCTACTGTACATGCAGCGGTTTGTGGGCTTTTTTTCGGATTGATTTTTCCTGGATAAATTGTTTTGCTAGGTAATGCATCAGTAACTGTTTCGATCCTGATACCGTTTGAATTGGTGAGAGGCCAGAACTTCAGCTAAGTTGTTAGTAAAGCAGTTATATTGCTATGTTCTTCTGGTTCCTCCTGGATTCTTTTCTGTTGCTATTAATAAACAGTTTAGGCACTTGATGTGTTAGCTACTGTTCTTCTCTCGACAGTTTGAACCACTGAAGCTACGGTGAACTTTCTGAACTCAAAATAGCTTTCTTGTCAGTGCTACCTGATCTTGCGCGATTCCAAAAGGGTCCAAGTCTGTTCTAGTGGATCTCATATCTGTTGAACTTGGTAGTAAATTGCATCAATCCAAAGACCATTGTCACTCGCAGAATTGAAGTACCAAGATGTATTCTTTCGTTACCTCCGACAGTGCTTCAACTATGTGTGAGCCGAGTTTCTGCGACCCTTGTTTACACACTGTTTTCCAGGGCTAAAGCTGTATGCTTGCACTGGAGGTTACACAATGAAGATGCACACATGAAGTCCATCCTTCCTTATCTTTTGCCTTTCATGCGGAGCGCAAGTTTGTCGGCTTCTTTCACAGGGGTTGCGATGATGTCAGAATGCCGAGCTCTTATTGGCTGATTTAAAGAAATACACTAAACTTTCGTTAGTTCGGCCTCGGTTAATTCGACTTTTCGTTTAATTCGATTGTGTTCAAAAGTCCCGGCAAGCGCCCATACATTTCTATGGGAGGAAAAGTTCGATAGTTCGAACTCGGAAAGGCTCCGTATCAGATAATTCGTCCCGAGAGAATGTGCGCAGGCTCTCATTGCACGGCACCATGGCAGAAAAACCACCAACGTACGGCAAAACACGGGCCCCTTGCTGCAAAGCCGAACGTGGGCAAATATGCGCCTGCTCCTCTACGCCGTTGAGATGGACCGTAACGAATGACACGAGCCAGCGCAACCAATCTGGTGTGGACTAGCGCAAAAAACATGGCACATGGTCGGGCGCGGACAGCGAGCGAACCTCTCAAAGCTTTTCTGTAGCATCGTGTGCAGTCCATCTTGCGCACCAAAAAACGCAAATTCTATTTTCTTTTTTTTCTTTTATTATTATTATTTATTTATTTTTTTTTTTTGTTGACGGTCTGGCCACTTGGCGCCAAAGTCCAGGTGTAAAGCTTACTCAGCGCACGCTCTCAAAGAGCTTTTCTGTAGCATCTTGCGCTCCGGAAAGAGCGGGTTCTCTTTTCCTTTTTTTTTTGTTATTTTTCTCTGTCACCGATGGTCTGCCTGCCCTGCGCCAAAGTCGGCTCGTAAAACATTCCTTTTTTTTTTTTTTTAGCATGCAATTTTTTGGGGACGTGACGTTTAGTTACGCTGCTCTCCAGAGCATGCTTTTGGACACGCGTTTTAGGCGCAGACGGCAGCAGACCATCCGTGAGTACTTCGAACAATAAAAGAAAGTTCAATTTAACCGTTTTTTTTGTCCTTTTTTTTAATTCAATCATTGGGATAATTCGACTGAATTTCAAGGTCCCGTTGAGGTCGAATTAACGAAAGTTTACTGTAGTGGGTAGACCTCGAGGCATCGAGCATTGAGGTCTACCCACCATCCTTTCAATCAAAGCCAATCAGAGCTCGGCTTCATTCCGTTGTCACCGCAACTGCTGCGCAAGAAGTAGACGACTTGCTTTCCTCATCGGTAAAGAGATCAAGCTATGTGTACTACGCAAAAACACAAAAGCTTTTCTTTCGCCTCTCCATGCTTATTTTATGTCGATGTGCGGCAACATTAACCACAATCCGATTCACAAACTAGAGGCTCGCTGTAGATGCTGTGCTCGTGAAAGCATAGCTTTGAGCAGTGCCTTGGTTGTACAAGCTCTTGTTCCTAAACAGTTTTTTAATCGTGTTATACCATATTTTCTTTTATTTCTGCGACGAAAACCGAACATGCACTTGAGGTTTGTGCTGTTTTCTGTTCTAGCCGACTGCTAGTCTTGCGGCTGCTCAATCTCCTCCCCAATTTTGTGTCAAGCATGTAACTGTGGCACATGTTTTGTGTAAGGGCCTGCCTAGAGTCGCTCTGTGTTCCTAGACTGTCATATCCTATAATGTCTACTGGGGAGGCTCTAAGGCAAAGCGTGGGCCTACAGATCCCCAGTTGGCAGTTTCGAGTCCTGGCCGAGGCGCCTGCAATCTGACAAAGACCTATTGTGGAGGAGGCGGTGCATAACTGAGATTTCTGGTGGGACATAAAAGGTTTCCGTTGAATGTTAAAAGGTTTTGGTCGGATGTTAAAAATTCAAACGCTAGGGGGTTTTGGTGTGCCAGGTGCCCTTTGTTGGTTTGGTATATAAAACCCTCAAGTTTGCTTCATCTGTTTGGGAAGAAAAAATTTCACCGTGATATCACTGGACGGGAAGGGCCAAGCCATAAAATTATATTCCGTATATAAGAGGAGTGACCCTATTCATTCTTCATTACTCTGAAGCATCACCTCTTCTCTGAAGCTAGCAGTTTGTTTTCACTGTCTTCATTAATTTTATTGACACCTTTCTTCCATTTAGAATAATATGTGCCCAGGCACTTTTAGGTGCACTAGTTGGTAGTGCACCGTGCTAGGAGTTGTGATACAATGAATTACTTCTGACGAGGGGTTTGATGCTAGAGCACCGTCTCGGTCAAGGGTGACAAGAAGCTCGAAAACTTAAGTGCTCGGTGAATATTCAGTGACTCTATGTTCACCCATGTGGGAAAAGAAACCTGGTAACTGTGGGTCTCTCGGTGCCCCATGTGCTCGTCTCCTTGTCCACGTGCGTTTGCTTGCAAAGTTTCAGTGTGTGCGTGTTTGTGTAGTACCTGTTGGTGCATGACTGGACTCTCTCTCTCTCTCTCGCTCTCCCCCTCCCCCTTCTTTCTCCCCCCTCCCCAATGTTTGTCCCCCCAGGGGGCATGGGCCAGGGCTACGGCGGGGGCTACGGTGGGGGTCCCCCCTCGATGCAGGGGTCTGGCGGGCCCCCCCCTCCCCCCCAGGCCCTGATGGAGAGGCGCACGGGCGGCCCCGGCGGCATGATGGGGCCCGGCCAGGGGTTTGCACCCCAGGGTTACAACCCGGGGGCAGGTGCGGGCATGGGGCCCCAGCAGGCAGGCAACATGGGCATGATGGGCCCCGGTGCGGGCATGCAGAACCCCGGCCCCCAGTACATGGGTCCCAACAGGTGAACGCGGGATCCACCCTTCCCCACCCCCTTCGTGTTTGCGACAACGTCTCTGCCACGTCGTCCTCCCGGAGCTAGCTAGTGTCGCTTCTCCTACCGGGTTCGAGAAAAGAAACTTGGACCGTTTTTTGTACTGCTTAAATAAACTGCATCACGAAAGCTGGAACTTCAGAGATGGGTACCCCTAGCCGTGGTGATAGGACGCCAGTGTAAAAAACGAGCCTAGCTCAAATGGCCGTGATGCCTCTTGCTCGTTTGAGAAGTGTGAAAGTCGTTTGCATGTTTTGATCTGGGTAACCTCTTTTTTTTTAGAAGATCGCATAACTATACCACGTTGGTATCGTCTCCAAGCAAAGTTGCAGCTTTCTACGGTATAGCTTATTATGTAGGTGTCTGAAACATGGTACAGATGGAGATTGATGGGTGGATTCAGCTTTTGCTATGCTTTTGCGGTGCTACTCTGCATGCTCCAGGCTTGTTTCTCTAATTGGCTGTTCTTTTTTCCTTTTGGGGAGAAAGACTCTGTGGTCGTGCTGCTTTCGCTGCTTGTAGGCTGAAGAGACCCGCATGGTGCACTTCAGTTTTTGGACTTTCAAATTTCCAATGTTTCTCCTCCGCTCGATTTCTCTTTGGAGGCTGAAGGGCTTAACCAGGTGGCTAGTGTGGACGGCCTAACCTTGGCTTTTGGCTTCTTGTCCTATTCTAACAAAGCATTTCGATCCAGTTTACCAAAGCTCTCGCAGTTGGCATTACCAAGACTTTGTTACTCCTTTTCTGGTACGGTGGAATAGCTGCTTGAAACTTCGCAACATGCGCTCGTCTCTGGTTTACCCACACAAATAATTGAGGCGACCGTTCACAAATCCCGGCCTTTTTTGCTGCTTGCACTGTATTGACACAGAAGGTACTTTCTAGCTGTGCTTTCTGCTTTGATTTGCTGCCTGCTTTTGTAAGAAACTGCTGGAACATTTATGCTATTGCTTTCCTTGCAATGATGTTTTTGCTAGACATACTGTGTGGGGCCGTACAGATGTTGTCTTTTGTTTTCTATTTTTGAAATTTAAAGTACCATAAAATATTGAGCAAGCGTCCACTCAAAATATGGAGATAATCACGAAAATTGAGGAATGGGTGCTTGTTAGGTCATTAGTTTTACCTATATATGTACTGTGCATATTTTTTTTTTCAAATGTCGCAATATTTGGGGGTGGGTATGGAATGGGCGGATGCTCGGTATTTTACGGTAGGTGTCTCACTACGACAGACAGTAACCATATATTTTAACTTTTATTAACAATTTTACATTCTGCACATTATCAGTGTGATATGCATTGTACACAGTAAGGCCATTTGACATAATGCTCAGACTGCCTTCTATAGTTGTCATATTTTGTGAAAGATGGTCTTGTCTAAAACTTGGCAGGACACGCTGGTGGCGTGGGATTGGTCACTAGTATTTATAAGAAGGTCATAGTGCTCATTGCATCGAAGGATTTATGATGCTAGTGCTGCCTTGGCTTATGACTTTCTGCCTAAAGTTACTTTTTTTCCTCTAATTCATTGCTTAGGAAAGATGTTTTGTTTTGTGCATTTTCTCGCTGCGGAAGCCCTCGTGAAGGCACGACCTCGTAATCGCAACTTCAGGAGACGTGCGAGCAGAAGGTGCGCCCACGGGCAGCACGAGTGGGAGCAACCTACCAAGGCTCTGTGCCATACCAGCCAAGCTGCGAAGCAATTGTCACGCAGAATGTGCTTAAGGGGAGAGTTTGAACTTTTAATCTTAATAGGCATGACAAATTGGTGCCATGCCATCACAGCCCATAGCCAGGTTGTCCGTTTGCCCTTGCATCGTCCAAGAGTGTACCCCCAGTATAGGTTGAACTCGTTTGTGGCACTCGCAGAAATGGGTGGGCAGAACTGTGGTGCCTGGAACGTGTCAGCGACCGGTGCGTTTACCCCATCCTCGTTCGTGGTTCCTCGACTTCCGCCCGATGACGTCGCACCCGTGCGTGGAGGTAGGAAGCTTCTGGAGGCGACACGACGCCACCATAGGTGAAGCCAGAGAAGTGTAAAGGCACACGTCCCCCACGATGGCCAAAACCAAGAGACGCCATTGGACGAAAAAGAGAGTTGATTCAACAGCTCTCCTTTTCGTCCAATAGTGTCTCTTGGTTTTGGTCATCGTGGAGGGCGTGTCCCCCCATCCTCCTGGCCCCACCTCTAGTGGCGTCGTGTTGCCTCCAGAGGCTTCGTGCCTCCACGCACCGCGTTTTGCTGTTGCCTGCCACGATCCTGGTGGCGATACAGCAGCAGAGGTGGACGTGGAAGATATCCGTTCTACTGTGGGTTGCCCTGCAGCTTTGCAGTCAACGGAAGCTTTAGTAACCAGGAGTTGGGAGGCTGCAACGACCACGACGCTCGTATTCGCTGGTCTTTATTGCCCAAACCTCCGCGACCAACTGCGGGGACTGCAGCATTTGACGGACGGACGCTTTAGCTCTTGCGACGGGATTTGTAAAATGCTTTCGGACCACTTTCGACGTGTATGCGGTACGGGACGCCGAACACGCCAGTCGAAGGTACGTTGCAGGCACCATAGCAGAACAGAGAACCTTATGTTTTCTCAGACACGAAAGGAGAAGCCGAAACTTTGTGTTGTGAGCGAGTGTTTATAGGCCTGATGCACCCTGTCCATGTTCCCACAGAGCTCAGTATGGCATGGCTCCCGGAGGAAGTGGTGGCCCCCTCGGTGCCAACCAGTCTGGACCTCCCGTATCAGGCATGGTGGGCGCAGGAGGAGGCCACCTGGGCGTTGCTCCCGGCAACGCCGGCCCCCCCCAAATCGCACAGGCCCAGGGGGGCGGGCCGGGGCCGCCGCAGGGGGGAGGGTACGGGCCGGGCCCAGCGCCCGCGGGGGCGCCGAACATGATGGCTTCGCACAGCATGCAACAGCAGCAGCAGCAACAACAACAACAGCAGCAACAGCAACAGCAGCAGCAGCAGCAACAACAGCAGCAGCAGCATCTGAGACATCAACAGCAGTTCATGGCGATGCAGAAGCAGCAGCAACAGCAGCAGCAACAGCAGCAGCAGACGGCGGCGCTGGTTGCCCAGCTTCAGCGGCAACTGTCGGGGAGCGGCCAGGTGCCACCGTCGCAGCCCCAGCAGCAGCAGCAGCCCCACGGGGGTTACCAGCATCAGGGGCCCTACTGAATGTGCCGTGGTCTCCGGTCTGGTCCTTGGGCTGTGCTTTGATGTGCATAGTCGTTGCTTGGAAGACAGGTTCGCCGTGGCATGGTTTTCAGTGTGTCTTTGACATGGTCGAAGCTTTGGTAGGGACAGGCGTGATCCATGGAGGGGGCCTTTGAGCCTGCTGCAGCTATGAGGATGACTAGCTCTGTGTGAGTTATTCTCTCGAGAAATCTGGCTTTTGTTCAGCGACGAGAAGAGCTTTCGCTTAGTTGTAGCGTCGTCAAAAACAAGTACAGTTGCAAGAAGCAAAGTACACAGGCGAGCTGGTTAGGAAACATAATCTAAAACCGGAGGCTAGCAGGAATAAAATAATGGACTATGCGACACAGGCGATTCTATATCATGTTGTCAGTTACTTTAATCCTTCTCGTCTCTGGGTTTAGATTATGACGAGTGCAAATTTTTCAGGGGTACCACTAAGCTCTCTATGGCCACTAGTGCAATGTCTGTGCATTGGCTTGGCAAACTATGCTTCACTTTGTGTGACTGCACATTGGAGGGTCACTTGGCTCCTTTGGGAGGGTCACTTGGCTTCTTTGGGATGGTCACGTCTGTGTTTGCCATAGTTTCAGATGCAGGGGCACTATGTGCTGGTAGTCTTGCTGCAGTCATTAATGCATTTAGTCACCTTGCTGTGCTCTGGTGCGGGTGGTTATTTTTTTAGGGATGTTTGGCTTTGGTGTGGTTGCCAGAGCACAGCCAAAATGTGATCTTCGATGGGAACAGGCCTTTGGATGATTGTGGCCACTAGTATGATTGGTTGCTAACTTGTGTTGCACATGCACTAGAAATGGGTATTCCTTGGACGGGCTAGGCTTTCGATACAAACATGGCACTGTCGAATGAATGGACTGAGATTCAGTGAAGACGGGTATGATTCTTTGAAGAGGTAAGAGAAACATATTTTGTTTTTGAAACAACTGCAGTATAGTCTGACCAGCAGTCTGAGATTAAGTAAGGACGAGAAGTGTTCTTTTGATGGGCCTAACTTCAGTACGATCATGAACATGTTAGCTTGAACGACTTACTGGTGACTTCGATTACAATTGTGTGCATGTCCTATGGGTACTCGAGGTCAAGCTGGATGGTCGTGAATATTCGGATACATATAACTGCTGTACGGTCGGGAGCTTGTGTTCTAGATATATTTAGTTGCTAATTAATTTGAGATGGGCGGCATTTCTTAGACGAATGTAGTTGACGTGCTTGCAAAACTGTCCTCTAATGAACTCGGTTCGGGCAGCAGTTGGTGGGACTTGTTGAGTGATGGTGACTGCGGAGCATGTATCTCTTCACTGCAACCACTATTGTCTTTCCTCATGATTTTTTAATTTGGCATAGATGGCTCTAATGATTGTAGCTTCAAAAGCATCCTTTTAGTCACTTTTTTTTTTTTTTTTGCGTTTCAGTAGCGATCTGTGTCAAGTAATGTCTTTAGTATCAAAGTATAGAGCTGTCTGATCGGGTTCTATTTGCAGTAAAGTTGTGGACGGGTGAGGGGATCGGCACTGGAATTTACTTCGGCATTATGCCCAGGTTCTGTCTTTCGTCGTCTAACTTCTCTGGGTGGTGCCACGAAATTTGCTAGCGCACAGAGATGTGCTGCTTTGGGTTACGGGAAAACTTGAAATGTCGGCTGTGTGTTTTGTTTGTGCAGGCTAGGCAAAAGGCAACTAAATGAGCGGTGTTTGTCTGCTCAGGTTTTGTCTTGAACCATGTTTCATCGTTGTCGGAGGTTTGAAATCTGAAGTGAGATTCATGCACAATTTTATGTGAAACTACCAGCATCGCAGACATAGGCTGTGAAAGTCTTTTCTGTGGTATGCTTGGCAGCACGTACAATTGATGAAACAACTAAGCATACTGAATATTACCATTCTTGCTTACCCGAAATCGGAAGTCAGCAGTGTCAAAGTCAAATTTAAGTGAAGCATATATACAGGCTGTTTTACGCAAGAGTGACGAAAATTTCTATAATTAGTTTATTCAGTGTAGAAAGATACTTTTCTCGGGACCGCATCACTCATGGTGGCGGACGTCAGAAACTGTGCTATACTTATTAGTTAGTTTGCTAATTAACTAAAAATGACTATGATTAACTTTTCAATTAGTGAAAATAGTCATATGGTTTCAATTAAAAACTTGCTGAGCATCACCGAAAACCACTGAATCAGTAATTTTCAGAATGACTTTGATCGCATGAGAAGCGTAGTAGTGCGCTAAAGTTACCACTCGTGGAGCAGGTACAAGGCTGGGGCTCTCTAGAGTCACTAAATAAAGCTACGCTTTCAGAGTACCGAAACTCCCAAACTACGCGTCTGAAGCACGTCGGGGGCTGCCATCTTGGGTCGGCGCGCAGATGGAGGAGTGACTAGCTGAGCCAAGCCGAGCTGTAGCCGTCGGCTGCTACAGCTGCCGCATTCGCAAATGTGGCAGCGAATCAAAGTCGTGTTGGTCGTATCTCGACGTAACATGAAAAACGCGCATGCTGAGCGACAGACTTCAGCGTGTGCGCACAGTAAACAGCAAACAGCAGCAGGCAGAGGATCGCTGGACCCAAGATGGTGGCGTTGAAAAAACGCAATGATGATGATAGCGACTCACGTGACTGCCGCTGTTCAATGATGTCGCAGCGAACCAGAATATTGTTGAATAGAGCGACTGTATTGTCGGCAAAATGCCAAAGAAAAGTAATGCGATACACTGAAAGCGTAGCTCATTTAGTGACTCTAGGGCTCTCATAAGAGACGGTAAAGGTCCATTCACACTCTTGCAACCGAGTACGACCGAGAAAGACCAGACCGGTTTTTAAGCCTTTTGCGACCTCTTAGGACCAGCTCCGCTGCAGAGCATCCGGTCCTAAGAAGTCGCAAAAGGCTTAAAAACCGGTTTGGACTATCTCAGTCTCACTCGGTCGCAAGAGTGTGAACGGCGCTTAAGATCGTGCGGGCGCCTTACCACTACCGCTAGCCTTGTACCTGCTCCACGAGTGATAACTTTAGCGCACTACTACGCTTCTCACGTGCTCAAAGTCTTTCTGAAAAAGACTGTTTAGGGTTTTTCGATGACACTCGGCAAGTTTCTAATTGGAACCATATGCCTATTTTCACTAATTGAAAAGTTATTAGTCATTGAAGTTAATTAGCAAACTAATTATTAAGTAATATGGTCCCAAGAAAAATTTTACCTCGAATACACTAATTTTAAGAATTTTCGGCACTCTTATGTGAAACACGCTATATATATATATATATATATATATATATATATATATATATATATATATATATATATATATATAGGGTGTCTGAAATCACCAGGCTCGATCTAAAAGGGGCCGTACAAATCAATGTGTGCATGAAGCAATCAATGCTTTTCATCAAAGGTGTGTTTCAGAGGTCCGTTTTTTCTTGTAAAATTGCAAAGCGTAGGTCCCTTTCTGTAAAAAAGTGGCCACAAATCTGCCAAGGTCGACGGCAAGCAGCGACGCAGATGACCGAGTCGAGTGGCGGGGTGCGTTTGGTGCACGTTTTTATAGATGGCATCGGGAGCAGCGTTGGACGGTGTAGCCGAAGAAAGCAGACGACACGCAGACAAAATCTATCGGCATCAAAAACAGCTTTGTTATGCAACCACTTTTTTTCTTTTTTTTAGTGCAAAAGCATTGATTGTTTTATAGAGCGGGCCTTTGTCATCAGTGTGAAGCGTGCCAAACGGCACCTTAAATCTTTTCTGCATGTGAAGTCAGCTCCCAGCTATGAAACCACGCAAAAAGCCTAGACAACAGCACCTAGTTTCCCCGATCCCAAAAAAGCGGAGTAAAGCTGATGGATTTCGCCTTCAATCTCATTGGCTGGAGCATGTCGACGAGGCTCCCATTGGCCGCTGCGTGCATCAGTTTCAACAACAGCTGCCCCATGCCGCTGCGTGTCCGCGCTGCGAGCGTGCCTGTAACTCGAAGCACTCGCACGGCCGACACAAATACGCCGCAGACGAAACACTGGAGCGGAAGAATGGAACGCATGCTTTCACATTCACAACTCATAAGAAGTGCTTAAGTGTACCTCAAGCCTGTTTTAACTTCAAGTTTCGCTTTTTTTCCACATTTATTTTTAAACCAAAGGTACACTACAAAAAGATTATCTTAATTTTAGTAAATCACGGACGTCACGAGCAGTCTCGTAAGGAGGTAGCGCCATCTATTAACACGTGCACCAAATGTGCCCTGCCGCTCAACTCGCTCGTCTGCGTCGCCGCCCGCCGTTAGCCCTGGCAAGTTTTTTAACCCCATTTTTTTTTACAGAAAGGGCTTTGTAATTTTACAAGGAAAAGCAGATTTGTAAAGTGCACCTTCGACGAAAAGCTTAGATTGCTTCGTACAGCCGCCGATTTTTATGGTCCATTTTAGATCGAGCCTGATGACATGTATATATATATATATATATATGCATGCCTCTTTTTAAGCAAATGGCCATATGCTTGTTATGATATGAGAAAAAATGTCTGGATATGTGTGATGCTGTTGACTTGGACCACAAAACATTGTTCTTGAGCGAGGTGATTCAGTGTTCGAAATTTCAGTTAAAATGGTGACCAAGACGAAGTGATTGCTGCTGTCGGTGGTTGTAGTTTTCTGCTGCCAGTTATGTCCGTGCACTGCGACACTGCTGACGGGACCACAACATTGCCGCTTTTTCTCATTTTACTCATATATAGACCAACACGCGGCCCCGACGTCATGCAGCTGCGGTGGCGCTGTTGGCAGCACAGCGCATGCGCAGACGCTTCACTCCTCCCAAATTCGGTTTCTGCGCACGCGCAGTGCCCACACCTGGTGTGGGCAAAGGCTGGCTTGTTTGTAAACAGTGTGTCGGTCTATAGGGTGGTATGGTGCCAAAGTATGAAACTTTGGCACCAGTGCTGCTGACTGAGACTGATTTCTCTATGCTAGTAATAGTTTCGATCATACCCTCCCAGCTTATTATTAAAATATGGCAATAACAGACTAATTTCTTATTGGACTTGAGACAAAGACATTTTTGCGACTCGAGGCACTGCTTTCCGACATGCCATGACTCTGTAGCACTGACATGGAAAGTCAGCATCTCGATCAAAGCTCTTCCCTTCCAACTATGGTCCAAGTGCTTTGATGTTTGGTGAAGGCCTGGAAGCAGCTTTTTCTGGAAGGTCTATTGCAGTTATGTTTTTGACTTTCATTGCTTGGTATTGCTTTCACTCATTTGACAGGGTTGTTTTAAGGTTTATTTGAAGAGTTCAGAAATCATAATCACATTTTCGTTTTTCATGCCTTCTTTTTTGCTACTCCTGTCTTTAGCAATTAGCTTCATTTCTACAGTCCACCATTTTCGAAACAACTGGTGCCGCCTGTCAGAGAAACTGGGTTTGAGGATTCTATGAATGAGACTGAGTGCGTTGGCCCAAAGAGGAGAGAAACGAATTTGAGGGCAAAAAATAAGTCACAGTGGGCTTAAAAGGAACATTGGGGGGGCTCAATCTAAGTCACTAACTCAGTGAAGCCAACAGAATCTTGCTTCCTTCGCTCGATGGGGTGCTCGTGTTCGCTTGAGCATGGCCTCGCTTGTTTTGACATAGAAATTCCTGAGTCAGCGATTTCTAAAAATGGTAGACTGAAAAAGATTTGGGAAGTAGAAAATTAGTAACAACTCATGTATGTTTTTTTGCTTTTTTGTGTGATCCACTTTGGGTCTATGTAGCTTTATGTAGATCAGGTAAATTAGATCAGACATAGCATGGGAGAATACTGTAATGGAGGGGCAGTTTGGGTCTGGAACTGACATTCGCGCTTTAGAGAAGCAAGTGATATTTGTGCACAAGATTTTTGGATGAGCAATGGAGTCTGACCTTTTCCTTAGAAACGTCGGATGATTGTTCGAGCCATGATGCAGGGTGGAATTACAACCATGGGAGGAAGCTTGCACGCAGAATTTGCTAAGTCTTGCGTGTTCTACAGGGGTATGTTAGGCTATGCTTCATACTAAGATGCAGTGGGTTTGTTCTGTAAATATAATGCTTGGTTTTGCTCAGGTGCAACAACCTCTTTTCTTCTAAGGCTTCTAAGTCATCCTATATGGGATACAAGGCCACGAATATATTTGCCTAGCCTGCTTCTTCAAGATATGCACTTTTTGTTCAATTGCTGCAGTTAAATAAACCGTGACATTGGGAGGAATTTGCTGTGTGTTCGAAACCACAAATAAGTTCCTGTCATGACCGTGCTTTCGTTGCAATGAAAGAAGCAAATTCTGCCGAATGCTGGATGCTTGCATATTTTATTGGAATGAAGCTTTCATGTTTCTTTACAGTTGGGGGCAGTGAGCTTTAGGTGTTATTAAGTCCCATGCCGTGAAAAAATAACTTTAAGCTAAAAATGCCATTCAGTCGTTTTACTAAAGCTTGGAACTTTCTTTTCGAAGGCTTCTGGTGGCAGGTGTTGCGAATATTTCGAGTGCACTGCCCCAAAACAAAAAGGCACATTGGGCAATTTTTGCTGATCTAGCAAACCATAGTATTGTCTGCATTGTGTCATGATCACTGCCAATCATTGTGACAATTATGTTGTAGCACACCCTATTAGATTTACACTTTTTTGGGATATGTCTTAAGAAATCTGGGCTCTGTCCTTGTGTACAAGTGTAGTATCACCGCGTCTTGTCATTTTTGTTGGTACAAAGCTGGAAGTGAATCCTCATGCAGTGAAATTCCTTTTTCTCTGGAACGGGTAGATGAAATACATGATATTGTTATTTGGTAGTTTTAGATTTGTTTCATTGTCACCTTTGTGCAGAGAGCCTGTCTCTTCAGAAATGTTTTTCTCATATCTGTGCAGTTCAGATATGGTATAAGGATGAAAGAATTTCAGGGTGCTGTCGCTCATTTTTTTTTTTTTTTTTTTGTTTAGATTTATTCATCTTTTTACTATCCTTTTTCTTGTTTTTGCCAACTTTAGAACTTTGGTACAGGCAATGTACATTTATAGGTTTTTACTGGGAATTCTTGGCAGCAAAAAGTTTATTGCAACAGGTGCTACGAACTACGTTCATAGCATCAGTCTTGTAACTTTGGTACTCTTTCAAATGTTTC